TTGGACCGAATACATGTAAATTACTGTTGTAATTACTGATAAAAATGTACTTATGTTCTTTCGAACACATTTGATACTGTGACAATTACTTTTCTGAAAAATAGATGTGCTCTCTTCATAACAAATATATGTATCTCTGTTTTAAATCCTAGGTTGCAAAATAAAGAGCTATGGCATCTGCATGTACTGCTAGTTCATGACAAATGAACATTTATTGTCCATCTCTTCAAATTGAAAAGGTAAGCAGTATCAATTACAAAAATTGATCTATCATTTTTCATAATCCTTGTAAGAAGTCTAATACCCATCTTACCCATTCTGTTAGATAAAACATACACAAATGGTAATGAAAGGATATTTTTTTTTATCCAAAGCAAACAATTAATCATTTATCTTCTGTAACTATTTTTTTATTCTCCTACTTTATTTATTTAGCAATTAAAGTATTTGAAATAATCATAAGTACAAAAAATGAAGATTGATTGAAAAGTTGTACTAGTATTTAGTAATTGATTCATTTATTACATAACTTTCAATTCCTATTCTAGACTGCAGAGCCTGAATTACCTGCAACGTTATGCTTCTTATGAAACATCAGCGAGCCTACAGACAGAAGCTCCCTTTTCCAGCTTTAAGCAAGAGGAACCACAATGAGATACAGATCTTGGTATCATGGACTGGTCACTTTTTACAACCAACACTACTTGTAAAATAAGATTTACAAATTAATTCCTATAAGCTATTAAAAATGCTCTAGTCAAGGTACTAAAATTTTGCCATCGAGTTTGAGGTTTTGGGTTTGATAAAAATGTTAACATAAAATATTTTAAAGGAAGTAAACGTTTTAATGATACTTCCAAGATTTCCTATATTTTAAACAGAATTTTAGAATCTTGCAGAAGAAAAGAGAAGAAATAAAAAGCTATTATTCTGTCATGGAGGTTATTGTTACCAAACTCACATTACATAGTTAATTTTGTTCATGGCAATAAATCTTAAAATATCAAATTGGAATTTCTTAATTAGCAATTCATCTGAGCAGCAGTTTGATGACCTATTTGGAACTCTTCCTAGAGGCATTTCTTGCATGACTATGTATCGATAATTACCTGTTGGTGCTTAAAGTGCTATTGTAGCAATTGCACAACAACAAATACAAAATAAACAACAGAACATTGTGATTGAGTGAAAACAGATTTTTCCTGCAGGAAATATATTAACTCTGACTTATGTTGTCCTTAGAATTTTTTGTCAAAGCTGATAGAAAAGAATAGATGATTAATTTCATATAGACAAACTATTGCATCAAGAAACCGCATTCTCACCGACTGCGTGACCTTACATGACAATGTATATCATCCTTGGATTAAAAACCGTATGAGTAACAGAAATATTTGTGACAAGTATTACTCTTTTAATCTCCATAAAGGTAACTCGAATAGAGAGTGGCAGATATCAGCTGCAGTAGTTTTAACAACTGGCTGATACTTTCATAGGAGCACTTTTATTTGTGTCATTTAAAATATTGTAATTGTATCCCTTAAATGTGTTTGCTATGCTCATCATTTACAAAATGTAGATTTCATTCATTAAAGCATAAACATATTGATTATACTTTAAAATCTCTGTTAATTTTATTTTGTATGTATTTTTGTCTTCTAAGAAGATAAAAGGGGATGCATAGATGAGATTGTACGCTAGCGCATGGTGATAATAATTACATGATGATAAAGGGCAATGATGTGATTCAAGAATGGTGTGTTTGTATGCTGGTGAGTTATTGTTATAAGTTGGTGTTTATTTATTCATTTTTGTTCTTTAATTATTTTTTTGTGGGGGAAGGGGGGTGTTTATGAAGAAACAAAATTACGGCAAGCAAAGCGTTGTGATGGGAGTGTCGTTTTATGTTAATGAGAGGGAGAGAGAGATTATGAACGAAATAAGGACACATAATTGTAAGCGCATATGGTTAAAAAAATATAGAAAAAGGGGCACATAACAAAATGGAAAAGGGTCACTTCTAAGAAGAAAACATAAAAAGTTATTAGGAATAACAAGAGGAACTTTAAAACAAAGTGAAACGGGACAAACTACATGAAGGAAAAGTGCACTTGTAATAAACAAAAAGGAATGTTAATCAGATGTAAAAGGGGCACTTAAACCCTATCTAGCATGGGTTATTTTGAAACTGCATAGCCTGGGGGTCCGGGCCCCCTCCCCTGGAGAAAAAAACGTGTAAGAACACGTTAACTGTACCTTTTTTTGGAGATGGGCCCCCTCCCCTGGCACTCAAGGGGGGGGGGGGGGGGGGTGCGATTTTTCAAATTTTCGAGGCCCCCCCCCCAATAATTTTTTTTTATTGTTCATTACCACCCCCCTCCTCCCCCCCCCCCCCCCACACTGAGCGAATTATCGGCCGGCTGTTTCGCTGCTAAATATTGTTTCACGAATTGGGCCCCCTCCCGTGCCGCCGGCTGGATAAGGCCCCCCCCCCCCCCCCAGGCTAGATAGGGTGAAGGGGAAAACGGGCCGCCCATGTATTTTTGAAGAAAAAAATGGGCCATTGTGCCCCCCCCCCCCTCCAGAGTGCCACATTTTGTATTGATAATGCCTAACTATGATGATTTTTAAAAAAAATTGGTTATAAACAAAGATTTGTTCCCCCAAGAACATAATTCTTCATTTTCAGATGTATGTTCAAATTGAAGCTAGCCGACACTTGCGCCTTTAAAACCAATGAATGCTGAACATAGCATATCAATAATGCAATGAATAAGGATAAAATTGATTTAAAATTGATATGGATCACACTCTAACTTAAAATCGATTTTAAGGCTAAAATCGATTTTATTTATTTAGTGAAACTGCTGCTAAAATCGAAATCAATTTTAGGCCCTTAAAATCGATCAAATCGATTTTAGATCGATTTTAGGTCTTTAGTGAAACACCCCCCTGGGGTTGTGTACTTCAAGGAGCTAATGCTCGTAACTGCGACTTGTTATTGGGCCAGCTCGGGCGCCAAAACAGAGGCAGGCGTGTACGCAGGGGGGGGGGGGGGGGGGGTTTGGGGGGTTAAACCCCCCCCCCCCCTTTGGAAATTTTTTGTGTGTAAACCCCCCTAAAAAAAACCTAAAACCCCCCCCTTTTGGATTTTTTTTTTTTTTTTTTTTTTTTTTTTTTTAATTATTTAAAAAAAAAATTAAAAAAAAATTATTCCCATGGCCGACCTAAAAAAGGTGACCTTACCCCCGCCCCCAACCGAGCAAAATGTCAAATTTCCAAATTTCGAGACCAAAAAAAAAAAAAAAAGTGTCCTCTTACCCCCCCCCCCCCCCCCCCCCCCCCCCCCCCCCCCCCCCCTATTCAGCGGTCGGCTGAGTCGTTGCGATTTTTTTGGGACCAAAACAAAAAAAATGTGTCCTCTTACCCCCCCCCCCCCCCCCCCCCCCCCCCGCTTATTCAGCGGCTGGCTGAGTCGTTGCGAAATTTTCGGACCGATTTATAAATGTTAAAACCCCCCCCCCCCCCCCCCCCTTGAAAAAATCCTGCGTACGCGCCTGAACAGAGGATATGTAATCCCCTACCGTCTGATGTAACACATAATTTGATTGTTTGTCGAGAAATAAGGGCCAATTTCAATCCAATAAAAAGAAGCTTTCTGAAATTTACGCATCGACCTCCGTAATTTATGCATTGTGCGTAAGCGAAGTTTTTACACAGCGGACAATGAGGCTTACACACCGTGCTCGCAGCCGTGAGTATTTCGACCACCACATTTGACTCAGCTCCGCGGCGATGGAAAAGACACATTTTATGTTGATTTCAGCAATTTACTGAAGGGAATTTAGATATTATGGACGATCTTTTACAAAAAAAAGGTGTGTAGGGATTAGATTATATCTTTCACGAGACACTGAATTCTTTAGTTTTCCTGAAATTTAGCAAATTAATGGCACTCTGAACTCGCTTTATGAGCAGAGATCTAAATATTCATGGTCGATCTGCTAGTGAAGGAATCGCGTATTCATATTGCAGGGTGATCCCGCCCATCTTAGACGGAGGGATTACAATGGACTTATGCATTGTGATGTGCATCTGCATCTACTAGACTAACATATATAATTTCCTGATTTGTTTTCTTTTTTTCGGGAGAAGAAGAGGGAAGAGAGAGACAGAGCATGGACATGGACAGTGAGAGAGAGAGTTGACAAGTCACGCTCGCACAGCGGTATTGACATTCACACTCTCACCAGTTTTCTACGATAAACCCATATTTCATAAAAATCGACGAGTCAGGCACCTTGGTGTTAAGCTCTATTGCACTCAATTGTTCGTCGTCTGTGTGGGAGATACACAAAATGCCTCATTGATCTTTTGGCCGAATGTGGGTCAAATTTGTTCATATGAGTGCTCACGACATGATTACTCAGCTACAAGAACAACAGATATTGAAAAGGTTGGACGAAAAATACAATAATCGCCATTAAATTTTGAACAAAAAAAAAAGCTTGGTATTCCTACTCTAGTCTTATCATGATAATAGTTTTTAACATTATAATTGTTTTATTACTATATAATAGAAATATTAGTAGTAATAGTAGTAGTGGTAGTAGTTGTAGTAGTAGAAGTAGTGGTAGGTGTAGCCTTTTAAATACTACAAGACAAGACTCTGGGGGGGGGGGAGCATATTATATACATTATAGAGTTGTATAGAGAGACAACGCCAGAGGACTGACAAAGCGCCGCCTTCATTTCGGTTGTCATTGCTGGAGAAGCAAGAGTGAAATGATTTAACAAATGCTCTTCTGGCAGCCTTCAAGAAACAAACGGGCTAGAGGTTAAACAGCAGTTAAAACAAAAAAAGAACTTGTCTTTCGAGGGCAGGCCACTCCTAAAGATCATGGAGACTAGAACTGAATTGAAATGGAGCAGTGCGAGTCCGTTTCATTTTCTAGTAATAGTCATTATTTTCATCCTTTTATTTTTTTTCCGCAGGTGTTGGCCTGTCAATGACCTACATGCCCACAATTATTGCACTGAATGATTTCTTCAGAGAAAAATTCGTTTTGGTGAACACAGTCACGCTGTACGGCTACACCGCTGGATCCATGCTGCTCCCTATTGTAATGGAAAGGTCATTCGAAGCGTATGGCTATGTAGGTGCGTTTATTATCCTTGGCGGTATCGCTTTTAACCTTGTCGCGTGCGGTGCAACAATAAACAAGGCACCAATAAACGCAGCTACAAATGGAGGCAACGGTTATAATGAAGTGAATGAGAAACAGAAGTGTCTCTCTGAAGGAGAATCCTCGAAGCAAACAGAAAGCATCCATTATCAGGAGGAGGATGAGGAAGAAGAAAAAGAGGAGGAGGAGGAGGAAGAGGATAGTGAAGAGTGCGTCTTGGAGGAAAGACGTTTGATTCAAAACGAGAGACGTAATATCAATAAACAGGACACATCACCGAATGCGCGCTCATCTTGGACAAGCTCCGTCTTTCAAACCGGCAAACCTTCCTGTGGACTATTAAACGAACCACTCTTTCTCTTCGCCATCCCGATTCATTTCTTGTTAATATTCTCCACTTATGCGTGGATGCTGTTTCTGGTCCCCCACGCTGTACACCTGGGAATCCCTCCTTCCAAAGCAATCTTCCTCTCCACAATTGGCGGCATAGGTGGCATCATCGGTCGGACCATGTTAATCATCCTCGTCGGCAAAGGCATCAATGTTTATGTCGTCTACATCGCCATAGGCTTTTTCGGCACGGCATCATTTATGCTGGACTTCATCAGTTCTGCTTACGCGGTGCGGGCTTCCTTGGCTTTTGTCCAAGGTTTCACCTTCTACACCGAGGATGCTATTGCGGGCAGTTTATTCAAAGATACAGTATTTGACAATCGGAATTTTAACATGGCCATGGCTCTCAGTTTATTCGCGGAAGGACTAGGGGCGACATGTGCAGGAACACTTACAGGTGAGTAATTCATAGCCAGCTTCTTCTTTTGAAACACGGTGAACCTTTGAGAAATCAACTTAAGTTCAATACCCCATGTATTGCCATTATACATTATTTTTCGGATTATGGACTGACAACATCAATGCTTGGACAAGGTTTGAAGACAGAAACATATGGAGAAACCATGGTCTCAAACTCAATTTTCTTTTCGCTACACGGCCTCTAAGTTAAAGAAAAAGACCAGTTATGGTCATGTGATTGCATTGTGAAAGAAACGTTGTGGAATCGATCAGAAAAGGTTGATCATCTAGCATATAAGTATTGCTGTGTACTACAAGGTTCTGAAATCATCACAATGATAAGAAATTTGGCCCATTCTTCGTAAATTTACAAGCTCTGTACACAGAAAGATGTATATGGGACTACCCTTGTAAAAAAGTACTGCGGTATTACTGCGGTATTACTGCGGTACTACTCGCAGTACAGTTACTCCGGTAAATTTGTCGCCTTTCGCAGTATAATATTTACTGTGGTAGTAGTGCTGAACAAGTACTTCAGTACTATTGCGGTATTACTGCGGTATTAATGCGGTATTACTGCGGTATTACCACAGTATTTTCGCGGTGCTTGTCCTGCAGTACTTCCGCGGTACTTGTCCTGCAGTACTTCCGCGGTACTTGTACTGCAGTACTACTGCGGTATTACCGCGGTAATACTGTGGTACTACCGCGGTACTTGTACTGCAGTACTTCCGCGGTACTTGTACTGCAGTAATAATGTGGTACTGCAGTACTTTCGCGGTACTTATACTGCAGTACTACTGCGGTACTACTGAATCGCTTGTACTGCGGTACTACAGCAGTACATCCCAGATATAAAACTGCAGTAAAGATACATGCAAGGTGGATGTCAATCATAACAACCTGAATGTCCTCCAGGAAATATCTGAAAATTTAAAAATTGTGTACATTAATACAAATTGCATGTATGGAAGTTGTTCTAGGTACTGTTTTCACGGTGCCAGGTAAAAATGTCAGAGGAAAAATGTCAGAGGTAAAAATGTCAGAGGTAAAAATGTCAGAGGAAAAAAATGTCAGAGGTAAAAATGTCAGAGGTAAAAATGTCAGAGGAAAAAATGTCAGAGCTAAAGATGTCAGAGCTAAAAATGTCAGATTTAGAACATTGCTGAATCAGATTTGAGGTCAAAGTCAGGGAGAAAATGGGCCACTACAAAGAACAGCTTCTATTGAAACGCTGTAAAATTATCAATTTCATTGGATTAAAAACAATATTATATTTACATGTACACATGATTTATGACGCTTAAAATTACGCAGAGGGTTTAAGATACCCTCATTAGGAAATACTAAAATCCTGAATCTCACATTTTGAACAAAAATAGACTATTTTAGCTAGGTTATATATAAAAGAATGTAACATATACCTAATTCATCCGATGGTAAAGAGGAAACTTACTAAAGATGACGTTTTAACCAGGCAAGTGGAATCTTACTACCGGTACTCTTACTTACAAAGTAATTAGGGAAAAATATATATTTTCTTGAACACAAGTTAGTTTTAGCACAATGAAAGATTACACTAAGTGAATACATTTTAGCAAAATTTTTGGCATCGGCAAGTAAATGGATGAGTAAATAACTCGATATTAAATATTTTCACATTTAATAGAAGAAAAAAAATGTAACGTGAAAACAATCTTCGATCTTCCATCAGCTTTTGTTTGAAGAGCACAATAAACAATGTAATTTAAAACCGGTGAAACTGGCAGATATATGTGAACCAATATTGAACAGCTTAACAATTAAGTTAAGTTCTGGTCATGCGATTGCATTGTGAAAGAAACGTTGTGGAATCGATCAGGACAGGTTGATCATCTAGCATATATAAGTATTAGTGTGTACTGCAAGGTTCTGGAATCATCGGAATTATAAGAAATTTGGTCCAGTCTTCGTAAAGTTACAAGCAATTCCTAACATGAAAACAGGCATTTTTATATTTTTCCTGATAAAATACTGGTAAAACTGGCAAATAAATGTGAACCATTATTGAACAGCTTAAAGATGACTATAAAGTGCTTCGTCCTACCAGTAGCAAGGCTATCTGGCAAGTTTGAATGAGATGTCATGACAAAAATAAATATTCTAAAAAAAAAAATCTTTAAATTTTGTATTGATGAATTATTATTACTTAAAAAAGAACAAAATATCAAAAAAATTCAACCCAAAAGAATATGGCGTCCGAGTATTCGACTGTAAGACTGGGAGTCTACTCGAGTACCTCATTACCCGGGTATGCACAGCCTTACTTTAATAAGTGTTAAAGTACAAGTCCACTCCACTGAAAAGTTGGATCGATTAGATAGACAGAGATCCATACAGCCCCAAAATAACTTGGTTTTGGAAAATGGTCCTCAGACATATTTTTAACAATTTTGTTAAAAGGCCATCTGTAGTCGTTTGGCCACTAGGGATTAGACCACACCGCGAGATCACTGACAGGTGGCTATCTCATCAACTCGGCTCTCAAATAACATTAAGAAAAAGAGGATCATGGGAAACCAACAGGCACCGATTGGGGAAGTTTTCTATATAGATGGAGCAAGTAGCTACAAGTAGTGCAGTAAGGCTTTCATGAGCAAAAATCAAGTGAATGATCGAGTCGGTTCCCCTCACAATGCATTGCGCGACATTATTTGTGACGTAGGGTCCTTACAACACAGACAGAGGCGTATACGTCACATCTGTGCGGCAAATTTAAAAGTTTTGCTTGAAAAAAGCTGTGTATTGAAGATTACTTTCTCAGATTCCTTCCGACCGAACAAAGGTGACATGGTCGATTGTACTGGATGTACTTGCTGAATGTTTGCTGGTCGGCATAACTGGCATAATTTTTAAAAGTTTGACTCTATGGGGATCCCATACAGATGAATTCTCAAACTCTAACCCATGTCTTGCATAATTTCCTTGAAGTGTGTTGGACAGTTTCGTCTTACAAATCAAGAATGCATGTTTACTGGAACAGTCCGCGTTCATGACTTTTCCGCAGCCGAAGATACCCTAAAAATAAATAAAGAATTAGCACATTTTAGAATTGTATTATGCTCTCAAATCAAAGATAGCGAAAATTATGAGTTGATATTAGCATTCATGTATTAATGTACCATACCTGCCAACCCTTCCGAATTATCCGGAATATTCAGTTTTTCTGAATTTTTAGGACCCCAAATTTTTTTATTTTTTTTTTGTTGTTGCTTATGCCAAATTAAGCTTGTTTTTATCATATGCCGCGATGTGAGAGTTCACATATTGCGTGCGTTGAAGGGCTTCATGATTGAGCAGCGAATTTGTATTCGCTTTTTTTGCACAGATGTACCGCGTATTGCCAGTTACACTGCGGCTGCATGTGCGAATGTCTGTTAAGGGTACAGATTTCTTATTTTCGAAGACATACCATGCTAAAAATTCTTAATCCTCATTTTCAAATGTTGGCAGATATGATGTACAGGTATGATGTAAATTCATGACATGAGATGCCCAAATGACTATATACATGCATTAATTATGACTGATGAGCTGCCCCCCTCCCCCTTCGAAAGCACCCCCTATCTCCTGTGTGTAATTTTAATAAGGGCCAGATTTTTAAAGCACCCTATAAGTCAATATGGGCCAGACTTTGTTGCGTTAAAGTACCCCTTTACCAGAGATTTTGGGTACACGAACATGGTCCCTCCAACCCGGCGTGATAGGGGGCCGGGCTGATTAGCTGCTTTCCAACTATGATCACTGGACCGATCACTACATGAATGATGCATGCACTTACATGTGCATGTGCTTAGCTCAGAGCCCGTTTATGAAAACGATTCAAACAGCGCTGTTTACTCGAAATTGCTGAATAGACTCTATGCATGAATCGAAGAAAGAAAGCCCTTCTCAACCTCTTATAATTTTATATACAGTGCGTCCCGAAAAAAACTATACACTTTTGAAATGGCTGCCGAATAAAAAAATATATAATTCTGGGGGAAAAGTTTTATATGTGTGGAAAGCTCATAAACTCAACTTTCATATGACACCAAAAAGTCCGAAAATAATTCATGCTTGGTTGAGTACTGCTCACTTTTGTAAAGGGTATGCAAATTAGGTTGCGCAGGAATAGCTTTCCAATTTGTGAGAGGTAAATTCTTTGGAGCTTACGGAATTGAGGATGATACGACTAATTTATGAATTTTTTTGATGAGTTTGGGTTTGTTGAGTGAAATTTGTGGTTTATGGATGAGTGAACAGGAATTGCATTTGTTATTACCGTATAGCAATATAACTTTCCATGGTAGACTCAGTTAAGTGTTCATTGGAGTCAGGACGGGGTGATGGTACATGGTGCAGGGAAGGTGAAATGTAGGTGAAATGTTTGGTAGATTGGATAAGGGTCAAGAGGACATGTATGCCCCTTCCCCTCTCTTTCTCTCTCTCTCTCTCTCTGCCTGGGTGTGCTTGTGCATAACTTGACAATCCATTACATTCAGCTATCAATCACTTAATCAACAATGTACGGTATCAGCCAATCAGTCAATCAATTAATCAATCAAGCATTCAATCACCATTCAGTATTTCAATCAATTTAATCGTTCAATAATAATTAATCAATAACTTAATCAATCACTCAATCTATCAACCCACCAACCAGTCATTTTAGCACTTGAGTTTATGTAAATGGTAAATGGGTAACCTGAAGAATAAGTAGCCAACATGTGCGATATTCCTCTTTTCATCAAACCGTATTTGAATAATCAATTTACATAATCCCCATCTAGTTATTAATTAAATCAATGAGATGTTCAACTTATCTTACAATAACTGAAATGTGGGGTGAAGGTTTTTATTCAAAGTCACAGATGTAAAAAATAACAGTTTGTAAGATGGAAATTACAACATGTACCATCACCCCATCTTGACTCCCATGAACACACCTATCCACTGAGTCTACCAGGGAAAGTTACAATGCTACAATAAAAAATGAAATTCCTGTTCACTCGTGCATAAAATTTTGGTTTAATAAACCATGTAATTCACTCAGCAAATCATGAATGTATCATATCACCCTCGATTTTGTAAGCACCAAAGGATTTACCTCTCACAAATTGGAAGGCTAATTCCTGCGCAACCTAATTTTCATACCCTTTACAAAAGTGAGCAGTGCTCAACCAAGCATGAATTATTTTCAGACTTTTTGGTGTCAAATGAAAGTTGAGTTTATGAGCTTTCCATTCATATAAAACTTTTCCCCCAGAATCATATATTTTTTTATTCGGCAGCCATTTCAAAAGTGTATAGTTTTTTTGGGACGCACTGTACAGCAATTTAGAGCGGACGGCGCCTAGAGTAAAGGAGGGGGTAATCGACCATCACCAGTTTTCGGTCGGTCCTTTAAATGCATGGTAAAATTCTTTTAAAATACATCGCATAATAGCATCACATATCCCACATATGCCATACCATGCTAGAGTCACTGAAGAACCACATTTACAATGGAAAATATATCCTAAAATATCACATTTTAGCGATGTAATCAGCGGTCCCGCTACCCGAATCTATAAAATCGAGTATCTTACGCTTGTCTGTAAAAAAATATTGGTAGTATATTTGTAAAGCGCTTAGAGACATTTGTATTAAGCGCTATATGAAAATTAAATGTTATTATTATTATTATTATTATTATTATTATTATTATTATTATTATTATTACCATAAAATGAGCTTTATTTCAAGTACATGTTTTTTCATATTTAGAGCACGATTTTGTGTGAGTCGCAAGCTCAAAAGTATATCATCGCATGTATAAAATCAATGCAGCCGGACACCGCAACGCACACACGATATCTCTTTCTAATTCAGATTCCTATTTCCGATCACCGAAGAACTAGTTTTTGGCATGGCGATCTCCGGCTCGGGATACCTGCTCCGCCCGCTAGTGCTATAGACCAGCGGGGAAACGCACGACGTGGGCGCGCTTCCTATTGACATTGTACATACGACCGAAAACTGTCTCGCTAGGTCGATAACTGTCTCCAAAACAGTGAAAATTGAAATGGATATTGTCATGGCAATTTATGATTTTTTTTCTGGGATTCTTTGATTGTTTGAATAATTATATTTGCTTCATGATTTGAACAAGAAATGATAATAGGAAGTAAAGAGTCCTAAAAATAGGATTTTGTCTTAAGTGGCCGAAAACCCCCCTCCTATCATGAATATTAATATTTCCTCCGCCGTGACCGCGCATGCGTACTTTCTCTTCGCCATGTTAGATCAACGAACATGGATGGAGGGCCAGTAATTTGTTCGAATCATCTTTGAACTCATTTGTATTTACACAGAAAGACAAACTTTGAATATTAATTTGTTGAATTTCTTTTAATACTACTGAATGTTTAAAAACAAACATAAATTGATGGTGGGCAACCATCGAAACATTATTTCCTGGCTAATTTCCTGGGTTTTGAACAGTTTAGGTAGATTGTTTTGAAGGGGTCTCTAAAAGAGTGTAATTTATGACCACCCCCTCCCCGCAAAACAACATCTATCAATATCATGTAGAAGTATTACAAAAATTGAAAGGAATTACACAAATATAAAATGGAAAGACCTAGAAAAATTAAATATTAGAAATGCCAGAAATATAGCAACAAAATGACGGAAGGAAGGAATAAATAACTAATTACAGAAGAATGATGGTACATCAATAAAGGAAATGGAAAGGAGCCAACAAAATGACAAACACACTTAAAAGTAGTTGTTACATGGTGTTGTTTTGGGGTACTATAGGCGCGTGTTTCATTTTTTTTGATAATATTTATGCCTTTCATTTTTGTTTTCTTTTTCGTTCACTGTTTGTAAATTTGCACTCTTCATAAACCTCTAGTTTGTTATGATATATTGACAAACAAATGTTGGTAAATGATTTCTTAAAGTATATATATCAAATACAGCTAGTGGAAGAAAGCCCCAAAAGTATTAGAAATTAAAGGCAACTAGCAAAAATCTAATAAATTGTAAATAAGTATTGATAATATAAGGTAAATAGCCAGGAAATAATGAAAGATTAAAAAACTAGTTCAAAAGTCCAGAAACATAAGTAAAAAATGGGTCAGAAAAATCTAAATCCACAAACATAATAAACAAAATAGGACGACATCTCAAAAGTCGAAAAGAATAGGGAAAAAAGCAAGGAATATGTAGAATCTATAGTTATCAAACTACTTATTCATGGGTTAAAAAGAGTATACCATGGGTATATACCGCAGATTGTACTACGGTATTACTGCAGTAGGACTGCAGTAGTACCATGGGTACCGCAGATTGTACCGCGAGTACTACGGCAGTACAGTAGTAGTACTGCAGTAGTACCATGGGTACCGCAAAATGTGCAATAGTCAATAGCAATAATGCAGTAATACCACAGGTACTACAAGTACCACACATGTACTACAGGTACTGCAGTACTACTGCAATATTACTGCAGTAGTACCGCAGTAGTACTGCAGTAATACCACAGGTACTACAAGTACCACATACGTACTACAGATACTGCAGTACTACTGCGGTATTACTGCAGTAGTACCGCAGTATTACTGCAGTAATACCATATGTACTACACGTACCACATATAAACTACAGGTACTGCAGTAATACAGCAGTACTTGCAGTACTTTTTTACAAGGGTACGCACACGTGCGCGACACGTGCGTGTATCTCTCACAGTCCAATATATAAACTAATTTACCAAATATATCAATTAGAAGCGGTTTCCCGGCATAATTATTATCATCATGTATTAGTCAAAACATATTCTTTCACATGATTGGTAATAAAGAGCTTCCATTTTATTTTTTGAAATTGGGGCTTTTCCAATACTGGTCTTTACCTTTAGGAGACATAGATATATCATCTAGTCAGGCCTATACACACACATTTTAAAAGATGACGCACGGGTCAACTTTAAATTGCCTTAGCTTGATTTTCTCGAAGGCCTTGGTAATCTTGTGATCAGATTGATATTTCATAAATCCATGTTTAGTAGCAGTATTCTATCATATTCAGTCAACAGGCAAAGACTTACGTGAGTGTAAGGTTACGAGAGTTAGCTATCGACTACGCTTCTGTATACGAGTCATAGCTAGTTGAGAGAGAAAGATGCGTCTATGGAAGTTGCTCCTGCTTAGTCAGGCAATTCTTTAACAGGCAACTCTTTAACAAATATCTACCTGGGAGAAAACTTTTAAGAGGCTATGGCCCAAACTGTGTCTTAGTACGGTTTGCAATGTTAACATTACAAATCATTGAAAAATACTTATAATTCTGGTATGATTATTCCCAAGGTTATCTGTTTGATGTCACCCAGTCATTCACGAAGGTGTTCATCATTGTCGGCTTCATCCACGCCGTCATGGTCGTTCATCTCTTCATCGTATCAATCCTCATCAAGAGACGACGACAAGATAGCAGTTGTGGTTGTGATCGCTGAGGTTGAAGCAGAAACTTCCCCATATCCTCCTTCCTTTTGAAATCTTTCAGGGAGGTGCCCTGAAGACGTTAATACCGACCAACCTATTGCTTTCATGACATTGGTTACTAATGGCTATTAGTATACAAATAATACATATCAGTATAACTGTATTTCCATGATTTTACTAATGATCGGTCATTAGAAGTGGATAGTGACCGGTCATTATCCAAATTACGCGTTAGGCAAAATAAATGCCTGGTCAAGTGTACGCTTTTAACCAATCGTTTAATTAGGACTCACGTCATCATCTTATAATAAGGGCTAATAGTAATAACCAACTGTGTGTCCATGATTTTTTTTAGACTATCTGTTGTTGTTGTTATTAGTATACAAATGTAACATGATACTGGTTATTGGTCATGTATGATTCAGGAGTTTACCTTCTGATTACTTCAAAACTTTTACTCAGGGTTTCTATACTTCGCCAAGTTTTTGGAGCATTTTGTATTTAAACCTTGGTTTTATTTAGACGACTTATTAATACCTTTAACGGGAAAAAGGAAAGAAGTTCGGAACAGATCGTGACTGGCTGTTTGCCTGACACAGTAGTGGCCAGATTTTCTTTGGGTTCAGGTCTGTCAAGGTATCATCATGTTGACCTTATGCCTGGGCGCGGCTTTATAGTGGTTGGTAAGTAATGATTTATAATAGCTAACTGTATTCCCATGAATCTAGAACATTTATTCGTTAATTTTGGGGTATGCACATTGAAAGTGGCCCTGGATAAAGGCTTTGTTTAACTTAGGAGTTTACCCTCAACATTCCTTTCAAACTTATACTAAAGGTTTCTCACTCTGTCATATTTTTAGAAAATTTTGTCAAGGTAAACACTTGTGATTTATTATGGCTTATACAATACAAAAATTGGTCGTCATTAATTCATTCTCTTTTTGGAAAAATTATGACCAATAAGACTTCATCAAATCTATTACTGAATAATTTACACATTCGTTTTTCTCAGTAATACGCAACAGATTGGAATATGACGTGCCTCGTGACTGGCCGCCTGACATAGCAGTGGCCTAGCTGATTTGGCCATTTAGGTCGGGTGGAGTAATTTTCATGTTAATTTGGTACCTGGGCGCGGCTTGGCGCCATCCCGTCAACGATTAAGTGGAGGAAATGAAACTTGCGATAACTGTAATGATATAGCTGAAACACTTTGTAACTATTTTTCCTCTATTGGGAAAATAATTAGAACAGAATTTCACGACTTTTTAGGTAATCCTAACCACAACTCATGTTTTCTCCTTCCCACCAAGATATCATTTCTTAAAGACAAAACCAAATTACGTATTTAGATCTTCTTAATGTTATTATTGCTGTTCAATGTTTGTATATTCATTTTACAAATCCTCTTATTATTGTCAATGTTGTTGAATTTTCAAATTATTAAATAATTAGCTATGACGAGGAATTTTTTTTCCTTCAATGTTTTAAAGAATATAATTTCTTAGTTATCGACCTCGTAATTTATATTTATTATTAATGTATCCCTTTGTAGCGGCTGTGTGCCTGTGTGCCTAAAAATAGCAAAGGTCACACCGTTTTCAAAGAGTGTAAACAAAATAATGTTACCAATATTTCACCTATTTCATTACTAACAAGTATTTCACAGGTATAGACATGAACCAGAATATAAATGATTACAGCTCCACCTTGTGTTCACTGACTGTCAATTTGTTTTCCGTGAAACGCATAGAGGTCAAGGGTCAAAGGTCATGAAGTGTTGATGATGTATAACCCTCATTAGCACAATATGTCAAGAACTTCTTGAGGTTTGAGCTTCAAATATGATAACAGTATTACTATGGAAAAATGATCCAATTCCATATTGAGGCTAGTAGGTTCAGATCATAGTCATCAATTGGCATTTGATTACTAAGCTTAGGAGTTTGTTTGCAATGTGATATATCACGAGTAATTTCATCCATTTATTATACTGAATTTAGGGCGGAGGCATATAGGACACGCAGTCGCATTTGTCTTTTTTTAATGTATATACTAATCAAATACGTGTTTTTTTTCTTCTTGTAATCCACGGAAAAACAAACTCTGCTTTTTAATTGCATTTCTCTTTTCATTTAAATTAGACTTAAGTTATGATATGCTTATATATATATATAAATTGTATCCGTTAATGATTTTATTAAGTGTTAACAAGTAAGATTGCGTAATTACGAACAATTTTAATTTCATAAATTGTATTGCAAGTGTCATTTGATGTTCATTTGATGTAAATATTTTCTTATGTTTTGATTGAGTAATGGAAATAAAATAATTTTAGTTGAATTTAATTGAACAAACCATGTCACACAAATCTATTTTTCCCGGGGTATACTGATATACTTAGACCTGTATATTTTATATCATTTGATGATTTTAATACGTGTAAAAAAATAAGATTGCGTAATTACGAACAAGTCTCATTTCATATGTTGTATTGCAAATGTCATTTGAAGTTCATTGTACGTATGACTTTTCTCATGTTTTGGTCGAGTAATGGACAAAAAGATTATATCGGTTGAATGGAATTGAACATTTCATGGCACACAAATCTGTTTTGCTCCCTGGGTAATCTATTAAAATGAGCGTACGTGACAATGGCGTGCTCCGAGGTCTTGCATAGGGAATGATACTGCACATCATTATTTTGTCCCATAGGCATTCATGCATCTCTTTCTGTATAGTCGTCATTTGAAATTCCGATAAATCCTTCGATTTTTGTTTCAATGCAGTCGTAAATAAACGATTTAATTTTGAATAAATGGGGCCTTACATATGAAATGATGAAGCCAGTAGTGCACATCATTTGTTTCACAGTCATTCATGCATCCTCTTTATATTGACATGTGCTTGCATGCTTTTGATATTGCAAGTTCATCGTCAATTTTGGCAATAGAGGCATAATGCTTTTTACTTTGAAACCGACTGTAGCCCGAATGTCGGTTTCTTTGTTAGGTTCCTGCCAAGTTGTTGATATGCATACGACTATTTACTAGTGTTAATTTAGATAAACAGGTAGATATTTCATCGATTTCCATATTGATATTTTCATTTGATGTTAATTTGTCACTTAATATACTTCAATCTGTTTGAATAATTTAATGCTATAAGTTTACTTTTAGGAATGACCTGTGTATTTGTTAGCAGATATCTGTCATTACACAGGTAGCTGTTCCCAGAGAAGGTGCACAATTTGTGACTACTCTTCTAAGCACAAGCTATATATACACAGATCCTGGACAGCGGTACAGTTGAACTTTAGACATGGACATGATGGAAACAAAATAAAATGTTCAATAAATAAAAAGACGTAAAATAAAAAGAATGAAAGATCACCTACTCAATCAAGATTAATCAACACAAACCATTACAAAAATAACATGTATAAAGAAATGGTTCAACAAAAATAAAGATCGAAAGAAAGAGAAAACATTAAATGCAATATAAATATATCGGACAAATAAGGAGATTGTAGTATAATGTGAAATCATTTCAGAAAAGATCATAGAAGAAACAAAATGAACATGAACAAGTGAATATCCGAATAAAAATCGAGCCTCAAGGCCCGGTCCCACTGCACTTACGGATGCAAAGAGGATGTAAAACGTAAAACAATATTGCCATCCGTTGGAAAACGTTATGCATCCGTTCTGTACTCATTGCATACGCTCTATCCGTCGAGCATCCGTCCACTGTGATTTCATTCGTGCAAAAAGTTTTGAGCTGCACAAAACTTTTAGAACGGATGAACTTCCGCCGTGTAAGATGTAAATCCGCGACAAATACGAGCAACAAACGTTTTATGTCTGTTATCATTCGTTAAACGTCAGCTGATCCTCTCTTCATCCTCTAGGCATCCTCACAACTCACATCCGCTGCAGCTGAAAACGGAAAGAGGGAGGAAAGATCAGGTACATGGAACGTATATACATCGCTAGTAGCGCGGAAATAGAAAGGATGTAAGCGTTTGCATCTCGTATATAAAGTATTCAAAGCTGTCATCCACTTCCATCCGCTTTCATCCGCTAGGCCTCCGATGAACATCCGTTTAACATCCCCGTTACATACTACCTACGTCCGTTATTTTCCGTTCTGTTTTCGCAAATTTTCGCAAATTTTGTCCATTTCTGGAGCGGATGAAAACGGATGGAGCCACCTCCGAAATTTTGCTCGTCCGCTGTGTCCTTTATGCATACGTTTTGTGTCCGTCGGCCAGTGGGACCGGGCCAGTATCCAATGATTATGAGGTCTAGTTTTAATTTGAATGACCCGATTGCGAAAGTGGGTGCCCATAGACGTAAATGAAACCGTAATTCGCCAAAGAATTCTCCTTCCACTCAAGATTGGCGAAATTGAATGACGCTTACGCATTTCCAAATTGACTGAACCATGCAAGCTTTAATTTGAATGTGCATGTTTAGAAAATTCGATGACTCGAAACGAAATTGAATGCAAAAAGTTTTAAAATGAAACAGGGGAGCAACGAGTGAAGAAAATTCGCTCGAACATGAATGCACGTTAGTGAAATTGATCGCTGCTTTGACGAAATTGGCCGGGAAAACCTATATTATTATAATTATTATTATCGCCATTACTAATAAATCTGCTTACCATACTTCTGCTACTACTGTTGCTGTTGTGGTCTAGCCTTCTTTTTTGTTTTTCTTTTTTTTTGTGGGGGGGGGGGGGGCTGACACTTCGTCAGAACGCAGACTATCAATCAGGCTATATACATAGGAGAAGGGTGGGTCGTGATTTGATATATACAAGGAGAAAAAAATGGCATTTTAAAATAGATGAGAAACAGAAAATAATACCCATGCAAAGTACAAAACAAAAGGGAAAACAGTGCACCGTAAGAAAATGATCATTGATCATGAATGTAAGTTATTATCTCCATTATGATCGAACCATCTTATATTGATTGTATCAAGTCCTTCTCTTTGAAGTTCGATATGTTCAACCAATATATCAACACCTTTTTAACAAACATGCACACACCATCTCAGTTTTGAACAATCTGCTATCCGACTCACTTAATCGCTTAATCCTTAATGTATTTTATAAACATATTTAAAGGTACATTAAATGGAAGCTACCACATGAACACATGCTTATTATATCGTAATTTGTTAACATCAATACACTAAACATGAATTAAACTGTTTTATACAACACCTACGTGGATCCTTGTCATTTGATTGGACGATTGTTGGTCACATGATATTCAATAGATGGTATATTGCACGGTCGTGCATTTTTGGTTATATGCGCCGTGCATTTTTGGTTATATGCAGACTGCGTACCTCTCTGCTGCATGTGCGCGTATCCCTGCGTGTATCTGACGCGAAGGCAATCTGCATGTAATCGAGAAGGCTTGACTCGAACTTTAATTTATCTTTATAAGGAGTAAAGCATAATTTGTTGATTAACGTTCTATTAAGTCTTCTTCGATGTTGTATAAAACAAATAATGAATGTTTTTCATTCGTTTAATAGTGCAAATATTTTCATTTGTTGAAAGATTAACGTTAATTCTATTCAACTCGGCTGACGCCTCGTTGAATAGAATGTTAATCTTTCAACTCATGAACATATTCGCACTATTGAACTCATAACCATTCATTATTTGTATATTATACTTATACAACATAATCAATATAACTTAGCCATCCTGACTGACTCATCCAACTAATTTTTAGCCAGAACAACAACTGATGTTAGATTTAGCTGTACTCCTTGGTGTCTTATCAAGGTGTTTGGAAATATGCGATCTCTATAAAACCAAAAATTACCCAGCGTCAGGAATATATGTGAAGCGCCATCTACGGCGAAGGGATAATTTGTGCAGCAAATACCGTGTATAAGAAAACAAGGCGTCTTGATTGTTACCAAGATTTGAAAGGAAAGTTCTCCGGAAGGAGCAAATAGTTGGTGAGTTTGACACAAGATAAATGAAGAATGATTGTTTGTTGTTAAATTAGCCAGGTCAATGATTTCATTGTGTAAATAGGTTTATGTTAATTTAGGCAAAGTTCGCCAGTTTGTAATGTTGTTAAAGCACGTAAAGTATAAGTGCTTACGGATGGGATACATGTGTGTGTATAATGAACGTACACAAGTTCAGACTTTGAAGATGAGTGGTTGCAATTGCACCCAGGTATGTGTCTTGCATAAAGGGGTTTATTCATATAAACAAGCTCTAAGATGGTGCATGATTTAATAAGTATGATATGTTATAGCGACTTGCACAGCTTGTAAGAGTTAAAAGAAGTTAATTACCATTAAAAGGAGTGAGTAGAACCGTTTTTTGAGGGAACATTATTGATGTCAGTTGTATAGGGTCTGGAATCACATAGACTACCTTGTAATTGCTTAATTAAGGGGGCATTATGAAGCCGTATCTGTAGAACACCGTGCATTACAGGCACATTCTAAGCACAGGAATTTATGAAGATATATATATATATATATTAAGCAGAGACATAAATGAATACACTGTATAGCTGGATAGTTACATTCCTTTTGGAGTTTATTTCGTATATAAACATCACGTTTATTTATTTATTTTTTTTTTCTTCATATTTTTCCCTCCACAGGGATTTTATTGATTTTCATTTGAAACACATACAAAATATATTTCCAAGGTAATTTACATTTATAACATAAATGAAATTGGCTTTTAAAAATACAAGTATTGTTGAACTGTTGAGAAAACTAACAAATCAATAATTCATTTCTGACACTCATGTAAAGAAAAACAAATACAGAAAAAATATCATTTTAAGTAAACAAATTCCTGAATTGAAACCATTTTCTTGTGAATTTATTATTTCTACAATTCGAATTTGCAATATACTTTTCGTTTTTGAAGTAATTTAAAATCGAAACTCTAATGTTATCAAAGTCGGGCAATTGTTTTTTTATTTTGGAAGTATACACCATCTGTCGCACCACAATCAGTATACAATTCAATGCATAATTATTTGAACCTTTTAAACCAAATAATTTATCTTGTAATGAAAATGTTAATTTATTTCCGGTTCTAGTATTAATCCAGTGTTCTAACCTACCCCAAATATTTTTAACATGCGTACAATCACATAGGAGATGTATAACTGTTTCAATCTGTTCATTACAAAATGTACATTCTTTTCTTGGGACTAAATTCATTTTAAACAGTAGATCGTTTGTATATAATATGCGTTTATATGTCAAGAGTATTTACAAGATTCACTGTAAAGTAGACAGGGTTACATGCATTTAATTTTGTTTATATGATGCATATGTTTATAATGCTTTGTTACTTTGTTGTTTACAGTGAACCGCTAATTGGATTGCTGAATCGCTAAATGATGATGATTCGCTAACTACGGAATTGCTGGATTGCTGATTTGCTAATCACTGATTCGCTGATTGATGAGCGACTTGAAGATGACTTGTTACTAAAGAACAGAATAAAGAGAAATAAGAACTCAACAAGTTGTTTCAACGTTTCCTTTATTGGCGCGTTCACAATCAATATGATCATTGTCTTCAATCGTCATATTTACAAACAGACCAAATCATACCTCGGGTGTCCCCAGCTGTAATCAAACTCAACAAATCATACCTGCTAGAAGTCACTCAACAGAGGTCTCTTACTGCTGACCGCCTAAAATTTCAGACACACATATCAATTCGTATCCGGACACCTACATCCTAGACATCGACCCCGGATAACCACCCCTAGTCAACTACCCCCTAGGACACAGGTCGCCAACCATTTAAAGCTCGCGGGCCACAGCTAACGATTGTCATAATTTGGCGGGCCGTAGGTAGTCTTCAACCCCACCCCCCCCCCCCCCCCCACACACACACATGCAATACATGTACACACCCGCAACTTTTCAAAAACAAAAAGAGCAAACCACAAAATCAGTGAAAAAAATCAGGCTGACTTGTTTTCGTGTGATTAACCTTCATTACATTCACACTCAATTGAGGCAAAGTGGTTTACCTTTCTCTTTATTGAAGAAATACTTCAGAGACCAATTCGATTTAAAGTTTCTACTTTCATCAGAAAGTATCCTTTTCTTCGCAGGTCTCGAAGTCGACGCCATGTTGGTTATTATTTCAAACACAATCAAGGGCACAGCAGAAAGAATATCGTAACTTTATTAGTTGTACATTGCACACTTCATTGAACGCGCCGTAAATAGAAGGGGACTATCCAATTTAAGATTAAGATTCATGAGAAAACTCAACGGCAGGAGAAAAGGGTTGTAAGTTTCAAGTATGGCATTCCAAACATATGTCTCCATTCACAACATTTGTATATTTTACAAACGTTATTGCGTGCGGAAATTTCAAACTGAAATTAATAAGGCGAGTGATGTTCATGTCGTGTAATGTAATGAGAGAGAATTTGAGGAGTTTTGTATCAACCACTAACGAGACAATATGTTGTGAATGATGAAAACAAATTATGGACATAGAGGTAGCTGTGTATATGTTTTATCCTACTTCATCGCTGCTGGCAGGCCGCATTTCATTCATGAGCTATTTTTATAATTGCTTATTCGATGCTCCACGGGCCGCACCAGAAGAACTCACCGGCCGCGGGTTGGCCACCCATGCCCTAGGACATACATCTCCTACGGCAACCACCCTCTAGGGCGACTACCTCCTGGTCAACTACCCCATAGGAAAACTACCCCCGGACAACTTCCCCTAGGATAGTTGTCCGGGAGGTAGTTGTGCTAGAGGATGGTTGTGGTAGAAGTTACTTGACTGGGGAGTAGTTGTCCGTGGGTAGTTGTCCTAGGGGGAAGTTTTCCTAAGGGGAAGTTGTCTAGGGGAAGTTGTCTTAGGGGTTAGTCGTCCTAGGGGGTAGTTGACTGGGGTGGTTATCCGGGGGTGGATGTCCAGGGGGTAGGTGTCCTAAAACCATGTCAATTATCTAGTATGGTCATTTTGCTAAATCTCCCTGCGATAATATATCCTTTTCTAAACCGGACCAAAATGTATCTCTATTGATGGTATTATTATTATATAACAAAGTTGTTGATATCAATAATATATGACCTACAATACTAACGAACTGATTCTTACCAAAAGCTACACTAGTCATCATCCGCTTAGTATGCAAACTCTGAAATAAAGCCACACTAACTTGCAACAATGTGCTTCGACTATGCACCCTCTAACTAAATTACTCAGTATAATTCCACAATTAAATACTAAAACCACTTGAATAATAAGACAGATACCTCTCATATAATGACAGAATTCCTTTAGATAATCTACTGCTATATCACATCTCATTATATATACAAAATAAAAGTATCTATTCAAAGAGTCAAACATTCTATATCACAGCGAACTCGCAGTCATGGAGAAAAATCTGTTGTGCGTGCAGCTAGCGTGCAATGTATGGGCAAAACATTGTCACTGTTTAAAATTTCAAAGTTATGCCAAATCACATATGAGTATATATATTAACATATTATTATTAACATACCTTGGAAATATAGTAAATTCACTGGAATTATCTCCTACACTCGAGACTTCCTGACCCTCCTCTTACTGACATCTTCTGTATGATCATCTCCAAGTATCCACCCCTCACTCTTGACCGAGGCCATACATATTCATCTACTTAAAAAAAAAAATCTTACTTACTATAATGTACATACAGTTTAACTAAAAGTACTAAGTATTTCCAACATAAATTATACATGATACACATTTTCCGTGCCTGACTCATCTTATAAAAGTAAACAAAGGATTCAGTTTGGGGAGGGGGGACTAAATAAACTCAGCGAATGAATACTAGCCCCAACCAACAAGACCCATCAAAAACGCGGTCTCTTCTTCCTCTTTCCTTATAATAGTCATAATCGATTACTTTTACCAATGACTTTAATATTATCATTTTCCCCTCTCTCTCTCTCTGAATTGATAATTAGTTATACACTTTCTATATTTGTCTTCGTTTTTTCATTCTTAACTAAATTATACAAATACATTTCTTAACTAAATTTACAATAACAAATCAGCTTGACAACCGCTACCCCCCGCACGCGTATTTTTTTTTTTACACGACAGCCTGTGATTTTACGGCTTAAATTTCAATATACGCGCTCACGAAGAGTCTAGCTAGCTATCTAGTTTAGCTACAGAAGCTTAAAAAGAGAACACAAAAAATTGGACTTTAATTAGTTATTGATTTGCCTCACCATTTATAAAGGCCAAAAATAGAACTGAATAAATACTGAGATTCGAACCAACAAGATTGCATTACACTGTCCTTCCCGATTGATCTAACTATTGGTTGATAAAAGGGTTTGCATGATTATTATAACTCTATCACTATCTCTAATGATTACCATGTGCGCATGCGTAGGGTAAGCTAGCTAGCTAGACTCTTGGTGAGCGCGTTTATTGAAATTAAAACCGTAAATTCACAGACTGTCGTGTAAAGAAAAAATACACCCCGCACAGTTCCAATGGCGCTTGCCCTGCCCTTTCTCAGATGCGATCGTACCTGTCAACGCGGTAGGTAAATTTGCCCCGACTTTTCGGTCAAGCAAATAGGTAACTCATGCATGAAGAAGGGAGCGGCACTAGCTTTACCTGTGCGTACAAAAGGTTTTTCATAATCAGTTTACCTACTCATTATATCCGATTTATTAATGAGGCGAAACACTTTTTGTCTTGGTTAGTAAACTACATGTGTATCTTATATGTGAATCGTCAAATTCGTCAAATTCATCTCGGTCCATATACATACTCTTAAATTGGAACCTAGATGTTCCAATAACATGGCCAGGTATAGAAACCCTGAGTTAAAGTTTGGAAGTAATCAGAGGGTATACTCCCGACTCATACATTACCAATAACCAGTATCCTTTTAAATATGTATACTAAAAGCAATCAAAATAGATAGTTTAGAATCATGAGAAAAACAGTTAGTCATTACTATTAGCCATTAGTAGCTAATGGCATGATATTACTCGGTTGTTCGGTATAGGGGGTACATTTCTGCCTCTTCTAAATCCTCAGTGGTCAAAATCAGAGCTGGCATCTTGTCGTCGTCTCTTGATAAGGATCGATACGATGAAGAGATGAACGACCATGACGACATGGATGAAGCCGACAATGATGAACACCTTCGTGAATGACTGGGTGACATCAAACAGGTAACCTAGGAAATGATCATACCAGAATTATAAGTATTTGTCAATGATTTGTTATGTTAAAATTGCAAGGCATACTAAGACACAGTTTTGACCATAACCTAAGCAGACATACATAAGTTTCCTCCCAGGTAGATATTTCTTACAGGGTTCGAACTGTTCGAGGCTACATGAATTGCCTGCCTACATCTTTTTCTCTCAACTAGCTATGACACGCATAAAGTGCCATAGATAGCTAAATCTCGTTACCTAAAACTCACGAAAGTCATACCGCGATACAATTTGCATGTTGACTGAAAAATAGTGACGGAACAATTCTTCTACACATGGATTTAAGAAATATCAATCTGATCGCATGTTTACCAAGACCTTTTATAAAATCAAGGTAAGGTAATTAGACTAGACTCGTGCGTCGTTTTTGTTAAAATGTGTGAGTATAGGCCTAACTAAATGATCTAGCTATAACTTAGATGCCGTGGAGCGACAAGGACATTGAACTTGAGAAACTTGTTTATCGATAATTATACTACTGTCTTCAGATTATCGCTTTTGAAAAGCAATCAATCCAAGAGTTGATGTTGTCTGTCCATAACCCGAAAAATAATTTATAATGCCAATACATACAATGGGGTGTTGGATAAATGGATTTGTCAAAGGCTCTTCATGTTCGAAAAGAAGAAATTGGCTATGAATTACGCACCTGTAAATGTTCCTGCACTTATCGCCCCTAGTCCTTGCGCCAATTGACTGACAGCCACGGCCATGTTAAAATTCCGATCATCAAAGACTGCATCTTTGAATAAAGTGGCCATAATAGCATCCTCGATGAAGAAGGTGGAACCTTGGACAAAAGCCAAGGTAGCACGCACCGCGTAAGCAGAACTGATAAAGTCCAGCAGAAATGATGCCGTTCCGATGAGACCTATAGCGATGTAGACGACATAGACATTGATGCCTTTGTCGACGAGGATAATGAAGATAGTCCGACTGATGATGCCACCTATGCCGCCAATTGTGGAGAGAAAGACTGCTTTGGAAGGAGGGATTCCCAGGTGTTCAGCGTGGGGGACCAGAAACAGCATCCACGCATAAATGGAGAAAATTATCAAGAAATGAATCGGGATGGTGAAGAGATAAAGTGGTTCGTTTAATAAACCACATGACCGTTTGCCGGTTTGAAAGACGGAGCTTTTCCGAGATAAGCGATCATTCGATGATGTTTCCTGCTTACTTATGTTACGTCTCTCGGTTTGAATCAAATGCCTTTCCTCCAAGACACAATCTTCACTACTCTCTTCCTCTTGCTCCTCCTCCTCCTCCTCCTTTTTTTCATTTTCCTCCTCCTCCTCATTATGATAACTGATGCTTTCTGTTTGTTTTGAGGATTCTCCTTCAAAGAGACACTTCCGTTTCTCATTCACCTTAACATGACTTTTGCCTTTATTTACAGCTGCGTTTCTTGGCGCCTTGCGTATCGTTGCACCACAAGCGACAAGGTTAAAAGTGATACCGCCAAGGATAATAAACGCCCCTACATAACCATAAGCTTCGAATGACCTTTCCATTACAATGGGGAGCAGCATGGATCCAGCGGTGTAGCCGTACAACGTGATTGTGTTCACCAAAACAAACTTTTCTCTGAAGAAGTCGTTCAGTGCAATCACTGTGGGCATGAAGGTCATTGACAAGCCAACACCTGCAGAGATACAAAAAAAACATTAAAATGATAATAATGACTACTGCTAAAGATGAAGCGTACCCCCCCCCCTTCCCCAATTTCCATTCAGTTCTAGTCTCAATGTTCTTTAGCAGTGGCCTAACCTTAAAGTTGATATTCTAAGAGAATCCCAAATATTGAGATAATTACATCAATAGAAAGTTGTTAACCCCAAGATTAACACTGGTGTCCAACTGACAACAACAAGTTTAGAATGGTGAATTTATGCGAGTAAACTCTACCAAACTATCTAAGTCTGAAACCCGGAAGTGCATGTAGAGTCGGGCCTCTATCCGTGACGTCACGAACGGGACTCATGGGCTCAGTGAGAGTGAATGGCAGTGATATTCCTACGTAAATGCTATCCTGTCAGAGCTTAGATTTGTTGTTGTTAATGAGTATATTTGATGGATTTTCTGTTTTCATTTGAATGAAGAATATCGAAGCAACATTTTTCAGTCGCTGATTTCTTTTTTATATCCTCATATTCACCTATTTGGTAGAGATTTAAGACGAGTTTACTGCTTGGGAAACAAGGTTAAAAAATGCACTTATGAATAGGCGGAATGATGCATTATCTTGTCATCAGATAACTAGGAGCAGTTTTGTAAAACAAATAGGCCTGGAACTATGATAGTACTTATCATAGATGTGTGTAACTGCCTTAAAAAAAGGATACACTACAAGTTAAACATTTTATGTTGTGAAATATCAAACTTCAACGAGATCATGCAAGCACGCTTCCTCTATATTTTGACAACGTCTAGTGATCGAACGATATTCACCCGCGAGTGATGCGGCTCTTGCACGAACGTTCGTGAAGAGAGCAGAATCGGGAGGTAAGACCAGGCCGCTGCTCTAGGCGCGGCTTGCTTGTGATGGAACGTACGTGCGCTAGTTGTATATTTATCGGCAATTGCAGTAGAATGAAAGCGACGTTACCAGCTTTAAAAAAAAACCAACTAACAAAGACTTGCTCCTGACTACCGGTGTCGTAATGCACAGCATGGAAGAAGATGAAGGATCTTCAGGGCCAAGGAAGGCGAAAGACATGCGAATAAGGAAGTAGAAACCATCAGGAGATCGCTGTATGGTACTGTTCACCCCGTGCCTGGGCCGATTTCAACACCAAAACAAAAATTACATGATGAAATGTCGACTAATAGCACATCGTTGGCATGTATATGCCATAATTTTTAAAAGGGGAATTGATATTAATACTATGAAATATTAGGGGGAGGTGAAGAATTGTACATAGACTTATGATTTATTAGACTTTTCAGCCTTTGAAACAAAAATAAGCAGAAAATCGTTTCTCTTTGCACATGCTTTCTATGGAACATCCGGGTACGTGAATATGCTCTTTCCCGGACGTTACGTCATTATATAGTAGACCAGCGCCGTGACTGATTTTCTATGCAAAGAGAGGCGGATATTTTCGACATTTCAATTTCGAGTAGCCAGAATTTTGTTGTGATATACTATGCAATTGAAAAACTTATAAATAATAAATGCTTGCCGTAGGTACCAAATTAAGGGACATCTAGTTGCTTAGAATATCAGTTTTAACTTTTATCATGCCACAGGGTTAATCCCCAGTGTCACTATAAATATGACGGACAAAGAGAGAGGACAAAATATACAGTTCCTCAGGTAGACAAAGGAACATCCCTTCACTGCTATTATGTAAAAATGTGTAGAACAAGTGTCACATGCATATTCACCTGTTCTACATATTTTTACATAATAACAGTGAAGGGATGTTCCTTTGTCTACCTGAGGAGCTGTATATTTTGTCCTTTTTCTTTGTCCGTCATGTTCCTAGCGTGTGCCAAGCTCGAAATCCCCCCGTGCCAGGTTGTTTTGGAGATAATCTGATTAACGCGATGGTTCTATGAATGGCGAGTGCAAAACACACAGCACAGTCCAATGAGCATGAACAATTAATAACTGCTATTTCGAAAGCGCCCTTGCACGCACATGACACTCAATAGGTGGCATAGCGATAGAAGGCATGCAGCCTCATGACAGGCTATGAGTTAATAGATAATAGATAAGTTCCTTTTTTGAACTGCTGTTCAACCTCTGGCACGTTTGTCATTTGAAGGCTGGCAGAAGAGCATTTGTGAAATCATTTCACCCTTGCTCCTCCAGCAATAACCACTGAAACGAAGGAGGCGTTCTCTCAGTATATGGCGTTGTGTCTAAATACAACTCTACATTTCCTATAACTATGGTCCTTTCAGCTTACATTCAATGCTGCTCTCAAGATTCTTGTCTTGTAGTAATGATACTGCTACAACCAGGCGCGCCAGAAGCAGTTTAGGAGTGGGGGAGGGGCAAACATGCCAGGGGGACCACCTTCGAGGGTCAGTGGCGTAATGAGCAAAAACGTTTGGAAGTGGGGGGGGGGGAGAACAAAATTAACATCACCACTACTCTTACATGTTACATGCAGGCCCCACGGAACGTTTTTCAAAGTGGAGTATTAACGATTAGGAATAGCGGAGCAAGCGTAAATTTGCGTGGGGTCTAGGGCCTGAGCCCCGGCAGGGTGTCAAGGGGCTAAGCCCCCAGGAGCTCAGGGATTTTAGGCATTCAATTACGGTCAGATAAGCATATTTAGATACCTTATTTGTGACATTGGCAGGTCACTAATTGGCGGCGGGGGGGGGGGGGGTACAGGAGGCAGAGCCCCCGGAAGTTCGGGTTTTTAAATATTTAATAAAGGTCAGATAAGCATCCAGGGGCCTTCTTTAGGACCCTTGATTGGGTCCAGGGGGCAGATTTCCCGGAAACTCAGAGGTTTTAAATATTTAATTACGGTCAGATGAGCATCCAGGGGCGCCACTTAGAGCCCTTGGCATATGGAAACGTTGTATCATTCGTTCAATCTGACTTGCGTGCATAGAACAAATAAGCATTTTCCATGAAAAAAGTGAAGTTTTCTAAAATGTGCGTTTCTTTCCAGCATTGTGGTGCCCGGAAGTCAGTCGGGTAACATTTCATTAAGTATAGTATAAAATGACCATATGCAAATTTGCTGTACTTTTGTCGGAAAAATATATTTTATCCAGCACAATGTCGTCTCTTTTTGTGTTGGAGAAGAGCAAATAACGAGTTTCGATCACATTTTGGCCGCTCTTGCAAGATCTCACTCGTTTCACTGTGGTCAAGCGACTTTGGAGCAAGCGTTAATGAAAATAATAATCGTTAGCTTTCTTCTGGTATCAAACTTGTTTTGATTGATTGTATAATTTTGTCGTAATAAAGGAAACAAAAAGGCTTGACCAATAACCAATAACTAGCGTCTGAATTGACCTTTTGACCTTGGATTCCCTGATGCAAGCGCACATAAACAGGTTCTAATGACGTCATCTTCGCTATTAAAATCGGTGTCTTTTATCGTAAGATGCTACACTTTCACAATATCTATACCTCTTTTGTTATTGTTTGTAAGATAATAACATATTTTGTATGATATCACTGAAGTTTTGGGTTTTATTTAATGAGTAATTTTTAAATAAGAGCCATTTTACTGTTTGAATTTACTGGATCTTACCATTAAAGTCGCAGGGTAGAAAGATGCATTTTTCAACCGCGCCAAATTTAATTTTCGTTCCGACATTCTGTTAAATGGGTTCATGTTGTTAAGAATTCACTGCTTTCTGCTCCGCCAAACGTCCACATGCGGAGTCGTTTATGAACTAAATTATTCAAATTTATGGATGCTTCCTTCCCAGGTGTTTGTTTTGTTAAGGCATTTCATTCACGTGCTATCACTCTTTGTAGTCCAATTGCCAAAATGCAAATTACATTTTGGTTTTATAGTTTCATGCGGAGTCGTTTATCAACTATATCTATTCAAATTTATGAACGCTTCCTTCCTAGGTGTTTGTGGTGTTTATGCATTTCATTCCCTGTTATTCTTTGTACTCCAATTGTTAGGATACAAAATGCATTTTGGTTTTATAGTTTCATTCAATAAGTAAGTCAATACAAGAGTATGTTCTGCACAATAAAAACAATGTGTGTCCCTATTGTATAATGTAATGTGTCCCCTCATTTTGTAATAGTTAATTTACCCATTCACATAATGGAACTACCTGCCCGATGAAGCCAGTGGCCCGTGACCTTTGAGCAACCAACACCATGTGGGAGTCAGTTTGTGGTCAACTTCTGTTTTGAGACAAATCCAAGCAATCGTTTCCATATGGGGGTCCAGGGGACAGAGCCCCCGAAAGCTCAGAGGTTTTAGATATTAAATGACGGTCAGATAAGCATCCAGGGGCCCACTTAGAGCCATTTTAGGGTCAAGGGGTCGTAGCCCCCGCAAGCTCAGGGGTTTTAGGCATTTAACTACGGTCAGATGAGCATATTTTGATACGTCATTTGTGACATTGGCAGGTCACTTATTGTATCTCTTTCTCTTTCTTTCTGTTTCTCTGTAACATACTTTTTCAATAATTGAGGGGAGGGGGGGGGGGGGGTTGAGCCAAATGGGGGATATGAAGGCTTCTAAATTCGCATATTTTTCGCCCGACTGTAAATTTGGGAATTTCAAATTGTCCAACAAGTGTATACAAATATCGGAAAATCATGTCATTTCAGCAAAATTTGTAATTTTTCTAAATCACTAGTTTCGAATTAGAAATCCCCCCCCCCCCCCCAATCAGTACGCCAGCGTTCAGAGGCTCATGTCTTGTCACCCCTATGGTAAAAAACACACACGCTTTCCCATCCTCTCACAATATTTCCACGATATGCGCGTATCGCTTTTATCAAAACCTTTTTTGATAAAAATAGGTGGCATGCGGAATGTTTAGGAAATTCAATTCCTGTTAACTTTCATTTTCTTTGAATGGAATATATTATATGATTCAATTCAGGGTTGTTGTTTTTTTTTGTGGTTCTTTTTGGTCAAAATTACAAGCCATCTTTACTCCTTTACTGCCATTGTTTGTTTTTGTTTTGTTTTGCTTGTTGTTTTTTTTGTTGGGGGGGAGGCTTTTTTTGTTTGGGGGGGGGGGGGGACAAAAATGCGTTTTGCCCCCCCCCCCTCCTCCGAGTTTTTGGTTGGGGGGGGGGGGGAGTGCAAAAATCACCTCCAAATCACTAGTTGTTATATTCTAAAACGCTGTCAGTTGTTTAGAAAGTAGTAGCACGGAATATTTATGAATATATATAACTGGCGATATGATAATCAAATACATGATCAAAAGGCAACAAATACTGATGAGATTTCATTGTATAACAGAGATTAACAATAGTTCCAATTAGTCAATCTAAAGAAATCGAAGTTTCCCTCTTATCTCTCAATATTACTCTTAATCGAATGCACAAAATTGTACGCACATACCTACTATGCAGGGCACAAAATAAGCTCCATTTTGATATTTTCGATTACGTAGCTAAGTTACAAATATTTAGCTTACCTGATGAAGCGAGAAAGATTCCAACGGCAACTGAGTTTTTGAAGAAAGCGCTGGCAATTATACATAATCCACACAACCCTCCACCTAACAAAGCGACAAAACGATGGTTGATCTTCGGCAAAACGAGTGTTACAAAAGGACCTAATATGTTGACAAAAAATAAGAAAACATACTAAATCAAAGATTACAACTAAAAAGATTAGGTAATCACGTTTAAAAGTAAACACTGTTTTTAGAATCTACTTTTTTTAGATGTAAATGTCAAATTTATATTTACATGAAAACATGATTACCATATTGCTTCCCGAATATGAGGTGACGAATACTTAAATAAATTAGGAATTTCATTCAAGAAGGAGGAGAAGGATGACGACGAGAACAGAGAGAGAGAGAGAGAGAGAGAGAGAGGAATGGGGTGGGGGGGTGCAGCTCCTACCCCTGCATTACCCCAGGTAATGTTCTTTGGCAAGATGAAAATATTCGCTACTTTCTACCCAGGTAAAGTTAGTGGGGACTTTGTAGTTAGAGAATTACAAAAAAAATGCGTCATGTTTTCTCTTACTTGCAATAACCATTTTTACCATTGTTGACTAATGATGACGATGAGTATTATGGTGATGATTGTTATTATCACGATTATTATTGTAGTTGTTGCAGCTGTTGTATAATCATCGTTTGCATCATGTTATTACCTTAATTATGATTGTTTATATTATTATTATTATTATCAATATTATTAGTATAATTATAAATATGATTTTTGTTATGAAGATGATAGAGATTATGATGATCATACATAGTATTATAATTCTCGTTACCATCATTAAATTTACATATAATGCTATCTACCACTTGCACTACTAATACCAACAGTTTGTATATATCACATTTTACTTACATCCGAGGCACATAAATGTTGCAGGCAAGCTACATATAAATCCAACAGTAGCATAATCTGACTCCAGACGCTCGACCATTGTAGGAATAAAAACACCAAAAGATTTCGCGATGCCAGTTTCAATAAAAAATACCACGAATCTGCTAACAACAATCCAGTAGCCCCAAGACCATGAATTGAAGCTTGCAATAATAGACATTTCACCCTTAAAACAGAAGTATGAGTAATCCAATCCAATCAAAAAAATAATTATTTGATTTAGGCCTGACGCCCCTTTTACTTTGCAATAAGAAAGCGCTGCTTATATCGCGTCACACGATATGGTCACCAAAACAAGATATCACTTAAACAGGTCCAAGTTGGCCAAAACATTCCAGTGTTGTCTAGCTATGGAAAGGGCTTCAAAAATTCCTTGAACTAGACAGTTGAAGCTGACTTCCAAAGAGGTATAAAGCTCTTCCACAACTTTGCAGCAAACGAGAGATCGTTCTCCTGCGTACAAACGTCCGCCAAAGTTGCTTTTCGAGTCGATGATTAAGTTAAAGTTGGATTCGCGTTGATTTAACTTTATTCAGTGTGTAGGCTACACAGAATAGACGATTCTTCTACTGTATTTCAACAGTACAGTGTCTCGTGGCAAAGAACATGTGCTTTCTTAATATTCCCATCAGCTGCTCTTCAAACAGGTTTTGATGAAATATCTACAAGTTCATCTAAATGAACACTAGAAAATAGTCGTATACATATCAAAAACTTGGCAGGAACCTCAACAAGAAACCGACATTCCGGCTACAGTCAGTTTCAACGTTAAAATCAGTATCCCTGTATTGCGACAATTGACGATTAACTTGCAATATCAACAACATGCAAATACGCGTTAATAGAAAGAGGATGCCTGAATGCCTATAGGTCAAATGATGTGCAGTATTATTCCCTATGAAAGACCACGGAGTACGCCATTGTCATGTATGCACCTTTCAATAGATTACCTTGGGGAAAACAGATTTGTGTGACATTGTTTGTTTAATTTAATTCATTTGATACAATCTTTTTGTCCATTACTCGATAACTTGTACGTTAAATGAACTTTAAATGACATTTGCAATACAACATATGAAATGAAACGTGTTCGTAATTATAATCTTAATTGTTTACACGTAATAAAATCATCAAATGATACAGGCCTAAGTATATTATAATTTAAGTCTAATCTAAATGAAAAGAGAAATCCAATTAAAAAGCAGAGCTTGTTTTTCCGTGGATTACAAGGAGAAAAAAAACCCCGTAGTATACAGCGCACAGACTCATATTCTGATATGCGCTATATAAGGTATATTATTATTATCTATACAAATACATGTGTATAGCAAGAGGATATAGAGTATGGGCTTCATGATTCCTTATGTAAGGCGGCATACATTTACTAAAAATGTAATTGTTTATTTATGACTGCATTGAAGAAAAAACGAAAGATTCATCGGAATTTCGAATGACGACTATGCAGAAGAGGAACAGAGTCTGGGCAATGTAATCAGTGGTGGATCAATGTGGGGCCGAATTTGCCGCGACCCTGCTACCCGACATAGGCCCTAAAGCAAAAAGTCTCGTGGCAAAGCAGTTCCTTATATTTATATATTTCATCAGCTTCCCATCAAATAGAACCTACATGAAATATCCACGTGTTCCTCTAAATCAATACTAAACAAAATAAAGTATAAATATTCAAGAACAAAATTATTATTAAACTTGTACTAAAATCAGTCCCAAAGATAAAAGCGATTGGCCTTTATCGCGGAAATGGACGGTGAACTTAACGTGTAGACGTAGGCTGTGCCTAGTTTGAGAGTTACGTCAACGAAATGGAAATAGAGACGCAATGCTTGAATGCATATTATATAGGTCAAAGTCTGTGAATCTCTCGCCAGTATCGGCTTTGTTATTCCCAATGAAAGGCCCCTTATATTCAACAGGAATTATTAAAGACTGGTTTGGGAAATCTATTATTTATCAAATTCATCGGAGTTTAACTGTAACTCGACATTTGCTACCTTGACCTTTGTTTGTTGCATGCACCTCGCTAGGCCTTTATCTTCTACACAGATCAATTTCTTTTAAAATCCGTTTAACGCGGAATCCGTCATTGATTTTAGGTATATTTCAAGAGTTAGATTATGATTGCATAATTATCATGGCAATGTTCATTGAATGAATAAGTGATGGGCAATAATATTATTTATATGGAATGTAAATGTATATAGGAATGTTTGAAGGTTTGGGTATACATTTCCGTGCAGTGTAAAATGATGAAGTGTAAGTTATAGATGAGGTAATCAATATAGATATGTTGGGAACGTAATACACCAGTTTACGGTTGTGTGCGCCATTTTAAACAAAGCCAATGACCCAGAGGTCATGTATTTATGCGTAAATTAAGATTGCGCCCATGCAAATTATGATGATATCACTGCCTACGCGCTGCATTGTGCGCGCACATCATCAATTGCATATAATACACCAGTTTACAGTTGTATCAGTGCGCATGAGCAGACAGTTGACCTCGGGTCATTGGCCCCGGAACAGTGCCAAATTGGCCCTGTTCCGGGGCCAATGACCTCTGACCTCTGGTATTAATGCGTAAATTAAGATTGCGCCCATGCAAATGATGATATGCGCGCACAACGTTACGCAGCGCGCAGGCGCAGTGATATCATCATAATTTGCATGGGCGCAATCTTAATTTACGCATAAATACATGACCTCTAGGTCATTGGCCTTGTTTAAAATGGCGCACACAACTGTAAACTGGTGTATTATGGGCGCAATCTTAATTTACGCATAAATACCACTGGTCATAGTTATTGGCCCCGCTTCCGGGGCCAATGACCCGAGGTCAACTGTCTGCGCATGCGCACTGATACAACTGTAAACTGGTGTATTATAAAGACATATCACACTTTTGCTCACATAATAGGAGGATAATCATCGAAGGCGTGTTACATACCACTCAACCATAGTAGTAATAAGAACACATACACATTTACCGATCACAGTACCATTAACAAGTAGAACAAACCTTCTTATGGCACGAACTTGCTTCTACAACAATCACATACACAGGAATACACAATGGAGCTTGCTATGACAATTTTACCTTCAAAGTAGAAGTGTGATTATTCCAATCCAATTCAAATGATAAGGATTTGAATAAAGCATTGTGCCTTTTCTTTGCAGTAACAAAGAGCTGCACATATCGAATTATTCACATATAAATAAAGCACAATTTCAACTATGTTGGAACAATCGACTCGAAAGAATCCTCTCCCGAAAGAAAAAGCGCAGGTAATCTGGAAACTAAGATGTATTTCTGCCCTTTGATGTACAATAGTCCTTGCGAAAATGAAAAAACAGATATATGTCACAGGCCTTCTAGATGTCTGCGCCGGTTCAATTTATAAAAGATTATCAAACACGGAGATCCACTAAAAACATAAGTCTGAAACATATATTTTGTGCCAATAATTCCAAAGAGGTATTTATTAGTATCCGTCTATCCGATGTCAAAGATACACCGATAATAAATTCCCAGTGTAACAACTGGCACTGTCTAATTCAAAACAACAGTTATTATAAAATAGATTTCATGCAAAGCTTTACAATATATTGTACGGGTAGAATAAACGATAGAGAAGGCACTGCGTAAGCTACACTGTACAGTGCGTCCCAGAAAAAACGAAACCGAGAACTATCGATGCTTTATCATAACTTCATCACAATTATAATTAATAAGTGACACATATTTGGAAAGCTTAGATCCCCCTCTTTGATTTGATGCAACTCTTATGATGCATATTTCACGCATGAGTGATTTTAAAAAAATTGAAGAGAGGAAACCAAAAAGTCATTTGACGGGCGGTATCTGCATTTCGAAAGGAAATCCCATTTCTAAAAGGTTCAATTTCTGCCCTTTCATATGACACCTCAATTAGGAAAAATGAGCCAGGAATAACAAAGTTCTGTTTGTTTTAAAAAATGCTTGCATTTCCATAATTTGATCAAACGAGTTCGTTTTCACTGGCTGCCTGCCGTAGAAACAAACAGAGTTGACAAAAGACTTAACTCCGTTTCTTTGAAGATCAGCCATGCATCAGGTATTTCGTCTTCTTTGTGATGAAATTATATTTGGTGCCATATATTAATAAAGGGGAACAATTGTAGGTCAGTTATTTAAGAATAATAACATTTAGCGGTTGCCAAAATGGACAAAATGTTGGTAAAAGTTGTACATGTTTGCGGCAGTAGATATCGAGGCAAAATGTTCAGATGATGTACTCCTCGAAAATTGCTGTAATGGAACTGATCAGGCGCGGATCCAGGATTTCTTAGGGGTGGGGGCCCAAATTTGAAATCAATTTGGAATTTAGTGTGCTGAAATATGAAAATCGTGCCGGCCGATTTTTTGCTAAGGGGGGGGGGGGGGGGAGGTAATGTGCACAATTTTTTGTTGGGATGCCTTTGAAAATCTGAAAAATTGCACCCCCCCCCCTCCGCACTTGAGCGCCAGGAGGGGGGGGGGCATCTCCATAAAAAAGGGGAAAATCTTTTCCCGGGGGGGGGGGGCCCTGGGCCCCCTGCATCAGCCACTGGAACTGATATACCGGTACTGTTGGAAAAAGGCTTGCTTTAGACGCGTGGGTCTTTATCCGATATAAGGTGACTTGTTACAGGTTAAGCCTAAAAGTGCAGGGTTATGTTGGTACTCTCTCAGCCGGGACAGGTAGGGGGGGGGTGCACTCTTAGAATCTCGGCCATCGAAAACAGGTAAATAATCTAACTTAGCAAACATAGAATATCTCACAAAGAATGAGTTCATAAAATTTAATATCTATATCTCAAATGATTACTAATGAACTTTACAAATATCCACAAATTGACAATTCTGCATTGTGTACAGTTCATAATGTTAATAGCGAAATGTTCATTTGTGCTGCATGCTACGCATCGAATTTTGCCTTTACTTTGGTAGAAATTATATAAACTTGGTATCAAAAGATAGGTGGCCGGGCGGTGGATCCTGCCCCGGCTCTTTCAGGATTAAAAAGAAGGAAAAAAAGCCTCCCGGGTGGTCTGGACTCTGAGAAGCCCTGCACATTGGCCCGAATTCACGAAAGAGGTTTGTCGACAAACCTGTGCGTTATATGACGCGTTTTGATGCGTTTCAGACCAAGATTTGTCTGAACCTTGGTCTGAAACTTATCGAAACGCGTCATATGACGTACATAAACCTAGGTTTGTCAACAGGCCCCCTTTGTGAATTCGGGCCTGTTTGTCCTATAGACATCGGGTTTGAATTACGTCAATGTTATGTTCACACATTTCAATAAGTGACCTTGGGAAAAACCATGTTTTTGAGGCGTGGTATGTTGAATAAAGGAATGTTGAAAGCTTATTTCAGTTTTATTAACCCAGACAATTTAGAAGTTACTTATCAAATAGTTTGGAATAATCATAATATTTGTGTCGTTTCCAAAACCCTGTTTTGATAAATGCATGCATATTAACCATGTCATTATCCAGGGCCATTTTCAATGAGTAAACTAGAAAAACAAAACATATGGTTTAGATTCATGGGAATACAGTTAGCCATTATAAATCGTTACTAACCAACCACTAAGCCGCGTCCAGGCGTAAGGTCAACCTGACAATACCCTGAACGACCTGAAAAAAAATATCAGTCCACTGCTGTGTCAGGCAGGCAGCCAGTCACAATCGGTTCCAAACTTCTTCTTTTTCCGTTAAAGGTTATCAGTCTTGTCAATGAAACCGAAGTTAACATACAAAATGTCCCAATAACATGGCGAAGTATATAAACCTTGAGTAAAAGTTCGGAAGTAATTACAGGGTATACCCCCGACTCATAGATAACCAATAACCATTATCATTTTAAATATGTAAACTAAAACCAATTAAAACAGATAGTTTATAATCATGGAAAAGACAGCTACACGCAAGAAACTGAGGTGCTAAATGTTGGGTGCTGAGTGAGATTCTGCACTTGAAGTGCCAAAATCAGCACTTGACGGGTTAACTTTAACAAGGAAACCGAAACGTGCTGAATATTTGAGTGCAGAAAACGAGTGCTATAACAATATGCAGCACTTAACATCGAGTGCTGACTGCATAACCTGATCTGATTGGTCGGTTAGTATAATAGCTGTTACCTTGTGAATATTTGTTTTTGAATCAAATTCAGCTAAGAGATTCTTACATTCTTCATTCTCCAGGTCAATACCCAAGGCCTCAAAAGTCTGAATAACTTTGCTCCTTAAACTGTCAACAACATCAGTATTCAAAGCTGTTGCAGCAGATAACACTCCGTTTGTCATAGCATGGGTCATGTTGGTGTTTGATAAAAGAGAACCAATGAAAAATGCAGCTGGTCTCACTATGAACATGACAGACAATGAAAGCGGACAAAATATACAGTTCCTCAGGTAGACAAAGGAACATCCCTTGACTGCTATTATGTAAAATGTGTAGAACAGGTGAATATGCATGTGACACCTGTTCTACACATTTTTACATAATAGCAGTGAAGGGATGTTCCTTTGTCTACCTAAGGAACTGTATATTTTGTCCGCTTTCATTGTCTGTCATATTCATAGTGTCTTGTACTGTCATTATGCATTGCTCCATCTTGTTCTTGTAGTAGGCCTATCCTATCATCATCATCATCAAATGCATCATCTGCTGCAGGATTGTGCACTTCACCAACAGCAACACCCAAATCAGCATCAACTAGACCCTCCATACCCTGTACAACTTCAGGTTCAGGTTCTTCTTGTGGATGTTGGTTTAATAAATGTTTCCTGTAAGAGTTGAAAGTGGTAAATGACGAAGGACATCCACCTTGACCACATACCAAATGTAGACGGGGCATGTCAAACAACGCATGAGTTAGCACTTGCACAAGGGCTATTCTACTAGCACCCAAAAGAGAGCAAAACTTGGCACTTTAAGTGCACAACAGTCAGCTCCTTTGGGTGCTAGCAAAGTAGCCCGGGTGCAAGTGCTAACTCAGCACTTCGAGTGCAGTCACTATGCGAGCTCCTAAAAAGTGCTAAAATTGAATCTTTAAGTGCTAAATTTAGCACAACAGTCAGCTCCTTTGGGTGCTAGCAAAGTAGCCCGGGTGCAAGTGCTAACTCAGCACTTCGAGTGCAGTCACTATGCGAGCTCCTAAAAAGTGCTAAAATTGAATCTTTAAGTGCTAAATTTAGCACTTTTTTTTTTTGAGTGTAGTTATTATTATTATATTAATCGGTTGTTCGGTATCAACTTGTTAAGGGCACCTCCTTTATTTATTTTAAAAGGAAGGAGGATAGGTAGAAGTTTCTGACTCCTCCTCTAAAACCTCAATGGTCAAAATAAGAGCTGACATCTTGTCGTCGTCTCTTGATGAGGATCGCTATGATGAAGAGATGAACGACCATGATGGCGTGAATGAAGCCGACGATGATGAACACCATCGTGAATGACTGGGTGACATCAAACAGATAACCTAGGAAATGATCATAACATAATCATAAGTATTTGTCAAGGAATTGTAATATTAAAATTGCAAAGCGTGCTAAAATACAGTTTCGATCATAGCCTTTTAAAACTCCTATTAGTATCCTACCAGGTAGATCTTTGTGACAGAGTTCGAACTATTTGAGGCTACATGAATTGCCTGACCGAGCAAGAGCAATTTCCATAGACGCATCTTTCTCTCTCAACTATATATGACTCGTATACAGAAGCGCCGTCGATAGCTAACTCTCTTCACCTAAAACTCACGAAAGTCTTTGCCTGTTTGTAACGACTCATTCATTCGCCTTACTTTTATTATACATTCATATTGTACATAATAATTTTCTATCACGGTACTTATTTATATTTATTATTCGTAGCACGTGTGTTTAAACTTCCAATCGAGCATCGTGGTTCCGTGCACTCGTTCAGCCCGCGTATTTTCAACAACACGATTTTTTTATTCACTCCCGCTTATTACATCCTCGGTCGAGTCAACAACTCCTGCTTACAACTCAGTCGAGCCAAGCAAGACGTCTGATGATTTTCTCTCCGGGCAGATTCTCTTTCGTGCCTATAACCTCTTTTACGGCACGCAAACCCTTTCTCTGCCGTCTTCAACGGGTTGGCAGTCCTGCAGTGGAACGTTTAAATCAGGACCCGACATGGCTCTTGATATCCGCCGGGAGCTGCCAGTTTGTTCGTTCCGGTAGCTCTTTTCACACACGAGCTCGATTCACTGTAGCTCGTCTGAACCTTCATCAACGAGTTCGACTCACTGCAACTCTGATGATTTCACTTCAAAGGCCGGCTCATTAATCCATCGAGCAACCCTCTGCCCTTCATCACCACCAGCTTTGATGTCCACATTTCAACATTGGCCTCCGACATCGAGCGACTAGCTGCCTTCTCGCCTGTGAGCTTCATAATCATCATCATCATCACGAGCGTCAGCGTTGAGATTCTTCACGGCTCTTCAGCCACGACAACGAAGCAACATCTCCGCCATCAAGCCTCCGCACCATCATCGCGTGAGCACCTTCCTTCGTGTTACCCGTCATCATCTTCATTGGACTTTCGACGCCATTTCTATCAGTCGTAAGCTTTTATTCATGTCATTCCATTTATCCATGTCCATCTCATTACATGACCATTTAAACTCCGTGCATTATCTTTGATTCTCATTTATGTGATTCGTATTCTGAATCATTTATTCGCTAGCATGACAACACCTTGCAAGTGTTTAGTGTACAGGTCAGTACCTCAATAAAATAACGAAAAGGAAATTCTTGTTATCATGTATTTTATTGCCAGTGTGACCTTGCTTCCTCGTAGCTAAATTAAAAGAGAGTTATGTTGTGTGACCAGTGAACACGCTTTACAATTTCCATTCACAATACCACACATAATTTTAAATGTTTACTGATAGTGACGGAATAGTACTACTAAACATGATTACCAAGAGCTTTGAGAAAATCAAGCTAAGGCAATTTAAACTAGACTCGTGCGTCATCTTTTGAAATGTATGATTAGGCCTGACTAGATAATCTACCTACGTCTCTTAACTTAATAGAGGCCGCAGAGCGACAAGGAAATTGAACTTGAGACACTGGTTTCTCTATAACTTTCTGTCTTCAAATATTCTATTTAGCTGCTCAAACAGCAATCCAGTCCAAAGCATTGATGCTGTCAGTCCATAATCCGAAAATGATTTATAATGGCAATATATACAATGAGGTATTGAACTTAAGTTGATTTCTCAAAGGTTCATCATGTTTAATAAAAAGAAGCTGGCTATGAATTACTCACCTGAAATTGTTCCTGCACATGTCGCCCCCAGTCCTCCCGCGAATAAACCGAGAGCCACGGCCATGTTAAAATTCCGATTGTCAAAGACTGCATCTTTGAATAAACTGGACATAATAGCATCCTCGATGAAGAAGGAGAAACCCTGGACAAAAGCCAAGGTAGCACGCACCGCGTAAGCAGAACTGATGAAGTCCAGCAGAAATGATGCCGTGCCGATGAGACCTATGGCGATGTAGACGACATAAACATTGATGCCTTTGCCGACGAGGATGATGAAGATGGTCCGACCGATGATGCCACCTATGCCGCCAATTGTGGAGAGGAAGATAGCTTTGGAAGGAGGGATTCCCAGGTGTTCAGCGTGGGGGACCAGAAACAGCATCCACGAATACATGGAGAACAGGCACAAGAAATTAATCGGGATGGTGAAAAGATAGAGTGGTTCGTTTAATATTCCACAGAACCGTTTGCCGGTTTGAAAGGCGGAGCTTGTCCAAGATGAGCGCGCATTCGGGGATGTTTCCTGTGTACTGGTGTTACGTCTCTCGTTTTGAATCAAACGCCTTTTCTCTAAGACGCACTCTTCACTATCATCTTCCTCCTTATCCTCCTCTCTTTCCACTTCCTCCTCCTCCTCGCGATAACAGATGCCTTCTGTTTGCATTGAAGGCTCTCCTTTAGAGAGACACTTCTGTTTCTCTTTTACTTCATTATCACTTCTGCCTTCATTTGTAGCTGCGTTTCTTGGTGCTTTGCGTATCGTTGCACCGCACGCGAAAAGGTTAAAAGTAATACCGCCAAGGATAATAAAAGCCCCTACATAGCCATATGCTTCGAATGACCGTTCCATTATAATAGGGAGCAGCATGGATCCAGTGGTGTAGCCGTACAACGTGATTGTGTTCATCAAAACGAATTTTTCTCTGAAGAAATCATTCAGTGCAATCACTGTTGGCATGTAGGTCATTGACAAGCCAACACCTGTGGGAAAAAAATGAAAATGAAATATCCTGCGTTCGTCCCTGCTAGTGCTACTACTACTACTACTACTACTACTATACTACTTTTAATATTACTACTGAAGAATGCAGAATTGACAACAGACTTAACTCCGTTTCGTTGACAATCAGCTATGCATGAAGTCTTTCATCTACGGCTGATTGTCTACGAAACGGAGTTAAGTCTTTTGTCAACTCTGTTTGCTACTACGGCAGGCAGCCAGTAAAAACGATTTCGTTTGATAAAATTATGGAAATGCAAGCACTACTTTAAACAAACGGAACTTTGGCATTCCTTGCTCATTTTTCATGATTGAGGTGTCATATGAAAGGGCAGAAACTCAACTTTCTAGAAATGTGATTTTCTCTATGAAATTCAGATACCGCCCGCCAAATGTTTGGTTTCCTCTCTTCAAATTGGTTTTAATCACTCATGCGTGAAATATGCACTATATGAGTTGCATCAAATGAAACAAGAGTATCTAAGCTTTCCAAATATGTGTCATTTATCAATTATAATTGTGATTAAGTTATGATAAAACATCGATGATTCTCGGTTTCGTTTTTTCTTGGACGCACTGTATAATACTTAAACGCTAATAATGATAATAACTATTATCATGATAATACCAAAATAGGAATACCAAGCTGCTTTTTCTTAAAAGTTGATGGCGATTATTGCGTTTTCCGTCAAACCATTTCAATATGTAATGTTCTTGTAGCTGAGTAATCACGTCGTGAGATGGCGCTGTTAACTGTACCTACACGGAGCTACTGATTAGGAGAGTTTGGCCAACTCGGTTGTAGTTGGGCTCAATATAGATAATACGGCTTTTGTTGGGCAAATTCTTTGGCCCGAATTCACAAAGGAGGATTGTCGACGAACCTAGATGTATGTGCGTCATATGACGCGTTTCGACGCATTTCAAACCAAGGTTATACAAACTTTGTTGTACAAACCTTGGTTTGGAACGCGTCAAAACGCGTCATATGACACATATAAACCTAGATTTGTCGACAAACCTCCTTTGTAAATTCGGGCCTTTGCGAATGAAAGTGCCAGGCTGGACGTTTATTAATAAATATGATTTATGACGTCATGATACGCCATCCATATCGTTCAACTTACGCTGTGCAATACTATACAAATATTGACTGCTCATGAGGATGATGGTGTGAACACCACCGAGGGAGTGGTAATTCCCACCATCATCCGATTACAGAGCAGTCCATATTTGTTTTATATACCTCATCCTTTTTATTGATTCATGATTAGTTCTAGCTGTATGTCTAGATCTAGCTTTAAAAATCAGGAAACGAGATCAAGAGGAATTCACTCACTAGAATAAGAAAAATCCAACATCAAGTCAAAATTAAAGGCAAGAGTATTGAATTCCTACGCGCTGCGCGTAACCGTGCGCGCGATTGCGGTAGCCTAGCAACTCATAAAAATTGTGTGCGCAACTAAGTCGCGGGAGGGGTTAGGGGTCCTATCCCAGGGTTTGATAGTAGCTATCAAACCCTATGACGTAATAAAAAACTTGATATATCGAAATGCTCTTTGACATGTGATATAGTTTTGACCAATCAGTGAATGACAATCTATGTATGAGGTATATAATAAACAAATAGTGAATGGTCATGAGTGCAATGGTACAAGATTTTGCCCGAGGTGAAAGATAAGAGACGCTATATTCAACGAGGCGCAGCCGAGTTGAATGGAGCGTCTCATCTTTCACCGAATGCAAAATATTGTTCCATTGCACGAATAAAGACCATTCACTATTTGTTTTATACAACACCTCGGACGTTAACGGGCTTAACACAGTTTTCCTAGGCCTAAATCTCAGCGATTTTTGTTTGTTTTCAATTCATGAAATTGATGATAGTGAGCGCGCACTATCAAGCAGGCAGCAAACCTTTATGTTTATTGTTACGCGGAGTGCAATTTCGTTTGATCCTTTCGCACCATTGCACTCTGACGTCACTTAGCTTACCATATACTTTGTACATTGTTAGTGACGTCAGAGTGCAATGGTGCGAAAGGATCAAACGAAATTGCACTCCGCGTCAATGATGCCATTCAATGGTACTTTTAGCGCATGTCATGTGATCAAGAATTGACCAATGAGGTTGCAAGAATCTTAGTAGGCGTTGTATAAAATGGCCTATGGACCGCGGGAGTTATAATGATTTAGCAGCCCCATATGTTATGTATTTACTCATCACTTTCGTCAGCATATATGTGCGCCAATTCGTATATCTATCATTCCGTGTTCCTGCTCCAGTAATGCACCAGGTTATATTTTTTTAATGAATGGAACTACGAATGACTTTATAATATAATTGTATTGACATAATGATATGATTCTCTTGATGTTCTGTCAAATTAATTCAGAAGAAGAAAACTTTTTTTTTTTCATTCAAGCTATCCACTTCAACCAGCAAAGCCCAATGCATTAATCATATCACTAACTCCACCCATCCTAGGACCAACACCATTAAAGGGGAAGGCCACCCTTTGTTGGTTTTTGATAAAAGAAGCAGCTCAGTGAAAGTTTGAGCAAAATTCAAAGAAGAATGTTATGAGTTTAGTTGGCAACGTTATGACGTATCTGCGAGCTCCTCTCTCATTTTTTATCTACATAACATTTCTTGTACTTTCATTTTCATCGTTATTGATAACGGAATATATTTTCGTCCATACATGGGTCGTCTAGAATCATATTTGTAATCATTACGAAATGGCGCGTATGTAATTACGAAAATGATGAGGAAATACATATGGGACTGCTACATAATTATAACTCCCGCTGTCCAATGCGTTTCATGCAGCGCAAGTTAAGCAATGCGCATGACGTTCATGACATCATAGTCATGTTTATTCAGCCTGGTACTTTCATAAGCTTTCGTATGTATGGTTCTCTATATACCATGCAGGGCAAAACATGAGCTACATAATGAAATATTCCATTACATAGCTAAACTAAAAGATATTTTGCTTACCTGATAAAGCGAGACAGACTCCTACAGTAACTGAGTTTTTGAAGAAAGCGCTGGCAATAATACATGATCCACACAACACTCCGCCTAGCATAGCGACAACGCGATGGTTGATCTTCTTCAGAACAAGTGTTACAAAAGGACCTAATATGTTGACAAATAAGGAGAAACGATACTAAATTAAAGTTACAAATATGAACAAAACGTGATATAATTACGTCCAAAAGTAAACACTGTTTTTAGAAACGCTTAGGAATTTCCCATCATCCAAATGTCAGAGTTATACTTACATGACAACATGATTATACCATATTGCTACCCGAATATGAGGTGACATTTAAACAGATAAATAAGGAATTACATTCAAGGTGGGGGAGGAGGAGGAGGACACATTTGACTTACTTAAGAGGTACATAGATGTTGCAGGCAAGCTACATATCAATCCGACAGTAGCATAATCTGACTCCAGACGCTCGACCATTGTAGGAATAAAAACACCGAAAGACTTCGCGATGCCAGTTACTATAAAAAGTACCACGGATTTGGCAACAGCAATCCAGTAGCCCCAATACCACATACTGAATCTTGCTATAACTTGTGTACCCTCAATGCAGATGTATGATTAATCCAATCCAATCGAATCCAACAAGTATTTTATTTAGCCCTGAAGATATCGCTTCACATGATAGGGTCACCAAAGCAAGATTTCACTTAAACAGGACCAATTTGGGCAAAACAATCCAGTGTTGTCTAGCAAAATAGATAGGGCTTCAAACATTCCATGAACTAGACGGATGAAGCTGACTTCCAAAGAGGTATAGGGCCCGTTCCACAATTTTGCACCAAATAAGAGATCATTCTCCTGCGTACAAACGTCCGCCAAAGTTGCTTTTCGAGTCGATGATTATTTCAAAATTAGGTTCACGTTGATTTATTCAGTGTGTAGGCTACAAAGAATAGACGATTCTTCTACTGTATTTCTACAGTACAGTGTCTCGTGGCAAAGTACATGTGCTTTCTTAATATTCCCATCAGCTTCTCTTCAAACAGGTTTTGATGAAATAGCTACAAGTTCATCTAAATGAACACTAGAAAATAGTCGTATACATATCAAAAACTTGGCAGGAACCTCAACAAGAAACCGACATTTGGGCTACAATCGATTTTAAAGTTAAAAGCAGTAGGTCTGTATTGCGAAAATTGACGATTAACTTGCAATATCAACAACATGCAAATACGTGTTAATAGAAAGAGGATGCCTGAATGCCTATGGGACCAATTGAATGATGTGCAGTATCATTCCCTATGAAAGACCACGGAGTACGCCATTGTCATGTATGCACCTTTCAATAGATTACCTTGGGGAAAACAGATTTGTGTGACATTGTTTGTTTAATCCAATTCATTTGATATAATCTTTTTGTCCATTACTCGATAATTTGTACGTTAAATGAACTTTAAATGACATTTGCAATACAACATATGAAATTAAACGTGTTCGTAATTATAATCTTAATTGTTTACACGTAATAAAATCATCAAATGATATATATAATATACAGGCCTAAGTATATTATAATTTAAGTCTAATCTAAATGAAAAGAGAAATCCAATTAAAAAGCAGAGCTTGTTTTTCCGTGGATTACAAGGAGAAAAAAAAACCCCGTAGTATACAGCGCACAGACTCATATTCTGATATGCGCTATATAAGGTATATTATTATTATCTATGCAAATACATGTGCATAGCAAGAGGATGTATGAATGCATATGGGAAAAAGGATATAGAGTATGGGCTTCATGATTCCCTATGTAAGGAGGCATACATTTATTAAAAATGTAATTGTTTATTTATGACTGCATTGAAGAAAAAACGAAAGATTCATCGGAATTTCGAATGACGACTATGCAGAAGAGGAACAGAGTCTGGGCAATGCAATCAGTGGTGGATCAATGTGGGGCCGAATTTGCCGCGACCCTGCTACCCGACATAGGCCCTAAAGCAAAAAGTCTCGTGGCAAAGCAGTTCCTTATATTTATATATTTCATCAGCTTCCCATCAAATAGAACCTACATGAAATATCTACGTGTTCCTCTAAATCAATACTAAACAAAATAAAGTATAAATATTCAAGAACAAAATTATTATCAAACTTGTACTAAAATCAGTGCCAAAGATAAAAGCGATTGGCCTTTATCGCGGAAATGGACGGTGAACTTAACGTGTAGACGTAGGCTGTGCCTAGTTTGAGAGTTACGTCAACGAAATGGAAATCGAAACGCAATGCTTGAATGAATGCATATTATATAGGTCAAAGTCTGTGAATCTCTGGCCAGTATCGGCTTTGTTATTCCCAATGAAAGGCCCCTTATATTCAACAGGAATTATTAAAGACTGGTTTGGGAAATCTATTATTTATCAAATTCATCGGAGTTTAACTGTAACTCGACAATTGCTACCTTGACCTTTGTTTGTTGCATGCACCTCGCTAGGCCTTTATCTTCTACACAGATCAATTTCTTTTAAAATCCGTTTAACGCGGAATCCGTCATTGATTTTAGGTATATTTCAAGAGTTGGATTATGATTGCATATCATGGCAATGTTCATTGAATAAATAAGTGATGGGCAATAATAGTATTTATATGGAATGTAAATGTATATAGGACTGTTTGAAGGTTTGGGTATACATTTCCGTGCAGTGTAAAATGATGTAGTGTACGTTATACACCGATTCGGGCGACTTCTGGTGGAAGTGCGCCGTCATAAGGTGACGCCATAACTGGCGTCACCTTATGAAGATGAAACAATTAAACATTTTATTTTCTATTGTACAAAATACGACAAAGATAGACGTCTCTTAAAAGAAAGGATTAAATTGAACAACCCCAATCTGAAACAATTATTGATGTCTAACCCAATTTTTACTCGTGAATTATTGGGTTACATATACGATACTAATCGTTTTAGATAGCTTTTAAAGCTATCAGGGATCCCCTTAACTTATGTCGATCCTGTAATAATATATAAAATGAAGTATTTGCGGTTTTTCCATGAACAATTGCAACTAACTCCCATCTCGCCTTTTCTGTGCATTTTATGCAATTTTAATATTGCAGCCTTTTTTTTTTTTTTTTTTTTTTTTTTTTTTTTTAAATAAAACCATATCACTATTAATTTCATTTCACCAAGGAAAGTCGCTCGTGGGCTTGATTTCCGAAGCCCACGCCAAAGCTATACACGAAATTGACTGGCGCAAATAATCTTTGAGATTGAAGAGCGCCATCTAAACGAAGAACCAATCAACCGCGTCTGACTGCAGCTAGCTAGCTTACATTGCAACGGGTATGCTATACCTATACCGAACCTCGCCCAGGCCGGCCAGGGTCGCTGCTCCGCTAGCTAGTAACCGCTCTCGAGCTCTCTGTACTGTCAGCTGGATCGGAGAAGCCCCCCAGTTATAGCGCCGCCACCGGCGGGCAGGTACATAAAACCCCCAAACCGAATCGGTGTATAGATGAGGTAATCAATATAGATATGTTGGGAACGTAATTATAAAGACATATCACACTTTTGCTTACATAATAGGAGGATAATCATCGCAGGCGTGTTACATACCACTCAACCATAGTAGTAATAAGAACACAGACACATTTACCGATCACAGTACCATTAACAAGTAGAACAAACCTTCTTATGGCACGAACTTGCTTCTACAACAATCACATACACAGGAATACACAATGGAGCTTGCTATGACAACTTTACCTTCAAAGTAGAAGTGTGATTATTCCAATCCAATTCAAATGATAAGGATTTGAATTAAGCCTTGTGCCTTTTCTTTGCAGTTACAAAGAGCTGCACATATCGAATTATTCACATATAAATAAAGCACAATTTCAACTATGTTAGAAAAATCGACTCGAAAGAATCCTCTCCCGAAAGAAAAAGCGCAGGTAATCTGGAAACTAAGATGTATTTCTGCCCTTTGATGTACAATAGTCCTTGCGAAAATGAAAAAACAGATATATGTCACAGGCCTTCTGTATGTCCTCGCCGGTTCAATTAATTAAAGATTATCAAACACGGAGATGCACTAAAAATATAAGTCTGAAACATATATTTTGTGCCAATAATTCCAAAGAGGTATTTATTAGTATCCGATGTCAAAGATACACCGAAAATAAATTCCCAGTGTAACAACTGGCACTGTCTAATTCAAAACCACAGTTATTATAAAATAGATTTCATGCAAAGCTTTACAATATATTGTACGGGTAGAATAAATGATAGAGAAGGCACAGCGCAGGGAGGTGAAAGAAAAGGAGGCGAAACTCTTGTAATTTATTCAAACGCATTCTTGAGTTCTAAAGCGTAACAATGGGATGTGTAACATTCCACTTGGCTTTGAAGTTCCATGCTCCGAACCGCGCTTCCACTGCGGGGACTTTCGAAAGCCAGGCACCAGTTTTACATTTATTACAAAATATTAAATTACCGGCAAAATTTCAGTGTAAATCAAAAACTTTATATGGGGATTTTATTGGGAATAGTGCATCAAACAAATTTTCAAATTTAGAACTCCGTCCTTCCTTTAATTTGTGTGCCAGAGTTGGTAAAAGAAAAATTACATCCTGTCAAAAACTCAATATTTTAGGATGATGGGCTAATTTGTGCATGCTTTAATGTCCCGTTATTTGATCCATGATTTACAATCTTCAATAACATTAAGTTTGCTAATGCGTGTTTTCGCGTGTTTTTTGTACTTTTCAAGTTTAAAAAAGGATGAAAGTACACAAGTTTGTGTTCGCTTGTTCTACTCTTTACACATTCAGCAATGGATGAAAAATCATTGGAAGGGACAGCGAACAGTTGCAGTGATACCATTTTCTGATGTAGGAATTCTAACTCCTGAAATTTCATGCGCTCTTTTATCTCACCACCTGGTCAACAGTTGCAGATTAGCGCATAACTTTTCGGCGGCTTGGAGCATGGGGTCAAAGGAGAGCGGCTTGATTCCAGTCCTTCTCTATCACGTCCCTGCACAGCGTAAGCTACACTGTACAGTGCGTCCCAGAAAAAACGAAACCGAGAACTATCGATGCTTTATCATAACTTCATCACAATTATAATTAATAAGTGACACATATTTGGAAAGCTTAGATCCCCCTCTTTGATTTGATGCAACTCTTATGATGCATATATTTCACGCATGAGTGATTAAAAAAAAATTGAAGAGAGGAAACCAAGAAGTCATTTGACGGGCAGTATCTGCATTTCGAAAGGAAATCACATTTCTAGAAGGTTCAATTTCTGCCCTTTCATATGACACCTCAATTAGGAAAAATGAGCCAGGAATAACAAAGTTCTGTTTGTTTTAAAAAATGCTTGCATTTCCATAATTTGATCAAACGAGTTCGTTTTCACTGGCTGCCTGCCGTAGAAACAAACAGAGTTGACAAAAGACTTAACTCCGTTTCTTTGAAGATCAGCCATGCATCAGGTATTTCGTCTTCTTTGTGATGAAATTATATTTGGTGCCATATATTAATAAAGGGGAACAATTGTAGCTCAGTTATTTAAGAATAATAACATTTAGCGGTTGACAAATGGACAAAATGTTGGTAAAAGTTGTACATTTTTCCGGCAGTAAGCTGCCTTAAAGTCTTGAGTTCTGGTAAAAAAGGAAAATAATACAGCATGCATGGCGTGATTGCAAGACGAAGATATCGAGGCAAAATGTTCAGATGATGTACTCCTCGAAAATTGCTGTAATGGAACTGATCAGGCGCGGATCCAGGATTTCTTAGGGGTGGGGGCCCAAATTTGAAATCAATTTTGAATTTAGTGTGATGAAATATGAAAATCGTGCCGGCCGATTTTTTGCTCAGGGGGGGGGGGGGGGGGGGGTAATGTACACAATTTTTTGTTGGGATGCCTTTGAAAATCTGAAAAAATTGCACCCCCCCCCCCCCTCCGCACTTGAGCGCCAGGAGGGGGGGGGGGGCATCTCCATAAAAAAGGGGGAAAATCTTTTCCGGGGGGGTGGGCCCCTGGGCCCCCTGCATCAGCCACTGGAACTGATATACCGGTACTGTTGGAAAAAGGCTTGCTTTAGACGCGTGGGTCTTTATCCGATATAAGGTGACTTGTTACAGGTTAAACCTAAAAGTGCAGGGTTATGTTGGTACTCTCTCAGCCGGGACAGGTAGAGAGGGGGGGGGGGTGCACTCTTAGAATCTCGGCCATCGAAAACAGGTAAATAATCTAACTTAGCAAACATAGAATATCTCACAAAGAATGAGTTCATAAAATTTAATATCTATATCTCAAATGATTACTAATGAACTTTACAAATATCCACAAATTGACAATTCTGCATTGTGTACAGTTCATAATGTTAATAGCGAAATGTCCATTTGTGCTGCATGCTACGCATCGAATTTTGCCTTTACTTTGGTAGAAATTATATAAACTTGGTATCAAAAGATAGGTGGCCCGCGAATTTTTTTTTCCCAAACAGGTTTACCTATGAGAGTAAAATCCTGCCTCCTGATTGGTTCAGAGGTATACGCGTCATGAATATTCACGAGCTGAGTTCACAGCACTGTGGCTGAGCTGCAGTACCAGTATTACGCATGCACGTGGACTTCAGTTTTGCTGGCCATTTAGGTGTACAAAATGTATGTGAGCTAGCTGTGGTGCGAGGGGATTTTTATTGGGGGAAGGGGGGGGGGTCTGTTTGTTTGTGAACATTTCTGGTTATTCTGGTGCTTGGTTTATATAATTTTACACTGCGGATTTTTTTCTCTCAAAGAGTTCACTTACAGTACACACACTAATATTCCAATTTCACACATAGGCTATACATACAAACACTATCTTTCTCTCTCTCTCTCTCTTTCTCTCTCTCGCGCGCTCTCTCTCTCTCTCTCTATAAACACACACCCACCCACCCTCATGTATTTACAAACACATAAGCAACAAATGCACACACTAGCTGTCAAGAATACACAATAGACACACACAAGGGGTATGAATTATCTTATCAGGATGGTCCGACATGAGATGGTTGGATGTGGGTCAAAGCCACTGTGTTGCTCTGAGCATGATATCTTGACAAACATTTAATATTATCACCCGTAACTGAAACCAACACACAATTAATATCACGGTATTAGTCTCTTTTTTGTTCCACCAAGCTAATTTTTGCACCTTGCACAAATGCACTTCTCAACACGAAATATTTCACTAAATTTGTTTTGTTATTTTCACTCAAAATTAATTCAGCCATGCTCACTTTTAATCACTTCACTTATATCTTATTTAACATTGAATACAATGCAGTTGCATGGGTTGTTCTTTTATTTTGTTAACTCAGCAGATGCCACGGTCATGTTCAAGCATTTACGCTTACGACATGTGGTCTCCTGCTTTTTCCTTTTGTATGAAACTTTTATTTTAACTAGAAACAAATTTTGTCAAACTTACATGTTATTCATTATATTTATTTGTATGTTTCTTTGTATTGATATGAAAAAGTGGAAATAAAACAAAACAAACAAACATATCAGTGGTTCTGGTTCCTTTGTGACAGATGAACCTGGCCAAAGAAAACAAAGGACATGAAGTAATATATACAGGCTCTACACATGTCAAAGACAAGCTTTTATTATTGATATGCATACCAAAATTGCAGAGAGTTGTAGGCCTACTTGTAGACTCCGCCATAATACTAATAGTAATAGCTCATGTAAAAGTTATAACTTAGAGCCAATCACTGCGCATGCATATCCATGCATGCAGTGTATAGCCTACGTACTATAGCTGCGCTGCATCAACGAACTCAAACTTGGATTTCGATGAGCGTGCGTAATACTACTAGTATCTTTCAGCTCAGTCATGAATATTCATGATGCGTATACCTCTGAACCAATCAGGAGGCAGGATTTTACTCTCATAGGTAAACCTGTTTGGGAAAAAAAAATTCGCGGCCGGGCGGTGGATCCTGCCCCGGCTCTTTCAGGATTAAAAAGAAGGAAAAAAGCCTCCCGGGTGGTCTGGACTCTGAGAAGCCCTGCACATTGGCCCGAATTCACGAAAGAGGTTTGTCGACAAACCTGTGCGTTATATGACGCGTTTTGATGCGTTTCAGACCAAGATTTGTCTGAACCTTGGTCTGAAACTTATCGAAACGCGTCATATGACGCACATAAACCTAGGTTTGTCAACAGGCCCCCTTTGTGAATTCGGGCCTGTTTGTCCTATAGACATCGGGTTTGAATTACGTCAATGTTATGTTCACACATTTCAATAAGTGACCTTGGGAAAAACCATGTTTTTGAGGCGTGGTATGTTGAATAAAGGAATGTTGAAAGCTTATTTCAGTTTTATTAACCCAGACAATTTAGAAGTTACTTATCAAATAGTTTGGAATAATCATAATATTTGTGTCGTTTCCAAAACCCTGTTTTGATAAATGCATGCATATTAACCATGTCATTATCCAGGGCCATTTTCAATGAGTAAACTAGAAAAACAAAACATATGGTTTAGATTCATGGGAATACAGTTAGCCATTATAAATCGTTACTAACCAACCACTAAGCCGCGCCCAGGCGTAAGGTCAACCTGACAATACCCTGAACGACCTGAAAAAAAATATCAGTCCACTGCTGTGTCAGGAAGGCAGCCAGTCACAATCGGTTCCAAACTTCTTCTTTTTCCGTTAAAGGTTATCAGTCTTGTCAATGAAACCAAAGTTAACATACAAAATGTCCCAATAACATGGCGAAGTATATAAACCTTGAGTAAAAGTTCGGAAGTAATTACAGGGTATACCCCCGACTCATAGATAACCAATAACCATTATCATTTTAAATATGTAAACTCAAACCAATTAAAACAGATAGTTTATAATCATGGAAAAAACAGCTAGTTATTATTATATTAATCGGTTGTTCGGTATCAACTTGTTAAGGGCACCTCCTTTATTTATTTTAAAAGGAAGGAGGATAGGTAGAAGTTTCTGACTCCTCCTCTAAAACCTCAATGGTCAAAATCAGAGCTGACATCTTGTCGTCGTCTCTTGATGAGGATCGCTATGATGAAGAGATGAACGACCATGATGGCGTGAATGAAGCCGACGATGATGAACACCATCGTGAATGACTGGGTGACATCAAACAGATAACCTAGGAAATGATCATAACATAATCATAAGTATTTGTCAAGGAATTGTAATATTAAAATTGCAAAGCGTGCTAAAATACAGTTTCGACCATAGCCTTTTAAAACTCCTATTAGTATCCTACCAGGTAGATCTTTGTGACAGAGTTCGAACTATTTGAGGCTACATGAATTGCCTGACCGAGCAAGAGCAATTTCCATAGACGCATCTTTCTCTCTCAACTATATATGACTCGTATACAGAAGCGCCGTCGATAGCTAACTCTCTTCACCTAAAACTCACGAAAGTCTTTGCCTGTTTGTAGCGACTCATTCATTCGCCTTACTTTTATTATACATTCATATTGTACATAATAATTTTCTATCACGGTACTTATTTATATTTATTATTCGTAGCACGTGTGTTTAAACTTCCAATCGAGCATCGTGGTTCCGTGCACTCGTTCAGCCCGCGTATTTTCAACAACACGATTTTTTTATTCACTCCCGCTTATTACATCCTCGGTCGAGTCAACAACTCCTGCTTACAACTCAGTCGAGCCAAGCAAGACGTCTGATGATTTTCTCTCCGGGCAGATTCTCTTTCGTGCCTATAACCTCTTTTACGGCACGCAAACCCTTTCTCTGCCGTCTTCAACGGGTTGGCAGTCCTGCAGTGGAACGTTTAAATCAGGACCCGACATGGCTCTTGATATTCGCCGGGAGCTGCCAGTTTGTTCGTTCCGGTAGCTCTTTTCACACACGAGCTCGATTCACTGTAGCTCGTCTGAACCTTCATCAACGAGTTCGACTCACTGCAACTCTGATGATTTCACTTCAAAGGCCGGCTCATTAATCCATCGAGCAACCCTCTGCCCTTCATCACCACCGGCTTTGATGTCCACATTTCAACATTGGCCTCCGACATCGAGCGACTAGCTGCCTTCTCGCCTGTGAGCTTCATAATCATCATCATCATCACGAGCGTCAGCGTTGAGATTCTTCACGGCTCTTCAGCCACGACAACGAAGCAACATCTCCGCCATCAAGCCTCCGCACCATCATCGCGTGAGCACCTTCCTTCGTGTTACCCGTCATAATCTTCATTGGACTTTCGACGCCATTTCTATCAGTCGTAAGCTTTCATTCATGTCATTCCATTTATCCATGTCCATCTCATTACATGACCATTTAAACTCCGTGCATTATCTTTGATTCTCATTTATGTGATTCGTATTCTGAATCATTTATTCGCTAGCATGACAACACCTTGCAAGTGTTTAGTGTACAGGTCAGTACCTCAATAAAATAACGAAAAGGAAATTCTTGTTATCATGTATTTTATTGCCAGTGTGACCTTGCTTCCTCGTAGCTAAATTAAAAGAGAGTTATGTTGTGTGACCAGTGAACACGCTTTACAATTTCCATTCACAATACCACACATAATTTTAAATGTTTACTGATAGTGACGGAATAGTACTACTAAACATGATTACCAAGAGCTTTGAGAAAATCAAGCTAAGGCAATTTAAACTAGACTCGTGCGTCATCTTTTGAAATGTATGATTAGGCCTGACTAGATAATCTACCTACGTCTCTTAACTTAATAGAGGCCGCAGAGCGACAAGGAAATTGAACTTGAGACACTGGTTTCTCTATAACTTTCTGTCTTCAAATTTTCTATTTAGCTGCTCAAACAGCAATCCAGTCCAAAGCATTGATGCTGTCAGTCCATAATCCGAAAATGATTTATAATGGCAATATATACAATGAGGAATTGAACTTAAGTTGATTTCTCAAAGGTTCATCATGTTTAATAAAAAGAAGCTGGCTATGAATTACTCACCTGAAATTGTTCCTGCACATGTCGCCCCCAGTCCTCCCGCGAATAAACCGAGAGCCACGGCCATGTTAAAATTCCGATTGTCAAAGACTGCATCTTTGAATAAACTGGACATAATAGCATCCTCGATGAAGAAGGAGAAACCCTGGACAAAAGCCAAGGTAGCACGCACCGCGTAAGCAGAACTGATGAAGTCCAGCAGAAATGATGCCGTGCCGATGAGACCTATGGCGATGTAGACGACATAAACATTGATGCCTTTGCCGACGAGGATGATGAAGATGGTCCGACCGATGATGCCACCTATGCCGCCAATTGTGGAGAGGAAGATAGCTTTGGAAGGAGGGATTCCCAGGTGTTCAGCGTGGGGGACCAGAAACAGCATCCACGAATACATGGAGAAAAGGCACAAGAAATTAATCGGGATGGTGAAAAGATAGAGTGGTTCGTTTAATATTCCACAGAACCGTTTGCCGGTTTGAAAGGCGGAGCTTGTCCAAGATGAGCGCGCATTCGGGGATGTTTCCTGTGTACTGGTGTTACGTCTCTCGTTTTGAATCAAACGCCTTTTCTCTAAGACGCACTCTTCACTATCATCTTCCTCCTTATCCTCCTCTCTTTCCACTTCCTCCTCCTCCTCGCGATAACAGATGCCTTCTGTTTGCATTGAAGGCTCTCCTTTAGAGAGACACTTCTGTTTCTCTTTTACTTCATTATCACTTCTGCCTTCATTTGTAGCTGCGTTTCTTGGTGCTTTGCATATCGTTGCACCGCACGCGAAAAGGTTAAAAGCAATACCGCCAAGGATAATAAAAGCCCCTACATAGCCATATGCTTCGAATGACCGTTCCATTATAATAGGGAGCAGCATGGATCCAGTGGTGTAGCCGTACAACGTGATTGTGTTCATCAAAACGAATTTTTCTCTGAAGAAATCATTCAGTGCAATCACTGTTGGCATGTAGGTCATTGACAAGCCAACACCTGTGGGAAAAAAATGAAAATGAAATATTCTGCGTTCGTCCCTGCTAGTGCTACTACTACTACTACTACTACTACTATACTACTTTTAATATTACTACTGAAGAATGCAGAATTGACAACAGACTTAACTCCGTTTCGTTGACAATCAGCTATGCATGAAGTCTTTCATCTACGGCTGATTGTCTACGAAACGGAGTTAAGTCTTTTGTCAACTCTGTTTGCTACTACGGCAGGCAGCCAGTAAAAACGATTTCGTTTGATAAAATTATGGAAATGCAAGCACTACTTTAAACAAACGGAACTTTGGCATTCCTTGCTCATTTTTCATGATTGAGGTGTCATATGAAAGGGTAGAAACTCAACTTTCTAGAAATGTGATTTTCTCTATGAAATTCAGATACCGCCCGCCAAATGTTTGGTTTCCTCTCTTCAAATTGGTTTTAATCACTCATGCGTGAAATATGCACTATATGAGTTGCATCAAATGAAAGAAGAGTTTCTAAGCTTTCCAAATATGTGTCATTTATCAATTATAATTGTGATTAAGTTATGATAAAACATCGATGATTCTCGGTTTCGTTTTTTCTTGGACGCACTGTATAATACTTAAACGCTAATAATGATAATAACTATTATCATGATAATACCAAAATAGGAATACCAAGCTGCTTTTTCTTAAAAGTTGATGGCGATTATTGCGTTTTCCGTCAAACCATTTCAATATGTAATGTTCTTGTAGCTGAGTAATCACGTCGTGAGATGGCGCTGTTAACTGTACCTACACGGAGCTACTGATTAGGAGAGTTTGGCCAACTCGGTTGTAGTTGGGCTCAATATAGATAATACGGCTTTTGTTGGGCAAATTCTCTGGCCCGAATTCACAAAGGAGGATTGTCGACGAACCTAGATGTATGTGCGTCATATGACGCGTTTCGACGCATTTCAAACCAAGGTTATACAAACTTTGTTGTACAAACCTTGGTTTGGAACGCGTCAAAACGCGTCATATGACACATATAAACCTAGATTTGTCGACAAACCTCCTTTGTAAATTCGGGCCTTTGCGAATGAAAGTGCCAGGCTGGACGTTTATTAATAAATATGATTTATGACGTCATGATACGCCATCCATATCGTTCAACTTACGCTGTGCAATACTATACAAATATTGACTGCTCATGAGGATGATGGTGTGAACACCACCGAGGGAGTGGTAATTCCCACCATCATCCGATTACAGAGCAGTCCATATTTGTTTTATATACCTCATCCTTTTTATTGATTCATGATTAGTTCTAGCTGTATGTTTAGATCTGGCTTTAAAAATCAGGAAACGAGATCAAGAGGAATTCACTCACTAGAATAAGAAAAATCCAACATCAAGTCAAAATTAAAGGCAAGAGTATTGAATTCCTACGCGCTGCGCGTAACCGTGCGCGCGATCGCGGTAGCCTATAGCAACTCATAAAAATTGTGTGCGCAACTAAGTCGCGGGAGGGGTTCGGGGTCCTATCCCAGGGTTTGATAGTAGCTATCAAACCCTGTGACGTAATAAAAAACTTGATATATCGAAATGCTCTTTGACATGTGATATAGTTTTGACCAATCAGTGAATGACAATCTATGTATGAGGTATATAATAAACAAATAGTGAATGGTCATGAGTGCAATGGTACAAGATTTTGCCCGAGGTGAAAGATAAGAGACGCTATATTCAACGAGGCGCAGCCGAGTTGAATGGAGCGTCTCATCTTTCACCGAATGCAAAATATTGTTCCATTGCACGAATAAAGACCATTCACTATTTGTTTTATACAACACCTCGGACGTTAACGGGCTTAACACAGTTTTCCTAGGCCTAAATCTCAGCGATTTTTGTTTGTTTTCAATTCATGAAATTGATGATAGTGAGCGCGCACTATCAAGCAGGCAGCAAACCTTTATGTTTATTGTTACGCGGAGTGCAATTTCGTTTGATCCTTTCGCATCATTGCACTCTGACGTCACTTAGCTTACCATATACTTTGTACATTGTTAGTGACGTCAGAGTGCAATGGTGCGAAAGGATCAAACGAAATTGCACTCCGCGTCAATGATGCCATTCAATGGTACTTTTAGCGCATGTCATGTGATCAAGAATTGACCAATGAGGTTGCAAGAATCTTAGTAGGCGTTGTATAAAATGGCCTATGGACCGCGGGAATTATAATGATTTAGCAGCCCCATATGTTATGTATTTACTCATCACTTTCGTCAGCATATATGTGCGCCAATTCGTATATCTATCATTCCGTGTTCCTGCTCCAGTAATGCACCAGGTTATTTTTTTTTTTAATGAATGGAACTACGAATGACTTTATAATATAATTGTATTGACATAATGATATGATTCTCTTGATGTTCTGTCAAATTAATTCAGAAGAAGAAAACTTTTTTTTTCCATTCAAGCTATCCACTTCAACCAACCTCTTAAAGGTGAATTTGGAAGAAAGTGGTGAAAATATGCATGTTTGCTATTGTTGCAATGCTTATGACATAAGGAATACAAATAGATTGATTGACAGAAATTGTGCATGTGTTGTTAAATTATTATTAGACTTGGAAAGATCAAAAGTGTAAGCAGAGGAACCCGGAAGCGTTGATATTCTCCTTCGTGACGTAGTATATGTGACGTATTTCCGTGGACTGTTCCTAAACCCGGAAGTACAACGTATTATTTCAATGTAAAAACGTACACAAACATTGGTAATTTTGTTAGTAGATTTTGCAATTTTTGTGATATTTAATGAAGTGTTTTATCGAATTTACAATCAAGAAATAAACATTCTTTCAATTATATAAGCATTGGTTACTTCCCGATGTTTGGTTTCCTTGAAATATTGACGTTTGGTACTGTAAAATTGATCGTCTTGCAGATCCTGACACACCGGCTTCGCCTATGTTTTGTTTCGATAATTAGCGTAACTTGAATTTCGCGGCACGGGGAGAACTCGCGATAGCTCAGCTCAGCCGTTCGTAGTGCAGTGTTCAGTGAACACTGAACACAGTGAACACTGCACTACGAACGGCTGAGCTGAGCTGAGCTGCAATTGCAGCGTGACATTTTTTGGAGATAAAGTTGTTTTTCTCGGGTTATAAATTAGCTGAAACGTCTGTCATTCGAACAAATTAAGTATTATTACTCGGCTTGTAATTACTACTGGTCTAGATGAAAATAATGTCTCAGTGCTGATCGAAAAAAAAAACTCAGCAAAGAGACGGCGCGGTAGTGCGGTACTTTCTCTTCGCCATGCATGTTGAATCTACGATATACAACAGGGAAGAATCGTCGGGGTAGGACGAAGAATCTCCCCCTTTTCCCCATCGAAGACTAATACCGGTACTTCAAGTTATAATTTCAACTGGCCAGCCAGATGCTCAGAGAAGTCGAGCAACCTAGAGTCAAAATTGTAATTACTCCCTTCGCATATTTTGAGATAATGTCGCCTCACCCGCTGCATGTTTGAATGTTTCTCTATGCACCCGCCGAAGCTCGCGGCGTCGGAGCTTCCTGGAGTAGGCCTAGCTGGCAGCTTGAACTCCCGCATCACGATTCGATCAGCGTTACATTTTCGTCGTCTTTAATTCGCCCAATTCACCATCATCTTCACTTATATACCATCATCACTGCTACTAACTTCTTCTTCATCATACTCAAAGATCATTTCGAGTTCATCTGAGCTGTTTTCTGTCATTTTTACTGATGATTAATATCCCGATACAACGTCTATACTTTCACTCTGATATGTACACTGCAGTGCTATCTGATTGCGAATAGAATGCGCGCGGTGACCGTGTTGTGAATAGTCCACGGAATGACGTCACATGCTCAAATCTCCTAATGGTATCGTAGACGAAATTCTCTCAGAAAAACTTGATTCTCGTAACTTCATTCCATTATATCTCCTTCCCCTTATGTTTATTGACAATGAACTTAAAAACAAAAATGAAGAACTGAAAATAACCTTTCTAACGATACCTAATTCAATATGAATGGAATTCAGCTTTAAAGCCCAATGCATTAATCATATCACTAACTCCACCCATCCTAGGACCAACACCATTATAGGGGAAGGCCACCCTTTGTTGGTTTTTGATAAAAGAAGCAGCTCAGTGAAAGTTTGAGCAAAATTCAATTAAAAAGATGAATGTTATGAGTTTAGTTGGCAACGTTATGACGTATCTGCGAGCTCCTCTCTCATTTTTTATCTACATAACATTTCTTGTGCTTTCATTTTCATCGTTATTGATAACGGAATATATTTTCGTCCATACATGGGTCGTCTAGAATCATATTTGTAATCATTACGAAATGGCGCGTATGTAATTACGAAAATGATGAGGAAATACATATGGGACTGCTACATAATTATAACTCCCGCTGTCCAATGCGTTTCATGCAGCGCAAGTTAAGCAATGCGCATGACGTTCATGACATCATAGTCATGTTTATTCAGCCTGGTACTTTCATAAGCTTTCGTATGTATGGTTCTCTATATACCATGCAGGGCACAACATGAGCTACATAATGAAATATTCCATTACATAGCTAAACTAAAAGATATTTTGCTTACCTGATAAAGCGAGACAGACTCCTACAGTAACTGAGTTTTTGAAGAAAGCACTGGCAATAATACATGATCCACACAACACTCCGCCTAGCATAGCGACAACACGATGGTTGATCTTCTTCAGAACAAGTGTTACAAAAGGACCTTATATGTTGACAAATAAGGAGAAACGATACTAAATTAAAGTTACAAATATGAACAAAACGTGATATAATTACGTCCAAAAGTAAACACTGTTTTTAGAAACGTTTAGGAATTTCCCATCATCCAAATGTCAGAGTTATACTTACATGACAACATGATTATACCATATTGCTACCCGAATATGAGGTGACATTTAAACAGATAATAAGGAATTACATTCAAGGTGGGGGAGGAGGAGGAGGACACATTTGACTTACTTAAGAGGTACATAGATGTTGCAGGCAAGCTACATATCAATCCGACAGTAGCATAATCTGACTCCAGACGCTCGACCATTGTAGGAATAAAAACACCGAAAGACTTCGCGATGCCAGTTACTATAAAAAGTACCACGGATTTGGCAACAACAATCCAGTAGCCCCAATACCACATACTGAATCTTGCTATAACTTGTGTACCCTCAATGCAGATGTATGATTAATCCAATCCAATCGAATCCAACAAGTATTTTATTTAGCCCTGAAGATATCGCTTCACATGATAGGGTCACCAAAGCAAGATTTCACTTAAACAGGACCAATTTGGGCAAAACAATCCAGTGTTGTCTAGCAAAATAGATAGGGCTTCAAACATTCCATGAACTAGACGGATGAAGCTGACTTCCAAAGAGGTATAGGGCCCGTTCCACAATTTTGCACCAAATAAGAGATCATTCTCCTGCGTACAAACGTCCGCCAAAGTTGCTTTTCGAGTCGATGATTATTTCAAAATTAGGTTCACGTTGATTTATTCAGTGTGTAGGCTACAAAGAATAGACGGTTCTTCTACTGTATTTCCACAGTACAGTGTCTCGTGGCAAAGTACATGTGCTTTCTTAATATTCCCATCAGCTTCTCTTCAAACAGGTTTTGATGAAATATCTACAAGTTCATCTAAATGAACACTAGAAAATAGTCGTATACATATCAAAAACTTGGCAGGAATCTCAACAAGAAACCGACATTCCGGCTACAGTCTGTTTCAAAGTTAAAATCAGTATCCCTGTATTGCGACAATTGACGATTAACTTGCAATATGAACAACATGCAAATACGCGTTAATAGAAAGAGGATGCCTGAATGCCTATGGGACCAATGATGTGCAGTATCATTCCCAATGAAAGACCACGGAGTACGCCATTGTCATGTATGCACCTTTCAATAGATTACCTTGGGGAAAACAGATTTGTGTGACATTGTTTGTTTAAATCTTTTTGTCCATTACTCGATAATTTGTACGTTAAATGAACTTTAAATGACATTTGCAATACAACATATGAAATTAAACGTGTTCGTAATTATAATCTTAATTGTTTACACGTAATAAAATCATCAAATGATATATATAATATACAGGCCTAAGTATATTATAATTTAAGTCTAATCTAAATGAAAAGAGAAATCCAATTAAAAAGCAGAGCTTGTTTTTCCGTGGATTACAAGGAGAAAAAAAAAAACCCGTAGTATACAGCGCACAGACTCATATTCTGATATGCGCTATATAAGGTATATTATTATTATCTATGCAAATACATGTGCATAGCAAGAGGATGTATGAATGCATATGGGAAAAAGGATATAGAGTATGGGCTTCATGATTCCCTATGTAAGGAGGCATACATTTATTAAAAATGTAATTGTTTATTTATGACTGCATTGAAGAAAAAACGAAAGATTCATCGGAATTTCGAATGACGACTATGCAGAAGAGGAACAGAGTCTGGGCAATGTAATCAGTGGTGGATCAATGTGGGGCCGAATTTGCCGCGACCCTGCTACCCGACATAGGCCCTAAAGCAAAAAGTCTCGTGGCAAAGCAGTTCCTTATATTTATATATTTCATCAGCTTCCCATCAAATAGAACCTACATGAAATATCTACGTGTTCCTCTAAATCAATACTAAACAAAATAAAGTATAAATATTCAAGAACAAAATTATTATCAAACTTGTACTAAAATCAGTGCCAAAGATAAAAGCGATTGGCCTTTATCGCGGAAATGGACGGTGAACTTAACGTGTAGACGTAGGCTGTGCCTAGTTTGAGAGTTACGTCAACGAAATGGAAATCGAAACGCAATGCTTGAATGAATGCATATTATATAGGTCAAAGTCTGTGAATCTCTGGCCAGTATCGGCTTTGTTATTCCCAATGAAAGGCCCCTTATATTCAACAGGAATTATTAAAGACTGGTTTGGGAAATCTATTATTTATCAAATTCATCGGAGTTTAACTGTAACTCGACAATTGCTACCTTGACCTTTGTTTGTTGCATGCACCTCGCTAGGCCTTTATCTTCTACACAGATCAATTTCTTTTAAAATCCGTTTAACGCGGAATCCGTCATTGATTTTAGGTATATTTCAAGAGTTGGATTATGATTGCATATCATGGCAATGTTCATTGAATAAATAAGTGATGGGCAATAATATTATTTATATGGAATGTAAATGTATATAGGACTGTTTGAAGGTTTGGGTATACATTTCCTTGCAGTGTAAAATGATGTAGTGTACGTTATACACCGATTCGGGCGACTTCTGGTGGAAGTGCGCCGTCATAAGGTGACGCCATAACTGGCGTCACCTTATGAAGATGAAACAATTAAACATTTTATTTTCTATTGTACAAAATACGACAAAGATAGACGTCTCTTAAAAGAAAGGATTAAATTGAACAACCCCAATCTGAAACAATTATTGATGTCTAACCCAATTTTTACTCGTGAATTATTGGGTTACATATACGATACTAATCGTTTTAGATAGCTTTTAAAGCTATCAGGGATCCCCTTAACTTATGTCGATCCTGTAATAATATATAAAATGAAGTATTTGCGGTTTTTCCATGAACAATTGCAACTAACTCCCATCTCGCCTTTTCTGTGCATTTTATGCAATTTTAATATTGCAGCCTTTTTTTTTTTTTTTTTTTTTTTTTTTTTTTTTTTTTTTTTTTTTTTTTAATAAAACCATATCACTATTAATTTCATTTCACCAAGGAAAGTCGCTCGTGGGCTTGATTTCCGAAGCCCACGCCAAAGCTATACACGAAATTGACTGGCGCAAATAATCTTTGAGATTGAAGAGCGCCATCTAAACGAAGAACCAACCAACCGCGTCTGACTGCAGCTAGCTAGCTTACATTGCAACGGGTATGCTATACCTATACCGAACCTCGCCCAGGCCGGCCAGGGTCGCTGCTCCGCTAGCTAGTAACCGCTCTCGAGCTCTCTGTACTGTCAGCTGGATCGGAGAAGCCCCCCAGTTATAGCGCCGCCACCGGCGGGCAGGTACATAAAACCCCCAAACCGAATCGGTGTATAGATGAGGTAATCAATATAGATATGTTGGGAACGTAATTATAAAGACATATCACACTTTTGCTTACATAATAGGAGGATAATCATCGAAGGCGTGTTACATACCACTCAACCATAGTAGTAATAAGAACACAGACACATTTACCGATCACAGTACCATTAACAAGTAGAACAAACCTTCTTATGGCACGAACTTGCTTCTACAACAATCACATACACAGGAATACACAATGGAGCTTGCTATGACAATTTTACCTTCAAAGTAGAAGTGTGATTATTCCAATCCAATTCAAATGATAAGGATTTGAATAAAGCCTTGTGCATTTTCTTTGCAGTTACAAAGAGCTGCACATATCGAATTATTCACATATAAATAAAGCACAATTTCAACTATGTTAGAAAAATCGACTCGAAAGAATCCTCTCCCGAAAGAAAAAGCGCAGGTAATCTGGAAACTAAGATGTATTTCTGCCCTTTGATGTACAATAGTCCTTGCGAAAATGAAAAAACAGATATATGTCACAGGCCTTCTATATGTCTGCGCCGGTTCAATTGATTAAAGATTATCAAACACGGAGATCCACTAAAAACATAAGTCTGAAACATATATTTTGTGCCAATAATTCCAAAGAGGTATTTATTAGTATCCGATGTCAAAGATACACCGAAAATAAATTCCCAGTGTAACAACTGGCACTGTCTAATTCAAAACAACAGTTATTATAAAATATATTTCATGCAAAGCTTTACAATATATTGTATGGGTAGAATAAATGATAGAGAAGGCACACTCTAAAAAAAACTGCTCATTTTGAGTCAAAATGTTACTCTTTTGGGTGGTCAAAAGGAAACCACCCGACTTTTGAGTAAACTTTACTCAGCATGTGTTGAGTAACAAATCTTCCCATCTGTTGAGTAAAAATATTACTCAATAAAAGACTAAATATCTACTCAGTTTGAATGAGTCAACCTTTACTCAATATTTAATCTTTGTTTAGCGGTTTCCTTTTTTACTCAGTACTGGGTAGAAACGTAATCAACTCATGTCGAGTAAGAAACTGCTCATGAGTTGAGCCAAATTTTACTCAATTAACGAGTACATGTTTTGACTCAAATTGTTTGAGCGATTTTTTTGCTCAAATATTGAGTATGTTTTCTGGGTAACGCTTAGTTGCTCAATCAATATTGAGTAAAAACATGTACTAAGTTAAGTACATGTTTTTACTCCATTAGGGGTGCAAACCGATGCAATAGCAGCACCTTTAGGGGTTCAATCCTGCACCCTTTAAAAGGTGCAATCCTGCACCCATCATCGAGGAATACTGGTAATATTTGCTCGTACACAAATACATATTAAACATGCATGATGTTTCTTGGTTAGTAATCATATAATCAATATATCTATTGCTAAAACGTGAATGTAATTGTAACATGATCAGACAAAATAATATATTGGTTAATGATTGCCAAAGGAAAATACAAAATCAAAAAATTGATGTGCATTGTCATAATTTGCTTAACAAATCATGATAAATGTATTTTTATGTGAACACGTGGAAAGTAATCATGAATATGCATGCAATATGCAAACTTTTATTTTGCACCCTCTTTTGGTCGATAGGGTTCATTTTTGTGGGAAGGGTGCAAAATCTTATATTGCCCCCTTTTTTTAACCCCTTTTCCTTCAATAGGGTTAATTTTTATGTAAAGGGTGCAAACTCTTATTTTGCACCCTTTTTTGCACCCTTTTTTTCTAAGAGTGTATCTCAGTTCTTTCGCATCTTTCTGCACGCGCACATGCATGCACGAGACATGCACATGACAGACAATGAAAGAGTACAAAATATCCAGTTCCTTAGGTAGACAAAGGAACATACAGCTGCTATTATGTAAAAATGTGTAGAACAGGTGTCACATGCATATTGACAGCTAGTTGCACTTTCCATCGATCCAACTTTCACTCGCACCCGAGGTAAATTCGGGTAAGAGATCAATGTTGATTTATTTATCACCTGCCGCAGCGTAATACCCAACCGTAGTTTACTCAAAATTGATACAAACGAAATTCGTACTCAATGTTGAGTCATTGATTTACTCTTTATCGAAGGTAACAAATTACTCGGGTGACGAGTACCACTAAAATCAAGGTCTTACTCCAGCTTGAGTACTGAATTGCTCATTTTGTTACTCAACTTGTTTTACTCGGCACAATTTACTCGCTGCCATTAAGAGTGCACTGCGTAAGCTACACTGTACAGTGCGTCCCAGAAAAAACGAAACCGAGAACTATCGATGCTTTATCATAACTTCATCACAATTATAATTAATAAGTGACACATATTTGGAAAGCTTAGATCCCCCTCTTTGATTTGATGCAACTCTTATGATGCATATTTCACGCATGAGTGATTACAACAAAATTGAAAAGAGGAAACCAAAAGTTATTTGACGGGCGGTATCTGCATTTCGAAAGGAAATCACATTTCTAGAAGGTTCAATTTCTGCCCTTTCATATGACACCTCAATTAGGAAAAATGAGCCAGGAATAACAAAGTTCTGTTTGTTTTAAAAAATGCTTGCATTTCCATAATTTGATCAAACGAGTTCGTTTTCACTGGCTGCCTGCCGTAGAAACAAACAGAGTTGACAAAAGACTTAACTCCGTTTCTTTGAAGATCAGCCATGCATCAGGTATTTCGTCTTCTTTGTGATGAAATTATATTTGGTGCCATATATTAATAAAGGGGAACAATTGTAGCTCAGTTATTTAAGAATAATAACATTTAGCGGTTGACAAATGGACAAAATGTTGGTAAAAGTTGTACATTTTTCCGGCAGTAAGCTGCCTTAAAGTCTTGAGTTCTGGTAAAAAAGGAAAATAATACAGCATGCATGGCGTGATTGCAAGACGAAGATATCGAGGCAAAATGTTCAGATGATGTACTCCTCGAAAATTGATGTAATGGAACTGATCAGGCGCGGATCCAGGATTTCTTAGGGGTGGGGGCCCAAATTTGAAATCAATTTTGAATTTAGTGTGCTGAAATATGAAAATCGTGCCGGCCGATTTTTTGCTCGGGGGGGGGGGGGGGGGGGGGGGGGGGGGGGAGGTAATGTGCACAATTTTTTGTTGGGATGCCTTTGAAAATCTGAAAAATTGCACCCCCCCCCCCCCCCTCCGCACTTGAGCGCCAGGAGGGGGGGGGGATCTCCATAAAAAAAGGGGGAAAATCTTTTCCGGGGGGGGGGGCCTGGGCCCCCTGCATAAGCCACTGGAACTGATATACCGGTACTGTTGGGAAAAGGCTTGCTTTAGACGCGTGGGTCTTTATCCGATATAAGGTGACTTGTTACAGGTTAAGCATAAAAGTGCAGGGTTATGTTGGTACTCTCTCAGCCGGGACAGGTAGAGGGGGGGGGGGGGGTGCACTCTTAGAATCTCGGCCATCGAAAACAGGTAAATAATCTAACTTAGCAAACATAGAATATCTCACAAAGAATGAGTTCATAAAATTTAATATCTATATCTCAAATGATTACTAATGAACTTTACAAATTTCCACAAATTGACAATTCTGCATTGTGTACAGTTCATAATGTTAATAGCGAAATGTTCATTTGTGCTGCATGCTACGCATCGAATTTTGCCTTTACTTTGGTAGAAATTATATAAACTTGGTATCAAAAGATAGGTGGCCGGGCGGTGGATCCTGCCCCGGCCCTTTCAGGATTAAAAAGAAGGAAAAAAAGCCTCCCGGGTGGTCGGGACTCTGAGAAGCCCTGCACATTGGCCCGAATTCACGAAAGAGGTTTGTCGACAAACCTGTGCGTTATATGACGCGTTTTGATGCGTTTCAGACCAAGATTTGTCTGAACCTTGGTCAGAAACTTATCAAAACGCGTCATATGATGCACATAGACCTAGGTTTGTCAACAGGCTCCCTTTGTGAATTCGGGCCTGTTTGTCCTATAGACATCAGGTTTGAATTACGTCAATGTTATGTTCACACATTTCAATAAGTGACCTTGGGAAAAACCATGTTTTTGAGGCGTGGTATGTTGAATAAAGGAATGTTGAAAGCTTATTTCAGTTTTATTAACCCAGACAATTTAGAAGTTACTTATCAAATAGTTTGGAATAATCATAATATTTGTGTCGTTTCCAAAACCCTGTTTTGATAAATGCATGCATATTAACCATGTCATTATCCAGGGCCATTTTCAATGAGTAAACTAGAAAAACAAAACATATGGTTTAGATACATGGGAATACAGTTAGCCATTATAAATCGTTACTAACCAACCACTAAGCCGCGCCCAGGCGTAAGGTCAACCTGACAATACCCTGAACGACCTGAAAAAAAATATCAGTCCACTGCTGTGTCAAGCAGACAGCCAGTCACAATCTGTTCCAAACTTCTTCTTTTTTCCGTTAAAGGTTATCAGTCTTGTCAATGAAACCAAAGTTAACATACAAAATGTCCCAATAACATGGCGAAGTATATAAACCTTGAGTAAAAGTTCGGAAGTAATTACAGGGTATACCCCCGACTCATAGATAACCAATAACCATTATCATTTTAAATATGTAAACTAAAACCAATTAAAACAGATAGTTTATAATCATGGAAAAGACAGCTAGTTATTATTATATTAATCGGTTGTTCGGTATCAACTTGTTAAGGGCACCTCCTTTATTTATTTTAAAAGGAAGGAGGATAGGTAGAAGTTTCTGCCTCCTCCTCTAAAACCTCAATGGTCAAAATAAGAGCTGACATCTTGTCGTCGCCTCTTGATGAGCATCCATACGATGAAGAGATTAACGACCATGACGGCGTGAATGAAGCCGACGATGATGAACACCATCGTGAATGACTGGGTGACATCAAACAGATAACCTAGGAAATGATCATACCAGAATTATATGTATTTGTCAGGGAATTGTAATATTAAAATTGCAAAGCGTGCTAAAATACAGTTTCGACCATAGCCTTTTAAAACTCCTATTAGTATCCTACCAGGTAGATCTTTGTGACAGAGTTCGAACTATTTGAGGCTACATGAATTGCCTGACCGAGCAAGAGCAATTTCCATAGACGCATCTTTCCCTCTCAACTATATATGACTCGTATACAGAAGCGCCGTCGATAGCTAACTCTCTTCACCTAAAACTCACGAAAGTCTTTGCCTGTTTGTAGCGACTCATTCATTCGCCTTACTTTTATTATACATTCATATTGTACATAATAATTTTCTATCACGGTACTTATTTATATTTATTATTCGTAGCACGTGTGTTTAAACTTCCAATCGAGCATCGTGGTTCCGTGCACTCGTTCAGCCCGCGTATTTTCAACAACACGATTTTTTTATTCACTCCCGCTTATTACATCCTCGGTCGAGTCAACAACTCCTGCTTACAACTCAGTCGAGCCAAGCAAGACGTCTGATGATTTTCTCTCCGGGCAGATTCTCTTTCGTGCCTATAACCTCTTTTACGGCACGCAAACCCTTTCTCTGCCGTCTTCAACGGGTTGGCAGTCCTGCAGTGGAACGTTTAAATCAGGACCCGACATGGCTCTTGATATCCGCCGGGAGCTGCCAGTTTGTTCGTTCCGGTAGCTCTTTTCACACACGAGCTCGATTCACTGTAGCTCGTCTGAACCTTCATCAACGAGTTCGACTCACTGCAACTCTGATGATTTCACTTCAAAGGCCGGCTCATTAATCCATCGAGCAACCCTCTGCCCTTCATCACCACCAGCTTTGATGTCCACATTTCAACATTGGCCTCCGACATCGAGCGACTAGCTGCCTTCTCGCCTGTGAGCTTCATAATCATCATCATCATCATCACGAGCGTCAGCGTTGAGATTCTTCACGGCTCTTCAGCCACGACAACGAAGCAACATCTCCGCCATCAAGCCTCCGCACCATCATCGCGTGAGCACCTTCCTTCGTGTTACCCGTCATCATCTTCATTGGACTTTCGACGCCATTTCTATCAGTCGTAAGCTTTTATTCATGTCATTCCATTTATCCATGTCCATCTCATTACATGACCATTTAAACTCCGTGCATTATCTTTGATTCTCATTTATGTGATTCGTATTCTGAATCATTTATTCGCTAGCATGACAACACCTTGCAAGTGTTTAGTGTACAGGTCAGTACCTCAATAAAATAACGAAAAGGAAATTCTTGTTATCATGTATTTTATTGCCAGTGTGACCTTGCTTCCTCGTAGCTAAATTAAAAGAGAGTTATGTTGTGTGACCAGTGAACACGCTTTACAATTTCCATTCACAATACCACACATAATTTTAAATGTTTACTGATAGTGACGGAATAGTACTACTAAACATGATTACCAAGAGCTTTGAGAAAATCAAGCTAAGGCAATTTAAACTAGACTCGTGCGTCATCTTTTGAAATGTATGATTAGGCCTGACTAGATAATCTACCTACGTCTCTTAACTTAATAGAGGCCGCAGAGCGACAAGGAAATTGAACTTGAGACACTGGTTTCTCTATAACTTTCTGTCTTCAAATTTTCTATTTAGCTGCTCAAACAGCAATCCAGTCCAAAGCATTGATGCTGTCAGTCCATAATCCAAAAATGATTTATAATGGCAATATATACAATGAGGTATTGAACTTAAGTTGATTTCTCAAAGGTTCATCATGTTTAATAAAAAGAAGCTGGCTATGAATTACTCACCTGTAATTGTTCCTGCACATGTCGCCCCCAGTCCTCCCGCGAATAAACCGAGAGCCACGGCCATGTTAAAATTCCGATTGTCAAAGACTGCATCTTTGAATAAACTGGACATAATAGCATCCTCGATGAAGAAGGAGAAACCCTGGACAAAAGCCAAGGTAGCACGCACCGCGTAAGCAGAACTGATGAAGTCCAGCAGAAATGATGCCGTGCCGATGAGACCTATGGCGATGTAGACGACATAAACATTGATGCCTTTGCCGACGAGGATGATGAAGATGGTCCGACCGATAATGCCACCTATGCCGCCAATTGTGGAGAGGAAGATAGCTTTGGAAGGAGGGATTCCCAGGTGTTCAGCGTGGGGGACCAGAAACAGCATCCACGAATACATGGAGAAAAGGCACAAGAAATTAATCGGGATGGTGAAAAGATAGAGTGGTTCGTTTAATATTCCACAGAACCGTTTGCCGGTTTGAAAGGCGGAGCTTGTCCAAGATGAGCGCGCATTCGGGGATGTTTCCTGTGTACTGGTGTTACGTCTCTCGTTTTGAATCAAACGCCTTTTCTCTAAGACGCACTCTTCACTATCATCTTCCTCCTTATCCTCCTCTCTTTCCACTTCCTCCTCCTCCTCGCGATAACAGATGCCTTCTGTTTGCATTGAAGGCTCTCCTTTAGAGAGACACTTCTGTTTCTCTTTTACTTCATTATCACTTCTGCCTTCATTTGTAGCTGCGTTTCTTGGTGCTTTGCGTATCGTTGCACCGCACGCGAAAAGGTTAAAAGCAATACCGCCAAGGATAATAAAAGCCCCTACATAGCCATATGCTTCGAATGACCGTTCCATTATAATAGGGAGCAGCATGGATCCAGTGGTGTAGCCGTACAACGTGATTGTGTTCATCAAAACGAATTTTTCTCTGAAGAAATCATTCAGTGCAATCACTGTTGGCATGTAGGTCATTGACAAGCCAACACCTGTGGGAAAAAAATGAAAATGAAATATCCTGCGTTCGTCCCTGCTAGTGCTACTACTACTTCTACTACTACTATACTACTTTTAATATTACTACTGAAGAATGCAGAATTGACAACAGACTTAACTCCGTTTCGTTGACAATCAGCTATGCATGAAGTCTTTCATCTACGGCTGATTGTCTACGAAACGGAGTTAAGTCTTTTGTCAACTCTGTTTGCTACTACGGCAGGCAGCCAGTAAAAACGATTTCGTTTGATAAAATTATGGAAATGCAAGCACTACTTTAAACAAACGGAACTTTGGCATTCCTTGCTCATTTTTAAGATTGAGGTGTCATATGAAAGGGCAGAAACTCAACTTTCTAGAAATGTGATTTTCTCTATGAAATTCAGATACCGCCCGCCAAATGTTTGGTTTCCTCTCTTCAAATTGGTTTTAATCACTCATGCGTGAAATATGCACTATATGAGTTGCATCAAATGAAAGAAGAGTATCTAAGCTTTCCAAATATGTGTCATTTATCAATTATAATTGTGATTAAGTTATGATAAAACATCGATGATTCTCGGTTTCGTTTTTTCTTGGACGCACTGTATAATACTTAAACGCTAATAATGATAATAACTATTATCATGATAATACCAAAATAGGAATACCAAGCTGCTTTTTCTTAAAAGTTGATGGCGATTATTGCGTTTTCCGTCAAACCATTTCAATATGTAATGTTCTTGTAGCTGAGTAATCACGTCGTGAGATGGCGCTGTTAACTGTACCTACACGGAGCTACTGATTAGGAGAGTTTGGCCAACTCGGTTGTAGTTGGGCTCAATATAGATAATACGGCTTTTGTTGGGCAAATTCTTTGGCCCGAATTCACAAAGGAGGATTGTCGACGAACCTAGATGTATGTGCGTCATATGACGCGTTTCGACGCATTTCAAACCAAGGTTATACAAACTTTGTTGTACAAACCTTGGTTTGGAACGAGTCAAAACGCGTCATATGACACATATAAACCTAGATTTGTCGACAAACCTCCTTTGTAAATTCGGGCCTTTGCGAATGAAAGTGCCAGGCTGGACGTTTATTAATAAATATGATTTATGACGTCATGATACGCCATCCATATCGTTCAACTTACGCTGTGCAATACTATACAAATATTGACTGCTCATGAGGATGATGGTGTGAACACCACCGAGGGAGTGGTAATTCCCACCATCATCCGATTACAGAGCAGTCCATATTTGTTTTATATACCTCATCCTTTTTATTGATTCATGATTAGTTCTAGCTGTATGTCTAGATCTAGCTTTAAAAATCAGGAAACGAGATCAAAAGCAATTCACTCACTACAATAAGAAAAATCCAACATCAAGTCAAAATTAAAGGCAAGAGTATTGAATTCCTACGCGCTGCGCGTAACCGTGCGCGCGATTGCGGTAGCCTAGCAACTCATAAAAATTGTGTGCGCAACCAAGTCGCGGGAGGGGTTCGGGGTCCTATCCCAGGGTTTGATAGTAGCTATCAAACCCTATGACGTAATAAAAAACTTGATATATCGAAATGCTCTTTGACATGTGATATAGTTTTGACCAATCAGTGAATGACAATCTATGTATGAGGTATATAATAAACAAATAGTGAATGGTCATGAGTGCAATGGTACAAGATTTTGCCCGAGGTGAAAGATAAGAGACGCTATATTCAACGAGGCGCAGCCGAGTTGAATGGAGCGTCTCATCTTTCACCGAATGCAAAATATTGTTCCATTGCACGAATAAAGACCATTCACTATTTGTTTTATACAACACCTCGGACGTTAACGGGCTTAACACAGTTTTCCTAGGCCTAAATCTCAGCGATTTTTGTTTGTTTTCAATTAATGAAATTGATGATAGTGAGCGCGCACTATCAAGCAGGCAGCAAACCTTTATGTTTATTGTTACGCGGAGTGCAATTTCGTTTGATCCTTTCGCACCATTGCACTCTGACGTCACTTAGCTTACCATATACTTTGTACATTGTTAGTGACGTCAGAGTGCAATGGTGCGAAAGGATCAAACGAAATTGCACTCCGCGTCAATGATGCCATTCAATGGTACTTTTAGCGCATGTCATGTGATCAAGAATTGACCAATGAGGTTGCAAGAATCTTAGTAGGCGTTGTATAAAATGGCCTATGGACCGCGGGAGTTATAATGATTTAGCAGCCCCATATGTTATGTATTTACTCATCACTTTCGTCAGCATATATGTGCGCCAATTCGTATATCTATCATTCCGTGTTCCTGCTCCAGTAATGCACCAGGTTATATTTTTTTAATGAATGGAACTACGAATGACTTTATAATATAATTGTATTGACATAATGATATGATTCTCTTGATGTTCTGTCAAATTAATTCAGAAGAAGAAAACTTTTTTTCTTTTCATTCAAGCTATCCACTTCAACCAGCCTCTTAAAGGTGAATTTGGAAGAAAGTGGTGAAAATATGCATGTTTGCTATTGTTGCAATGCTTATGACATAAGGAATACAAATAGATTGATTGACAGAAATTTGCATGTGTTGTTAAATTATTATTAGACTTGGAAAGATCAAAAGTGTAAGCAGAGGAACCCGGAAGCGTTGATATTCTCCTTCGTGACGTAGTATATGTGACGTATTTCCGTGGACTGTTCCTAAACCCGGAAGTACAACGTATTATTTCAATGTAAAAACGTACACAAACATGGGTAATTTTGTTAGTAGATTTTGCAATTTTTGTGATATTTAATGAAGTGTTTTATCGAATTTACAATCAAGAAATAAACATTCTTTCAATTATATAAGCATTGGTTACTTCCCGATGTTTGGTTTCCTTGAAATATTGACGTTTGGTACTGTAAAATTGATCGTCTTGCAGATCCTGACACACCGGCTTCGCCTATGTTTTGTTTTGATAATTAGCGTAACTTGAATTTCGCGGCACGGGGAGAACTCGCGATAGCTCAGCTCAGCCGTTCGTAGTGCAGTGTTCAGTGAACACTGCACTACGAACGGCTGAGCTGAGCTGAGCTGCAATTGCAGCGTGACATTTTTTGGAGATAAAGTTGTTTTTCTCGGGTTATAAATTAGCTGAAACGTCTGTCATTCGAACAAATTAAGTATTATTACTCGGCTTGTAATTACTACTGGTCTAGATGAAAATAATTTCTCAGTGCTGATCGAAAAAAAAAACTCAGCAAAGAGACGGCGCGGTAGTGCGGTACTTTCTCTTCGCCATGCATGTTGAATCTACGATATACAACAGGGAAGAATCGTCGGGGTAGGACGAAGAATCTCCCCCTTTTCCCCATCGAAGACTAATACCGGTACTTCAAGTTATAATTTCAACTGGCCAGCCAGATGCTCAGAGAAGTCGAGCAACCTAGAGTCAAAATTGTAATTACTCCCTTCGCATATTTTGAGATAATGTCGCCCCACCCGCTGCATGTTTGAATGTTTCTCTATGCACCCGCCGAAGCTCGGCGTCGGAGCTTCCTGGAGTAGGCCTAGCTGGCAGCTTGAACTCCCGCATCACGATTCGATCAGCGTTACATTTTCGTCGTCTTTAATTCGCCCAATTCACCATCATCTTCACTTATATACCATCATCACTGCTACTAACTTCTTCTTCATCATACTCAAAGATCATTTCGAGTTCATCCGAGCTGTTTTCTGTCATTTTTACTGATGATTAATATCCCGATATAACGTCTATACTTTCACTCTGATATGTACACTGCAGTGCTATCTGATTGCGAATAGAATGCGCGCGGTGACCGTGTTGTGAATAGTCCACGGAATGACGTCACATGCTCAAATCTCCTAATGGTATCGTAGACGAAATTCTCTCAGAAAAACTTGATTCTCGTAACTTCATTCCATTATATCTCCTTCCCCTTATGTTTATTGACAATGAACTTAAAAACAAAAATGAAGAACTAAAAATAACCTTTCTAACGATACCTAATTCAATATGAATGGAATTCAGCTTTAAAGCCCAATGCATTAATCATATCACTAACTCCACCCATCCTAGGACCAACACCATTAAAGGGGAAGGCCACCCTTTGTTGGTTTTTGATAAAAGAAGCAGCTCAGTGAAAGTTTGAGCAAAATTCAATTAAAAAGAAGAATGTTATGAGTTTAGTTGGCAACGTTATGACGTATCTGCGAGCTCCTCTCTCATTTTTTATCTACATAACATTTCTTGTACTTTCATTTTCATCGTTATTGATAACGGAATATATTTTCGTCCATACATGGGTCGTCTAGAATCATATTTGTAATCATTACGAAATGGCGCGTATGTAATTACGAAAATGATGAGGAAATACATATGGGACTGCTACATCATTATAACTCCCGCTGTCCAATGCGTTTCATGCAGCGCAAGTTAAGCAATGCGCATGACGTTCATGACATCATAGTCATGTTTATTCAGCCTGGTACTTTCATAAGCTTTCGTATGTATGGTTCTCTATATACCATGCAGGGCACAACATGAGCTACATAATGAAATATTCCATTACATAGCTAAACTAAAAGATATTTTGCTTACCTGATAAAGCGAGACAGACTCCTACAGTAACTGAGTTTTTGAAGAAAGCGCTGGCAATAATACATGATCCACACAACACTCCGCCTAGCATAGCGACAACGCGATGGTTGATCTTCTTCAGAACAAGTGTTACAAAAGGACCTAATATGTTGACAAATAAGGAGAAACGATACTAAATTAAAGTTACAAATATGAACAAAACGTGATATAATTACGTCCAAAAGTAAACACTGTTTTTAGAAACGTTTAGGAATTTCCCATCATCCAAATGTCAGAGTTATACTTACATGACAACATGATTATACCATATTGCTACCCGAATATGAGGTGACATTTAAACAGATAAATAAGGAATTACATTCAAGGTGGGGGAGGAGGAGGAGGACACATTTGACTTACTTAAGAGGTACATAGATGTTGCAGGCAAGCTACATATCAATCCGACAGTAGCATAATCTGACTCCAGACGCTCGACCATTGTAGGAATAAAAACACCGAAAGACTTCGCGATGCCAGTTACTATAAAAAGTACCACGGATTTGGCAACAACAATCCAGTAGCCCCAATACCACATACTGAATCTTGCTATAACTTGTGTACCCTCAATGCAGATGTATGATTAATCCAATCCAATCGAATCCAACAAGTATTTTATTTAGCCCTGAAGATATCGCTTCACATGATAGGGTCACCAAAGCAAGATTTCACTTAAACAGGACCAATTTGGGCAAAACAATCCAGTGTTGTCTAGCAAAATAGATAGGGCTTCAAACATTTCATGAACTAGACGGATGAAGCTGACTTCCAAAGAGGTATAGGGCCCGTTCCACAATTTTGCACCAAATAAGAGATCATTCTCCTGCGTACAAACGTCCGCCAAAGTTGCTTTTCGAGTCGATGATTATTTCAAAATTAGGTTCACGTTGATTTATTCAGTGTGTAGGCTACAAAGAATAGACGATTCTTCTACTGTATTTCCACAGTACAGTGTCTCGTGGCAAAGTACATGTGCTTTCTTAATATTCCCATCAGCTTCTCTTCAAACAGGTTTTGATGAAATAGCTACAAGTTCATCTAAATGAACACTAGAAAATAGTCGTATACATATCAAAAACTTGGCAGGAACCTCAACAAGAAACCGACATTTGGGCTACAATCGATTTTAAAGTTAAAAGCAGTAGGTCTGTATTGCGAAAATTGACGATTAACTTGCAATATCAACAACATGCAAATACGTGTTAATAGAAAGAGGATGCCTGAATGCCTATGGGACCAATTGAATGATGTGCAGTATCATACCCTATGAAAGACTACGGAGTACGCCATTGTCATGTATGCACCTTTCAATAGATTACCTTGGGGAAAACAGATTTGTGTGACATTGTTTGTTTAATCCAATTCATTTGATATAATCTTTTTGTCCATTACTCGATAATTTGTACGTTAAATGAACTTTAAATGACATTTGCAATACAACATATGAAATTAAACGTGTTCGTAATTATAATCTTAATTGTTTACACGTAATAAAATCATCAAATGATATATATAATATACAGGCCTAAGTATATTATAATTTAAGTCTAATCTAAATGAAAAGAGAAATCCAATTAAAAAGCAGAGCTTGTTTTTCCGTGGATTACAAGGAGAAAAAAAAAAACCCGTAGTATACAGCGCACAGACTCATATTCTGATATGCGCTATATAAGGTATATTATTATTATCTATGCAAATACATGTGCATAGCAAAAGGATGTATGAATGCATATGGGAAAAAGGATATAGAGTATGGGCTTCATGATTCCCTATGTAAGGAGGCATACATTTATTAAAAATGTAATTGTTTATTTATGACTGCATTGAAGAAAAAACGAAAGATTCATCGGAATTTCGAATGACGACTATGCAGAAGAGGAACAGAGTCTGGGCAATGTAATCAGTGGTGGATCAATGTGGGGCCGAATTTGCCGCGACCCTGCTACCCGACATAGGCCCTAAAGCAAAAAGTCTCGTGGCAAAGCAGTTCCTTATATTTATATATTTCATCAGCTTCCCATCAAATAGAACCTACATGAAATATCTACGTGTTCCTCTAAATCAATACTAAACAAAATAAAGTATAAATATTCAAGAACAAAATTATTATCAAACTTGTACTAAAATCAGTGCCAAAGATAAAAGCGATTGGCCTTTATCGCGGAAATGGACGGTGAACTTAACGTGTAGACGTAGGCTGTGCCTAGTTTGAGAGTTACGTCAACGAAATGGAAATCGAAACGCAATGCTTGAATGAATGCATATTATATAGGTCAAAGTCTGTGAATCGCTGGCCAGTATCGGCTTTGTTATTCCCAATGAAAGGCCCCTTATATTCAACAGGAATTATTAAAGACTGGTTTGGGAAATCTATTATTTATCAAATTCATCGGAGTTTAACTGTAACTCGACAATTGCTACCTTGACCTTTGTTTGTTGCATGCACCTCGCTAGGCCTTTATCTTCTACACAGATCAATTTCTTTTAAAATCCGTTTAACGCGGAATCCGTCATTGATTTTAGGTATATTTCAAGAGTTGGATTATGATTGCATATCATGGCAATGTTCATTGAATAAATAAGTGATGGGCAATAATAGTATTTATATGGAATGTAAATGTATATAGGACTGTTTGAAGGTTTGGGTATACATTTCCGTGCAGTGTAAAATGATGTAGTGTACGTTATACACCGATTCGGGCGACTTCTGGTGGAAGTGCGCCGTCATAAGGTGACGCCATAACTGGCGTCACCTTATGAAGATGAAACAATTAAACATTTTATTTTCTATTGTACAAAATACGACAAAGATAGACGTCTCTTAAAAGAAAGGATTAAATTGAACAACCCCAATCTGAAACAATTATTGATGTCTAACCCAATTTTTACTCGTGAATTATTGGGTTACATATACGATACTAATCGTTTTAGATAGCTTTTAAAGCTATCAGGGATCCCCTTAACTTATGTCGATCCTGTAATAATATATAAAATGAAGTATTTGCGGTTTTTCCATGAACAATTGCAACTAACTCCCATCTCGCCTTTTCTGTGCATTTTATGCAATTTTAATATTGCAGCCTTTTTTTTTTTTTTCTTTTTTTTTTTAAATAAAACCATATCACTATTAATTTCATTTCACCAAGGAAAGTCGCTCGTGGGCTTGATTTCCGAAGCCCACGCCAAAGCTATACACGAAATTGACTGGCGCAAATAATCTTTGAGATTGAAGAGCGCCATCTAAACGAAGAACCAACCAACCGCGTCTGACTGCAGCTAGCTAGCTTACATTGCAACGGGTATGCTATACCTATACCGAACCTCGCCCAGGCCGGCCAGGGTCGCTGCTCCGCTAGCTAGTAACCGCTCTCGAGCTCTCTGTACTGTCAGCTGGATCGGAAAAGCCCCCCAGTTATAGCGCCGCCACCGGCGGGCAGGTACATAAAACCCCCAAACCGAATCGGTGTATAGATGAGGTAATCAATATAGATATGTTGGGAACGTAATTATAAAGACATATCACACTTTTGCTTACATAATAGGAGGATAATCATCGCAGGCGTGTTACATACCACTCAACCATAGTAGTAATAAGAACACAGACACATTTACCGATCACAGTACCATTAACAAGTAGAACAAACCTTCTTATGGCACGAACTTGCTTCTACAACAATCACATACACAGGAATACACAATAGAGCTTGCTATGACAATTTTACCTTCAAAGTAGAAGTGTTATTATTCCAATCCAATTCAAATGATAAGGATTTGAATAAAGCCTTGTGCCTTTTCTTTGCAGTTACAAAGAGCTGCACATATCGAATTATTTACATATAAATAAAGCACAATTTCAACTATGTTAGAACAATCGACTCGAAAGAATCCTCTCCCGAAAGAAAAAGCGCAGGTAATCTGGAAACTAAGATGTATTTCTGCCCTTTGATGTACAATAGTCCTTGCGAAAATGAAAAAACAGATATATGTCACAGGCCTTCTATATGTCTGCGCCGGTTCAATTTATTAAAGATTATCAAACACGGAGATCCACTAAAAACATAAGTCTGAAACATATATTTTGTGCCAATAATTCCAAAGAGGTATTTATTAGTATCCGTCTATCCGATGTCAAAGATACACCGATAATAAATTCCCAGTGTAACAACTGGCACTGTCTAATTCAAAACAACAGTTATTATAAAATAGATTTCATGCAAAGCTTTACAATATATTGTACGGGTAGAATAAACGATAGAGAAGGCACAACGTAAGCTACACTGTACAGTGCGTCCCAGAAAAAACGAAACCTAGAACTATCGATGCTTTATCATAACTTCATCACAATTATAATTAATAAGTGACACATATTTGGAAAGCTTAGATCCCCCTCTTTGATTTGATGCAATTCTTATGATGCATATTTCACGCATGAGTGATTTAAAAAAAAATTGAAGAGAGGAAACCAATTTGACGGGCGGTATCTGCATTTCGAAAAGAAAATCACATTTCTAGAAGGTTCAATTTCTGCCCTTTCATATGACACCTCAATTAGGAAAAATGAGCCAGGAATAACAAAGTTCTGTTTGTTTTTAAAAATGCTTGCATTTCCATAATTTGATCAAACGAGTTCATTTTCACTGGCTGCCTGCCGTAGAAACAAACAGAATTGACAAAAGACTTAACTCCGTTTCTTTGAAGATCAGCCATGCATCAGGTATTTCGTCTTCTTTGTGATGAAATTATATTTGGTGCCATATATTAATAAAGGGGAACAATTGTAGCTCAGTTATTTAAGAATAATAACATTTAGCGGTTGACAAATGGACAAAATGTTGGTAAAAGATGTACATTTTTCCGGCAGTAAGCTGCCTTAAAGTCTTGAGTTCTGGTAAAAAAGGAAAATAATACAGCATGCATGGCGTGATTGCAAGACAAAGATATCGAGGCAAAATGTTCAGATGATGTACTCCTCGAAAATTGCTGTCATGGAACTGATCAGGCGCGGATCCAGGATTTCTTAGGGGTGGGGGCCCAAATTTGAAATCAATTTTGAATTTAGTGAGCTGAAATATGAAAATCGTGCCGGCCGATTTTTTGCTCAGGGGGGGGGGGGGGGGGGGGGGAGGTAATGTGCACAATTTTTTGTTAGGATGCCTTTGAAAATCTGAAAAATTGCACCCCCCCCCCCCTCCGCACTCGAGCGCCAGGAGGGGGGGGGGGGGCATCTCCATAAAAAAGGGGGAAAATCGTTTCCCGGGGGGGGCCTGGGCCCCCTGCATCAGCCACTGGAACTGATATACCGGTACTGTTGGAAAAAGGCTTGCTTTAGACGCGTGGGTCTTTATCCGATATAAGGTGACTTGTTACAGGTTAAGCCTAAAAGTGCAGGGTTATGTTGGTACTCTCTCAGCCGGGACAGGTAGGGGGGGGGGTGCACTCTTAGAATCTCGGCCATCGAAAACAGGTAAATAATCTAACTTAGCAAACATAGAATATCTCACAAAGAATGAGTTCATAAAATTTAATATCTATATCTCAAATGATTACTAATGAACTTTACAAATATCCACAAATTGACAATTCTGCATTGTGTACAGTTCATAATGTTAATAGCGAAATGTTCATTTGTGCTGCATGCTACGCATCGAATTTTGCCTTTACTTTGGTAAAAATTATATAAACTTGGTATCAAAAGATAGGTGGCCGGGCGGTGGATCCTGCCCCGGCCCTTTCAGGATTAAAAAGAAGGAACAAAAGCCTCCCGGGTGGTCTGGACTCTGAGAAGCCCTGCACATTGGCCCGAATTCACGAAAGAGGTTTGTCGACAAACCTGTGCGTTATATGACGCGTTTTGATGCGTTTCAGACCAAGAATTGTCTGAACCTTGGTCAGAAACTTATCGAAACGCGTCATATGATGCACATAAACCTAGGTTTGTCAACAGGCCCCCTTTGTGAATTCGGGCCTGTTTGTCCTATAGACATCGGGTTTGAATTACGTCAATGTTATGTTCACACATTTCAATAAGTGACCTTGGGAAAAACCATGTTTTTGAGGCGTGGTATGTTGAATAAAGGAATGTTGAAAGCTTATTTCAGTTTTATTAACCCAGACAATTTAGAAGTTACTTATCAAATAGTTTGGAATAATCATAATATTTGTGTCGTTTCCAAAACCCTGTTTTGATAAATGCATGCATATTAACCATGTCATTATCCAGGGCCATTTTCAATGAGTAAACTAGACACACAAAACATATGGTTTAGATTCATGGGAATACAGTTAGCCATTATAAATCGTTACTAACCAACCACTAAGCCGCGCCCAGGCGTAAGGTCAACCTGACAATACCCTGAACGACCTGAAAAAAAATATCAGTCCACTGCTGTGTCAGGCAGGCAGCCAGTCACAATCGGTTCCAAACTTCTTCTTTTTCCGTTAAAGGTTATCAGTCTTGTCAATGAAACCAAAGTTAACATACAAAATGTCCCAATAACATGGCGAAGTATATAAACCTTGAGTAAAAGTTCGGAAGTAATTACAGGGTATACCCCCGACTCATAGATAACCAATAACCATTATCATTTTAAATATGTAAACTAAAACCAATTAAAACAGATAGTTTATAATCATGGAAAAAAACAGCTAGTTATTATAATATTAATCGGTTGTTCGGTATCAACTTGTTAAGGGCACCTCCTTTATTTATGTTAAAAGGAAGGAGGATAGGTAGAAGTTTCTGCCTCCTCCTCTAAATCCTCAATGGTCAAAATAAGAGCTGACATCTTGTCGTCGCCTCTTGATGAGCATCCATACGATGAAGAGATTAACGACCATGACGGCGTGAATGAAGCCGACGATGATGAACACCATCGTGAATGACTGGGTGACATCAAACAGATAACCTAGGAAATGATCATACCAGAATTATATGTATTTGTCAGGGATTTGTAATGTTAACATAGCAAAGCGTACAAAGACAAAGCTTTGACCAAAACCTATGTAGACATGCGTATGGGGGCACGATCATAGCTTAACCCTTACTGTACTGGGCTATTTTGAGCACCTAACTGGGGGGGGGGGGGAGGGGGGAGCCCCCCCCCCCCCCCCTATGATCTCTGTCGTTGAATGTCCGAAGAACACGAACATTTGCATGTTTGTAGATATTTCCGTAAGGAACAAGATAGTACAATTAGTTTTGTCCTAATATGCAAATTTGTGTCGTTATAGCCTAATTGCTTATGCAAAATGCTAATTTTACAGAAAACTCTACATTACATAGCGAAGAATGTTGAAAATGTATTGGATAAATGTTTCCTTCTTCTCAATTTCATGTGGCTTCATTATTGTTATGATATTTGAAAATGCATAGGTTAATTGGCATAAATTATGAATACGCAAATTACGCATTCATGAATATCAAATCTGGAAATGTACAGGGAACTAGAATCATTCAAAAAATTGTCAGACTCCATTTTTTTAATGTTGAAACTCACTATTTATGTGAAACTTCTTTTCTAACACAAACTAGTTATTTTGATGTAATTATTAATGATAATTTAAGCAAATTGTATGCGATTTTCAAATATTTGGGCCTATTTGAGCTTTTTAGTGATGTTTTCGTTGTTGGAAAGTATGTTTAGGTGTGAAGATCAACCAACAAGTGCATGGTGGGGATAAACGCTTCTTTCTTGAAGACAGGAGGTTTATTGTGATGCACTGCCAAGCAAGTGCACAACAAGGTATTAAAGAACTTAGAGATTAGATATATTAGTAACACATATGCTCTAATCATGTTGGGACAATCCTGTGGTACAACTTTTATACAAGGCTAATGAGGTCTTCAGAAGCCTATTTCAAGTCATATGTATCTCTGTTTTCCAAAAGCTTCATCTCAAAATGTTTTTCTGAAGAAATTTTTTTCGAAATTCATCATTTTATTTTCTTATGTATTTGGTTGTTTTTTATTTCGTATTATATCTATTGTTTTATTTCTAATGTATTTTTGTTCTGGAATACATCAAGTTACTTTGAGAAATATTTAAAAACAATTTGATATCAATTCATATCTCCCACTTAGGAAGAAATACCTCTAAACCTGTATTCACATTTCTACTTGTACGTGAATAGTTGCAATTTTGGCACTTTTTGATGTCATGCGCATACTAATTGTTATGTAACACCTTACAGGTATATCCGATTTCGACGAAAATGGTATCAAATGTGCGTAAGACTTGGAAGAAAATTCAAAATTCCCATCGGTTAAGGCGCTATCTCCGAAAATATTGAGGGGGCCTCCCAGAGTTGTCAGTCCATAATCCGAAAAATAATTTATAATGACAATACATACAATGGGGTATCGAACTTAAGTTGATTTCTCAAAGATTCATCATGTTTGAAAAGAAGAATCTAGCTATGAATTACGCACCTGTAAATGTTCCTGCACATGTCGCCCCTAGCCCTTGCGCAAAAAAAAACTGAGAGACACGGCCATGTTAAAATTCCGATCGTCAAAGACTGCATCTTTCAATAAACTGGACATAATAGTATCCTCGATGAAGAAGGAGAAACCTTGGACAAAAGCCAAGGTAGCACGCACCGCGTAAGCAGAACCGATGAAGTCCAGCAGAAATAATGCCGTGCCGATGAGGACTATGGCGATGTAGACGATATAAACATTGATGCCTTTGCCGACGAGGATGATGAAAATGGTCCGACCGATGATGCCACCTATGCCGCCAATTGTGGAAAGGAAGATTGCTTTAGAAGGAGGGATTCCCAGGTGTTCAGCGTGAGGTACCAGAAACAGCATCCACGCATAAATAGAGAACATGTACAAGAAATGAATCGGGATGGTGAAGAGATAGAGTGGTTCGTTTAATAGTCCACAGGACCGTTTGCCGATTTGAAAGACGGAGCTTGTCCAAGATGAGCGCGCATTCGGTGATGTATCCTGTTTATTGATGTTACGTCTCTCGTTTTGAATCAAATGCCTTTCCTCCAAGACGCACTCTTCACTATCCTCTTGCTCCTCCTCCTCATGATAATGGATGCTTTCTGTTTGCTTCGAGGATTCTCCTTCAGAGAGACACTTCTGTTTCTCATTCATTTCATTATAACTTTTGACTTCATTTGTAGCTGCGTTTCTTGGTGCCTTGTGTATCGTTGCACCGCACGCGACAAGGTTAAAAGCGATACCGCCAAGGATAATAAAAGCCCCTACATAGCCATATGCTTCGAATGACCTTTCAGTTACAATAGGGAGCAGCATGGATCCAGCGGTGTAGCCGTACAACGTGATTGTGTTCATCAAAACGAATTTTTCTCTGAAGAAATCATTCAGTGCAATCACCATGGGCATATAGGTCATTGACATGCCAACACCTGCGGGAAAAAAATGAAAGGATGACAATTATTACTATTAACAGAAATAAAACGGACTCGCACTGCTCCATTTCCATTCAGTTCTAGTCTCCATGATCTTTAGGAGTGGCCTGCCCTTAGATAAGTTCCTTCTTCTTTCTAACTGCTGTTCAACCTCTGGCACGTTTGTCCCTTAAAGGCTGCCAGAAGAGCATTTGTGAAATCATTTCACCCTTGCTCCTCCAGCAATGACCTCTGGAACGGAGGCGGCATTCCCTCAGTCCTCTGGCGTTGTGTCTCTATACAACTCTATATTTTCCATAATATAGTCCCCCCCCCCCCCCCCCCCCAGCTGACATTCAATGCTTCTCTCAAAAGTCTTGTCTTGTAGTAATGATACTGCTACACCTAACACTACTTCTACTACTACTATTACTACTACTACTATACTCCTACTCCTACAATAATATAGTATTAATGACTGCTTTGAGAGAAATAGAATTGTGCTATTGCCCCGAGGCGTGCCGAGGGCAATAGCCCAATTGTAACCTTCCCGAGAGCGTATAAAAACAACTATTTCTCGAATATTAAAGCAGTCATTAATACTTTTATATGCCGAAAAAAAAATAAAGAAATAAAATTTAAAAAAAACTTTTGTCGAAGATGGGATTCGATCTCTTGCGTACCAAAGGTGATGTAACGAAAACCGCCGCCTTAAACCGCTCGGCTATCATACATAGCAGTTTTTTTTTTAATATATACTTTAAAATGGATTGAAAACGGCTTCGCGTGGTGGAAGCTTCGCGGCTGCTCCATTAAACAGGACCTTCTTTTACTTTTGCAATGCATATTGGCACGAATTTAGATCAAGATCTATCGGCAGATGTTGTTTTTTTGTTTTTGGAAGTTTATTTTCGTCTTAATGTCAACAATGCAAGATAAAATTGTCGGTAAGATCGATCGAGATTCAATTGTATTAAAATTACCGACCAATTCTTCGCACACGTACGGTATCCTCGATCACTCAGACCATCTTTTAACATGTAAACCTATGGGGTAACCATGGAGACTGACCTATTTTCCCAATAACCATGGTTATTGGGATTTTGAACTGTTTTAACCATGGTTACTGGGAATTTTCGGGAACAGTTAAAGTTTATGAATGCAATTTCGACCAATCAGATTGCTTGATTACTTAAGTGAAGTATATAACTACTACTAATACATATACTAGCTAGAACAATAATAATGATACTAACTATTATTTTGATGAGACCGGAATAGGAATACCAAGCTTTTTTTATTCAAAAGTTGATGGCGATTATTGCGTTTTCCGTCAAACCTATTCAATAGCTTGTAGCTGAGTAATCACGTTGTGAGATGGCGCTCTTTGCAATACCTACACAGAGCTACGGTTTAGGAGAGTTTGGCCAACTCGGTCGCAGTTTGGCTCAATATAGATAATACGAATTCACAAAGGAGGTTTGTCGACAAACGTAGGTTTATGTGCGTCATATGACGCGTTTCAAAGCGTTTCAAACCAAGGTTTGTACAACAAAGTTTGAAACGCGTCGAAACAAAGGTCTGTCGACAAACCTCCTTTGTGAATTCTGGCCTTTGCGTTTAAAGGTGCCAGGCTGTGCGATTATGAACAAATATGATCTATGACGCCATGATACGTTATCCTAATCGCTCAACTTAAGCTATTGTAACAACCCAAAAAAGTACCATGTAAGGCGGCTGGGAGGTGATTTTTCAGCCAATTTTGCCCGGACGCGGAGCGGCGACCACCCGGGTACCGATTGTTTGTCTAGGGCATCGCGTTTGGTTGCCGATGAAGTTTTAGCGCGGAGTTAAAATTCGGTTTCGCCTGCTCACTTTTTACTCGCCGCCCAAAATACGCTCGTTGCCCGGGCTGCCTAATTGAGCGTTCGCCGTCGAGCGATTTAGGTCAAAATTGGAAACCGCTAGGTCAAAGGCGCCGAGTGTTCGCCACTGGGTTATCAGTTGGTCACTGGGCGGCGAGTTTAAAGTCGCTCGGCAGCCTTTGACCTAGCGGCTTCGATGTTTGACCATGGTTTGACCTAAATCGCTCGACGCTGAACGCTAGATTAGGTCGGTGCTCAGGCGGCGACCGCCCGGCTGGATGGAGTTGGTCCTAGGATGGATGAATTAGTGAGAGGCTGGATGAAGTCGATAGCTTGACTGAGAAAGATTGTCTCTGACTGATTTATTTCTTATGAATTAATTTGACATAATATTAATTGAATCACACTTTTAAGTCATATATAGTTCCATATATTCTTTTGGTAATAGGCTGGTGCAATGCTGGAGTGAAAAATACTGAATGATAGTTCTACGAAATGGTGCGTATGTAATTACGAAAATGATGAGTAAATACATATGGGACTGCTACATAATTATAACTCCCGCTGTCCATTGCTTTGCATGCAGCGCAAGTTGAGCAATGCCGATGACGTTCATAACGTCATAGTCATGTTAATTCATAGCAGCCCAGACTGGCACCTTCATAAGCTACCGTATGTATGGTTATCTATCTACCATGCAGGGCAGGTGAGCTACATAATAAAATATTCGATTACATAGCTAAACTAAAAGATATTTAGCTTACCTGATAAGGCGAGACAGACTCCTACAGTAACTGTGTCTTTGAAGAAAGCGCTGGCAATAATACATGATCAACACAACACTCCGCCTAACATAGCGACAAAACGATGGTTGATCTTCTGCAGAACGAGTGTTACAAAAGGACCTGATATGTTGAGAAAAGAGGAGAAAAGATGTTAAATTAAAGTTACAAAAATGGAAACACATGAGGTAATTATGTGTAAAAAAAAAAACACAGTTTTTAGAAACGTTTACGAATTCCCCATCATCAAAATGTCAGAGGTACATGAAAACATGATTATACCATATTGCTGCCCGAATATGAGGTGACAATTACCCAAATAAATAAGGAATTCCATTCAAGGTAGAGGAGAAGGAGGACGAGGGGGATGAAGAGCAGGTGGAATGGGACGGGAGGGGGGGGGTGGGGTGGGTGTAGATCCTACCCCCTGCATTTCCCCCGGTAATATCCTTTGGCAAGATATCAATTTACATTTGCCACTTTCTACCCAGATAAAGTGAGTGGGAACCTATAAGGGAATTCGAACAAATGCAATTCGTAATGCTTTTCCTTACTTGCAATAACCATCTTAATTCATTATTACGGGCCTACCACTAATGTTCAACAAGAACAGCAATAATAACTACTACTACTACTTTTGACCAATGATGACAATGATGATTATCATGATGATTGTTATTATCACGATTAATATTTTAGTTGTTGAAGTTGTCGTTAGTATGGTAAGAGTCTTTATCATTTTATTACCCTAAATATCATCATCAATATATAACTCTTATTATTGTTGTTATTATTATTAATAATATTTCAATTACGAAGATGATGATGATGATGACGATGAGGATCATACGTAGTAGTATAATTATCGTTATCATCATTACTTTTACATCTACTGCTAACCACCACTAGTACTACTATTACCTAAAGCATGTATATATTTAACACATTTGACTTACTTAATAGGTACATAACTGTTCCAGGCAAGCTACATATCAATCCGACAGTAGCATAATCTGACTCCAGACGCTCGACCATTGTAGGAATAAAAACACCGAAAGACTTCGCGATGCCAGTTTCAATAAAAAGTACAACAAATTTGCCAACAACAATCCGTAGCCTGAAGACCACATACTGAATCTTGCTATAACTATTGTACCCTCAATGCAGAAGTGTGATTTCAAGTGTTTCAAAGTTACAAGCAGTATACGCCTGTATTGCGAAAATTGACGATGAACTTGCAATATCAACAACATGCAAATACAAGTCAATACAAAGAGGATGCATGAAAGCGGCATATCGGTCAAATGATAAGCACTACTGGCTTCATCATTGTAAGGCCCCATTTATTGAATAGTCAGATCATAAATTTGCATCAAAGGTTTTTTGTAACGGTTTCAAGTAGTATTCGACCTCAGAAATAACATAATTAAAAGTATACCCAAATCGAAGGTTCAGAAAGCTGTTATTTTCAAGATGGCGTCCAAGATGGCCGCCATCCTCGACTCATATAACACGCATATGTACAAGCACATTTAGTAAACAAGGATGTAGAACCAGCAGCAATGATTGCGCTGACTATTATTTTATTCTAGGGGGGCGGTAGTGAGCAGGCAAAACGTCCAAACTATTTACAGAGCGCGCGAAGGGGGTTGGGTACAGGGTGGGAGAGTTTCATTACAATAATTGAGAAATTAAGAAGACGATTCGTTGTACCTTTCACGACTCTTAATCCTTGTCTGAATTCAGTTGTCCCCCTCCTGCGCGAAGCGCGGAAGCTTTGACCATTAAGTAAATTATTAGAGAAAGAGGACGATTCGTCGAACCGTTCTCGACCCTTCATCTTTGTCTGAATTCAGTTTCACCCCTCCCGCGCTAAGCGGGGAAGCTTTGATGTTTCATTTAATTATTAGGGAAACAAGACGATTCGTTGTACCGTTTTCGACTCTTGACTCTTGTCTGAATTAAGTTTTCCCCTCACGCGCGAAGTGTGGAAGCTTTGGCGTTTTATTAAATTGGTTTTATTTATTTATTCATTTATTTATTTCACATATCAACAAAAAAATCAGCATATACACTGAGAATAGGTCTGTGCTTGTAAAGCGCCTTCCGATTTACAATTACAATTAGAAAAAGAAGACGATTCGTTGTATATCGTATATCGTTCCCCCCCCCCCCCCTCCTCCTCCTGCGTAAGGCTCGGAAGCTTTGACGTCTCATTAACTTATTACCGGAAAGAAGACGATTGGTTGTACTGCTATCGACTCCTTATTCTTGTCTTAATTCAGATCCCCCCCCCCCCCCCTCTGGAGCGAAGCGCGGAAGCTTTGACGTTTCATCAAATTATTAGCAGAAAGAAGACGATTCGTTCAACCGTTCTCGACTCTTAATTCTTGTCTGAATTGAGTATCATCCCTCTCGCGCAGAAGCTTTAGCGTTTCATTTAATTCTTTTTATTTATTTATTTCAAAAATTAAAAAAGGGGGATCCTAAACAGCATATACACTGAGAGAAGGTTTGCGCGTGTAAAGCGTCTTCCGAAATACAATTACAATTAGAGAAAGAAGACGAATCTTTGGCTACCGTTTTCGACTCTTAATCCTGTTCTGAATTCAGTTTCCACCCTCTCGCGCAAAGCGCGGAAGCTTTGACGTGTACATCAAATATTACTGGAAAGAAGACGATTCGTTGTACCTTTCACGACTCTTAATTCTTGTCTGAATTCAGTTTCCTCGCACGAAGCGCTGAAGCTTTGACGTCTCATTAACTTATTAGCGGAAAGAAGACGATTCGTTATACTGTTATCGACTCCTTATTCTTGTCTTAATTCGGTCCCCCCCCCCCCTCTCTGGAGCGAAGCGCGAAAGCTTTGACGTTTCATCAAATTATTAGCGGAAAGAAGACGATTCTTTGTACTGTTCTTGACTCTTAATCCTTGTCTGAATTCTGTTTTCCCCTTCTCGCGCCATTATTTTCATTAAATTATTATCGGTAAAAAGACGATTTGTTGACCCGGGTTGTAGGAGACCTACCCCCTGGACATCCATCCCCCGGATAACCACCCCCTAAGGCAACCACCCTCTAAAACGATTACCACCCCCCCCCCCCCCGACGCGTCATTTTTTCTGCGGCACAGATTGGGGCTTTTTTAAAAAGAGGTCTTGATTTAACCCTAACCCTAACCCTAAACTTTCCCATAGGCTTAACACACATCAAACCCCAATCTGTGCCGCAGAAAAAAAATACCGTCCCCGGGACAACTACCCCCGGACCAGGTGTGGCCGAGCGACTTCCAAAGTTCGGGGGGGGGGGGGGGCACCAAGAAAAAAACCCGGCAATTTCTGAAGAAAAAAGACACCTACAAAGGGAAAATCTCAAAACGGAAATATACATTTGTTTAGACATTGAAAAATACCCCTACATTGTGATTACATTATCAGGGATAATTTCAATGTTTGTATCACTTTATACACCATACAATATATTGCTTAAGCATCATGCTTGCAGAAGGGTGTGATGTTCTGAAAATTCATTTGAGAAGCGAATCAAGATTTGTGAGGTCGCAGTGCGAAAAATTACATCTCATACAGAGGAAGAAAAACAATCCTGATGGGGTTATAAGCACTTTCTCATATTAAACGGAAGACTGAAAAGACCTTTGATATTACATAAGTATATCATCTATAGATGTTTGCGAGTGTAGCAAGCGAGCTTTGGGGGAAATTGCTCTTAGTCGCTTGAAATTAGGGGCGTTTAATGATGAGAGGAAAAGGGGACACTTAAGGCGCATGTGTCGAAGTACATAGAGTAATTCTCAGAGGTGAAAATAGGGCACTTCTTAATCTTCAAAAACAGGCACTCACCAGGGATGAAAAAATGTAGTCGTGAAAATAGGAAATGGGCATTTGTCGACGATAAATGGGCTCCCATCCGATTTTGATAGGGGCATTTATAAGAGGTGAAAAGGGTATTTATGAAAAGGGGATAGGTCCCTTATTAGAAACGAAAAGGAGCACGTATCATTGTAAGAGGAACATTATCAGAGGTTAAAAAAGAGGCACTTATCGCATCTGAAAAGGGGCAATGACCAAATATGAAAAGGGGCACTTATGCGAATGAAAAAAGGGCACTTACCAAAAAGAAAAAAGTGCATTAGTTGAAAAAATAGGCATCGATCATATTTTAAAGGGGCATTTATCTTAGGTGAAGGGGGCACTTATCTGAAGTGAAAAGGAGTAACTTCTCGTACCTGGAAAGGGTCATTTACCAGAGACGGGACTCTTATGAGAAGGGGGAAGGGGCTCTTTTTTAATGGGGCACTTATCATTTGGAAAGGGGGCACTTATTAGAAAGGAAAAGGGGCACATGTGAAAATATTAGGTGCGCTTATCCAAGTTAAAATGGGGGTAGTTATTAAAAGTGCAAGGGGCACTTCTTACAAAGGAAAAGGGGCACTTGTCAAGGTAAAAGAGGCACCTCTCAGATTTGAATAGGGCAATTATCAGAGGTGGAGGAGGTACATATCAAAAGTGAAAAGAGACAGCACTCATACCTGAAATAGGGCACTTACTAGAGATTAAAAAGGGTAATCATGAGAATGGAAAATGGACACTTATTGCAAAGGGAAATGTCGAAAAAAGGAGCACGTGTCCAATCAATAGGGGCATTATGTAAAAAAAGTGCACTTGTCGGGTGCTTGAAAAAGTTGGGGGCACTGTGCCCCCTTAAAGGGCCACCTCTGCCCTTGACAATTACCGCCCAGACAACTATCCCCTAGAACAACTTCCCCCGGACAACTACCCCCTGGAAAACTACCCCCTAAGACAACTACCCCCCCCCCCCCGACAACTACCCCCAGACAACTACCCCCAGACAACTATCCCCTAGAACAACTACCCCCGGACAACTACCCCCTGGAAAACTACCCCCTACGACAACTACCCCCCAGACAACTACCCCCAGACAACTACCCTTTACGACAACAATCCTTTAGGACAGCCAACCCCGGAACAACTTTCCTAGTGGGTTTTGTCCTAGAGGGTAGTTGACTGGGTAGGTTATCGGGGGGCTGGATGTCCAGGAAGTTGGTGTCCGGATACGGTTGCACCGTTCTCGACTCTTAATCCTCGTCTGAATTTTGAAAAATGTTTCTTTGTTTGCTCCTTTTTCTCCCTACTTTCTTTTATTTTTTGTATGTGCTCTCTCTCCCCCTCTCTCTCCCTCTCTCTCCCTCTCTCTTTGCTCCCTCTCTCTCTCTCTCTCTCCCTCTCTCTTTGGCCGGCATTTTTGTTGGGGGCGGTCGCCCAACCGTTGTTGTTGTTGTTGTTGTTTTAGTATTAAGGGCGTGTGTCATTCAATCATGAATATTTACGCCCCCTGTAGTGTTAGTCTCTCTCGAAGTCGTCACATTGCATATCAAGTCACAGTACGTAGGGGGACATGTTAGCCAGCCGACCGACATTATACATCTCACCGACTTCAAACTTTTTTTATTGATATAGTACACGAGGATCGAGCAAGAATCCCGACACAGCTGACCCGACAATCAATGCATATCTTTATTGCTTCCTCGACGAGACGACTCAACCCAACAACTCCCCTCTCTCTCTCTCTTACTCACACCCCTCCTCTTTTTTCTTCTTTTTTTTCCTTTTCTCCATTTCTTTCTTTCTTTTCTTTCTTTTTTCTTTTCTTTCTTTTCTTTCCTCTCCTTCCTCTTTTTCTTTTTTCGCTTCTCTTTCTTTTGTTTTCCTTTCTCTCTTTCTTTTCCTTTTCTTTTTTTCTTTTCTTTCCCTTTCCCTCTCATTTCCCCTCCCCTTTCCTAATTTTTCCCGACGGCAGCGCCATTTTACCGACAATATCCTGACAAGTAGGGGTGTCACAAATATTACATAATCGAAAAAAATTACACTATTTTCCTTTCAGTGGCAATATGTTGACGTCAAAGCATTCTAATAGCAAACGTGATACATGAAATCGTATCTCTATTTCATGAACTTCAAATTTGATGATATTGACCAAAACTCAACTAATGACGTCGAGTTTATGCACACTAAATATCATGCAGAATTAACAATGTATGACGGAAATATGTACTATATAAGAAATTAACAAAATGGCGCCTAGATGACGTCACGCATCAGTAATAATTTGTGTTATCTTCGTTAGGATCGATAACATGCATATGTGTCTTTTCCAACCAACATCAAATTCTGTAGCACTTTGTAGGTTATTATGAATATGTAATGTTTGTCCTATATGTGGAATTTAAAACATTAGCAGTGTCCTATATTATTCAAATTATGTAAGGAAACCTGTTTATTTGCTAGGCTTCCCTGTCAGACACTAACATTGAGTGAATGAGTGACATCTTTTTTCTTTGGTAATCATAAAATACATAAAAATGAGCTGAAACAAGTACATGGGTATTTGTCTACATCAATAACCCACTACAGTGTGAGTCAAAAAAAAGTTTACACCTAGAAAATTGCTAATCATTTCAGAAATCATATATGAGCAGTAAATTAGTATACATGTTATGAAAGAGTATTTTATCCCGAATCATTTGGTATTATATTTGTGTGGTGTGTGTTGACGCTTGGATGAACAGGAGGCATTGTTTGCGATAGTGCAAAAATCGACTTGCGCCAAAGTTGCTTATGTGATGCTTGAATAAAACAATTGGGATTTGGGTATTAATTCGTTCTTTGCATATCCAAATAACATCCCTAACCAAATTAATCATGCCACACATATCAAATATCGAATATCATATAGCAACGTACATGTGTGCGCGTACGTGAGTGTGTGTTTGACTTTGCTTCTGCAAAAAGCATATGCAATGCATTTCATTTGATACATTCAATTCCTTCGTTCACTCCGCTAATCCCAACATAATATATGCTGTATGCATCACGTTGGCGCAACTCGATTTTTGCACTCTTGCAAACAATGCCTCCTGTTCATCCTAGCGTGAACACATACCACACAAAAATGATACGCAATGATTTGGGATGAAGCACTCTTTCATGAAATGTATAATAATGTACTGTTCATAGATGATTTTTTTTAATAATTACCAATTTTCTAGCTGTAAACTTTTTTTGGACTCACACGGTATACTTGTAATGGCCAAAATTAAACTGATTGAACCTTTATGCAACACAAATCATATGACCATTTAGTACAATGGTCTAAAAATCAGACTATTACTTAGATGATTGCAATCACTTATGTCGGTTCGACAACTAATGGTCGTTATTTACTAAAAAAAAAAACTTTTTAAACCCTTTCGTTTTGATGGAAGTTCTGAATAAGTATTGGCATTCAAATGTCGTTGGAATTTAACCATTTCATTGTCTGACCTGCAAATAGGACATAGTACCTTTAAAATTGTCATTATCATTTACCATGCCATTCATGAGATATAAAATGAACAAAAACCACACAGCAAGAAAGGGAAGATAAAAAAGCAAAAAGATAAATTCTTCCGAAATGTATAGGTGCTCTGCCACGCTTCGCGGCAGATTTTAAAAAAGACAATAAAGACAAAAAGACAATGAATAAATGACGAACTACTTTGTTTTCGTATAAGGTTATCACAAGGGTTTGCATTAAAAAAAATAACCTAAGAAAATGGCACAGTGGAATTAATTTAGAAGGTAAACTCTTGATTCAAACAATGCTATTATCCAGGGCCATTTTCAATGTGTAAACTAAAGAAATGACAAAAGACAGTATAGATTCATGGGGATGAAGTAAGCTATTATAAACCATTACTAACCAACCACTAAGCCGCGCCCGGCGTAAGGTCAACATGACAATAGCCCGACCCGACCTAAAAAAACAAATCAGGTAGGCACCCAATGACGATCCGTTCCAAAATGTTACATGTTAATGTGGACGTTTAGCTTTGCACGTCGACATAGTGGACTGCTACGTGTGACGTCCTTTTAAGGAACTATGTCGCCCTGCAAATCTAAAAGTCCCTAATGACGAAATCGTATGAGTTATTTATTTGGTAACAATTTGGTAAGCTCTTGTTCTTCGTCGATTTTCTAAGACACCGAAATGACAACAAAGATTTTGGCAAAATATTGGAAGTAATTAGAAGGTAAACTTCTGATATATTGAAGGCCAATAGGTCATTCTAAATTGTGCATACTAAAAACAAAACAAAACAATAGGTAAAGTTCATGGAAATACAAGTAGTTATTACTATTAGCCATTACTAACCAATCGCATGAATAGCTTGTTCGGTATCAACTTGTTAAGGGCACCTCCTTTATTTATGTTAAAAGGAAGGAGGATAGGTACAAGTTTCTGCCTCCTCCTCTAAATCCTCAATGGTCAAAATGAGAGCTGACATCTTGTCGTCGTCTCTTGATGAGGATCCATACGATGAAGAGATGAACGACCATGACGGCGCGAATGAAGCCGACGATGATGAACACCATCGTGAATGACTGGGTGACATCAAACAGATAACCTAGGAAATGATCGTACCAGAATTATATGTATTTGTCAGGGATTTGTAATGTTAACATTGCAAAGCGTACAAAGACACAGCTTTCACCAAAACCTATGTAGACATGCGTTTGGGGGCACGATCATAGCTTAACCCTTACTGTACTGGGCTATTTTGAGCACCTAACTGGGGGGGGGGGGGGGAGCCCCCCCCCCTATGATCTCTGTCGTCGAATGTCCGAAGAACACGAACATTTGCATGTCTGTAGATATTTGCGTAAGGAACAAGATGGTACAATTAGTTTTGTTCTAATATGCAAATTTGTGTCGTTATAGCCTAATTACTTATGCAAAATGCTCATTTTACAGAAAACTCTACATTAAATAGCGAAGAATGTTGAAAATGTATTGGATAAATGTTTCCTTCATTTCAATTTCATGAGGTTTCATTATTGTGATATTTGAAAATGCATAGGTTAATTTGCATAAATTATGAATACGCAAATTACGCATTCATGAATATCAAATCTGGAAATGTGCAGGGAACTAGAATCATTCCAAAAATTGTCAGACTCCACTTTTTGAATGTTGAAACTCATTATTTATATGAAACTTCTTTTCTAACAAAATCTAGTTATTTTAATGTAATTAATAATAATAATTTATGCAAATTGTATGCGATTTTCAAATATTTGGGCCTATTTGAGCTTTTTAGTGATGTTTTTGTTGTTGGAAAGTATGTTTAGGTGTGCAGATTAACCAACAAGTGCATGGTGGGGATAAAAGCTTCTTCCTTGAAGACAGGAGGTTTATTGTGATGCACTGCCAAGCAAGTGCACAACAAGGGATTAAAGAACTTAGAGATTAGATATATTAGTAACACATATGCTCTAATCACGTTGTGACACTCCTGCGGTACAACTTTTATACAAGGCTAATGAGGTCTTCAGAAGCCTATAGATTTCAAGTCATATGTATCTCTGTTTATCAAAAGCTTCATCTTAAAATGTTTTTCTGAAGAAAAAAAGTTCGAAATTCATCATTTTATTTTGTTATGTATGTTATTGTTTTTTATTTCTATTGTTTTGTTTCTAATGTATTTTTTGTTCTGGAATACATCAAGTTACTTTGAGAAATATATAAAAGCAATTTGATATCAATTCATATCTCCAACTTAGGAAGATATACCTCTAAACCTGTATTCACATTTCTACTTGTACGTGAATATATGCAATTTTAGCACTTTTTGATGACATGCGCATACTAATTGTTATGTAACACCTTACAGATGTGCGTAAGACTTGGAAGAAAATAAGTCATGAAACGACAATTCAGAATTCCCATCGGTTAAGGCGCAATCTCCGAAATTATTGAGGGGGCCTCCCAGCCCCCCCCCCCCCCCCCCCCTCAGTAGAGTAATGGTTAAATAATGGAACTCTTAAAACTTCCTCCCATGTAGATATTTGGTAAAGAGTTAGAACTATTTAAGGCTACATGAATTGCCTGACTATTAAGCAGGAGCAACTTCCATAGACGCATCTTTCTCTCTTTAATAACTAGCTATGACTCTTAAACAGAAACGCCATCGACAGCTTACTCTTGTCACCTAAAACTCACGAAAGTCTTTACCTGTTCACTGATAGTGACTGAATAGTACTACTAAACATGGATTTCAGAAATATTAATCTGATCACATGATTACCAACACCTTCGAGAAAATCAAGCTAAGGTAATTTAAACTAGACTCGTGTGTCATCTTTTGAAATGTATGATTAGGCCTGATTAGATAATCTATCTACCTCTCTTAACTTAGAGGCCGTGGAGCAAAAAGGAAATTGAACTTGAACCACTGGTTTCTCCAAAACTTTCTGTCTTACACATTTTATATTTAGCTGCTCAAAAAGCAACCAAGTCCAAGGATTTGATGTTGTCAGTCCGTAATCCGAAAAATTATTTATAATGGCAATACATACAATGGGGTATTGAACTAACGTTGATTTCTTAAAGGTTTATCATGTTTGAAAAGAAGAAGATGGCTATGATTTACTCACCTGTAATTGTTCCTGCACATGTCGCCCCTAGTCCGTCTACGAATGAACCGAGAGCCACGGCCATGTTAAAATTCCGATCGTCAAAGACTGCATCTTTCAATAAACTGGACATAAGAGCATCCTCGATGAAGAAGGAGAAACCTTGGAAAAAAGCCAATGTAGCACGCACCGCGTAAGCAGAACTGATGAAGTCCAGAAGAAATGATGCTGTGCCGATGAGGCCTATGGCGATGTAGACGATATAAACATTGATGCCTTTGCCAACGAGGATGATGAAGATGGTCCGACCGATGATGCCACCTATGCCGCCAATTGTGGAGAGGAAGATTGCTTTAGAAGGAGGGATTCCCAGGTGTTCAGCGTGAGGTACCAGAAACAGCATCCACGCATAAATAGAGAACATGTACAAGAAATGAATCGGGATGGTGAAGAGATAGAGTGGTTCGTTTAATAGTCCACAGGACCGTTTGCCGGTTTGAAAGACGGAGCTTGTCCAAGACGAGCGCGCTTTCGGGGATATTTCCTGTTTACTGATGTCACGTCTCTCGTTTTGAATCAAACGTCTTTCGTCCAAGACGCACTCTTCACTATCCTCTTTCTCTTCCTCCTCCTCCTCTTTTTTCACTTCCTCCTCCTCCTCCTCACGATTACGGATGCCATCTGTTCGCCTTGAGGACTCTCCTTTAGAGAGACACTTCTGTTTCTCATTCACTCCATTATAAATTTTGCCTTCATTTGTCGCTGCGTTTTTTGGTGCATTGTGTATCGTTGCACCGCACGCGACAAGGTTAAAAGCGATACCGCCAAGGATAACAAACGCCCCTACATAGCCATATGCTTCGAATGACCTTTCCATTACAATAGGAAGCAGCGTGGATCCAGCGGTGTAGCCGTACAACGTGATTAAGTTCATCAAAACAAATTTTTCTCTGAAGAAATCATTCAGTGCAATCACCATGGGCATATAAGTCATTGACAAGCCAACACCTGCGGAAAAAAATGAAAGGATGAAAATAATGACTATTACTAAAAATTAAACGGACTCGCACTGCTCCATTTACATTCAGTTCTAGTCTCCATGATATTTAGGACTGGCTTGCCCTTTGTAAACAAGTTCATTTTCTTTTTTTAACTGCTTTTCAACCTCAGGCACGTTTGTCCCTTGAATTATTGCGATTATTGCGTTTTCCATCAAACCTTTTTCAATATGTATTGTTCTTGTAGCTAAGTAATTACGTCGTGAGATGGCGCTCTTTACAATACCTATACGGAGCTACTGATTAGGAGAGTTTGGCCTACTCGGTTGTAGTTGGGCTCAATATAAATAATACGGCTTTTGTTGGGCAAACTCTATGGCCCAAATTCACAAAGGAGGTTTGTCGATAAACCTAGTATTTGGTTTATGTGCGTCATATGACGCGTTTTGACGCGATTCAAACCAAGGTTTTACAAACTTGTACAAACCTTGGTTTGAAACCCGTCGAAACGCCTCTTTTGACGCAAATAAACCTAGGTTTGTCGACAAACCTCCACTGTGAATTCGGGCCTTTGCGTATTCGGGCCTTCGCGCTGGGCGGTCGTGAATAAATATGATCTATGACGTCATGATACGTCATCCTCATCGCTCAACTTACGCTGTGCAAAACAATGGCCGTTGGACAGCGGGAGTTATAATGATGTAGCAGCCCCATATGTTATGTATACTCATCACTTTCGTAATCATATATGCGCCATTTCGTAGATCTATCATTCCGTATTCCTGCTACAGTATTGCACCAGCCTATAAAAAAATATGATTGGAACAATGAATTACTTCATAATACAATTTCATTAATTTAATGATATCATTCTCTTGATATTATGTCAAATCAATTCAGAAAAAGAAAACAAACATTGGTTGCCATAACCTTGAAATTTTCCCCAAACCCATGGATAAGAAGTTGTTAAATGTTTGTCACCGAAACGGCAGCCATTTTGAATGTTCATGGTCAAGGTAAGCACTTTTACTTTTGAAAATTGTATAGTTGAATTCACCACGTCAGGAAACATATTATTAGACACTAAAATCATTAGAATCGGACGTGGTGGTAAATTTGACCTTTTTGACCATAGCGCCCTCATTTAAGGTCGGAGGTATAACAAACTATACATTTTTTAATCCTCATGACCAGACGAGTAATTCGATATGCATATCGACACCATTTGAATATATTTGAATTTCAACCCCTGTTTGACCTTTGTTGGACCATCACGAAAATGCCCGAGATTTTCAAGGGGGCAGCCCAAGTCAAAATTGTTCGGTATTCATCAGGGAACACAAAAACACTTTCAAACCTTTGTTTCGAGAGATTGGTCACGGGACCTACAGGCTGGTCTCCTACTACTATTGTCACCGATCTTTGGTCCTGTCATCACAGGCCCGCCCCCCCCCCCCCTCCCCACTCAGTGTTATTTAGGGTACGCATATGCGTGTTCCCTCCTTTTGAAAACACCCCTAAGTCCGGTGTGTAAAGTCAATTTTGTGTATGTATGAGCCGGACTTTGGTGCGTGAAAAGTACCCCTTTACCGGACATTTTTTTGTACACGCATGCGGTCATTCCGACCCCCCGGAGTGGGGGGGGGGGGGTGGTCACAGGACGCCATGCAGTGCTGCGAAGCAAACGTGTGACTCAGACTGATCACTTAGCTTAAGAAAGTCCGCAGGAGTGGAAGCTTTAAAACTACATGTTATCATTATCCCCAACTGATAAAAGTTTTCTGTATCACTCACTCATCTGTTGCTCTCGTTTTTCTGCCGTTATTACAAGCAACTTAAATGGAATTTTACCCTGTTAAGGGTAAGCTTCCCCTTTAACTCCATTTGTATAGCCTAGCACAATCGAAACCTGCATCAACTCCATCCATCCTATACAGTACCAACTACATACACTATGAACATGATGGACAATGAAAGAGGACAAAATATACAGTTCCTCATTCTACCCTCAACAATTGATGTGGCAGACAAAGGAACATCCCTTCACTGCTATTATGTAAAAATGTGTAGAACAGGTGTCACATGCATATTCACCTGTTCTACACATTTTTACATAATATCAGTGAAGGGATGTTTCTTTGTCTACCACAGCAATTGTTGAGGGTAGAATGGGGAACTGTTTATTTTGTCCTCTTTCTTTGTTCGACATGTTCATAGTGATACGGCCTAGCATCAACCCCATCCAAACTATAGAACCAACTCTATCCAGCCCATACAGCACCAACTCCACAACTCCATTAGGCCTACCGCCATAATAAGCCTTACATTAACTCTAAATATCGCCCCGTCCGATCTCTCACTATGAACATGACCGACAAAGAAAGCGGACAAAATATACAGTTCCTCAGGTAGACAAAGGGACATCCCTTCATTGCTATTATGTAAAACTGTGTAGAACAGGTGAATATGCATGTGACACCTGTTCTAAACATTTTTACATGATAGCAGTGAAGGGTTGTTCCTTTGTCTACCTGAGGAACTGCATATTTTGTCCGCTTTCTGTGTCGGTCATGTTCATAGTGTCTATTTAAGCTTGCACCAACACCATCCAGGGATATATGGAGCTCATGTAAGGTTTATTTAAATTGGTGGTAGGCTGGATGGAATTTGGTTGGTGATAGGCTGGATGGAGTTGGTGCAAGCTAAAAATGGAGTTGGTCCTAGGCTGGATGGAATTGGTCCTAGGCTGCATACGGTTTGTCCTAGGCTGGATGAAGTCGATAGCTTGACTATGAAAAAGATTGTCTCCGAATGATGTATTTCTTCTCAATGAATTTGACATAATATCAATTGAATTATACATTAAAGTCATTTATAGTTCCATATAATCCTTTAGTAATAGGCTGGTGCAATGCTTGCGCGAAAATACTGAATGATAATTTCACGAAATGGCGCGTATGTAATCACGGAAATGATGAGGAAATACATATGGGACTGCTACATAAATATAACTCCCGCTGTCCATTGCGTTGCATGCAGCGCAAGTTGAGCAATGCGGATAACGTTAATGACATCAAAGTCACGTTTATTCAGCCTGGCACCTTCATAAGCTACCGTATGTATGGTTCTCTATCTACCATGCAGGGCACAAAATGAGCTACATAATGAAATATTCGATTACATAGCTAAACTAAACGATATTTAGCTTACCTGATAAGGCGAGACAGACTCCTACAGTAACTGAGTTTTTGAAGAAAGCGCTGGCAATAATACATGATCCACACAACACTCCGCCTAACATAGCGACAAAACGATGGTTGATCTTCTGCAGAACGAGTGTCACAAAAGGACCTAATATGTTGACAAATAAGGAGAAAAGATACCAAATTAAAGTTAAATATATGAAAAACGTGAGGTAATTACGTGCAAAAGTAAACAATGGTTTTAGAAACGTTTACGAATTCCCCATCATCCAAATGTCAGAGTTATACTTACATGAAAACATGATTATACCATATTGCTGCCCGAATATGAGGTGACGATTAAACAGATAAATAAGGAATTCCATTCAAGGTGGTGGAGAGGGAGGACGACAAGGACGAAGAGCTAGATGAATGGGGGGGGGGGGTGAAGGGGGGTGGGGTTTGGCGTTGGGCGTAGCTCCTATCCCCTACCACTAATGTTCAACAAGAACAGCAATAATAACTAGTATTACTTTTGACCAATGCTAAGACAATGATGACTATTTTGATATTTGTTATTATTTCGATTAATATAAAGTTGTTGTTAGTATTATCATAGTTTTTATCATTTATTCATCCTAAATATTATTATCAATATTATTATTGTTATTATTATTATTATTAATAATATTTCAATTATGAAGATGATGATACGTAGTAGTCTAATTATCGTTATCATAATTACTTCTACATCTACTGCTAACTACCACTAGTACCACTAATACCAACAGTTTGTATATGACACATTTTATTTACATAAGAGGTACATCAATGTTGCAGGCAAGCTACATATCAATCCGACAGTAGCATAATCTGACTCCAGACGCTCGACCATTGTTGGAATAAAAACACCGAAAGACTTCGCGATGCCAGTTTCAATAAAAAGTACCACGAATTTGCCAGCAACAATCCCGAAGCCAAAAGACCACATACTGAATCTTGCTAAAACTACTGTACGCTCAATGCAGAAGTATGATTTATCGATCCAATCGAATCCAAAAAGTATTTGATTTAGGCCTGGCGCCCCTTTTACTTTGCAATAACAAAGTGCTGTACAGATCGCTTCCAATGATAGGGTCACCAAAACAAGATTTCACTTAAACAGGGCAAATTTGGCCAAAACAATCCAGTGTTGTCTAGCAAAATAGATAGGGCTTCAGAAATTGTAGCTGACTTCCAAAGAGGTATAAAGCTTGTTCCACAACTTTGCAGCAAATTAGAGATCATTCTCCCGCGTACAAACGTCCTCCAAAGTTGCTTTTCGAGCCGATGATTACTTCAAAATTAGGTTCACGTCGATTTAACTGTATTCGGTGTGTAATCTTCAAAGAATAGAGACGAGTTCCTCTTTTGAAACAGTCGTGAGCAGAAGAGAAGCCAAATAAGGTTATTCAGACGGTTCTTCTACTGTATTTTCACAGCACACTGTATCGTGGCAAAGTACCCGTAGTTCCTTCATATTCCCATCAGCTTCTCTTCAATCAGGTTTTTTTATGAAAAAAGCTATATGTTCATCTAAATGAACACTATAAAATAGTCGTATACATATAAAAAAAAAACTTGGCAGGATCCTAAAAAAGAAACCGACATTCGGGCTACAGTCGGCTTCAAAGTTAAAAGCAGTATACGCCTGTATAGACCAGTTCACGGTTAGCACTTTACTGCAATGACCCCGAATATCCACAGATCTTCAACACATGAAGAGGTCCCACTTTGTACATTTTGAAATAATCACTCCTACAGCGATGGACTGGTGCTTTATAAATAGCCTTTGTTCCCCCTTTTCAAAGAATACTTCCACCTGGAGTGCACTGAATGTGCATGAATGAATAATGTTACATAACTTTCATGAGCACGTATCCAGTATTTCGTCTCCGTGTATTTCAAAATTTGTTCTGCAATGACCTTTATCTGCTCATGCTCAGACTGCAACCGTGAACTGGCTTATTGCGAAAATTGACGATGAACTTGCAATATCAACAATATGCAAATACATGTTAATAGCAAGAGGATGCATGAATGCCTCTGGGACAGATGATGTGCAGTACTGGCTTCATCATTTGTAAGGCCCTCAAAGTGGAATCGCTTAATTACGAATGCATTGACCTAAAAACGAAGGATTCATCGTAATTACACCCCGGCCCCCCCCCCCCCACTCAGTGTTATTTAGGGTACGCATATGCTCGTTCCCTCTTTTTGAAAGCACCCCCTATCTGAGCACTGCCAACATTTCCGAACCCCCCCTTTCGCTGGCTTTTCGCGGGCTTTTCCTGCCTTGGAGACCCCCCTAAATCAGGAAAAATGCTCAATGTACCCCCCTAAATTCGGAATAATTTCTCAGGAGTCCAAATAGATGAGAGAAAAAAAAGAAAAAACACCCCCTTTTTAAAGAAATCTCCGGGTGAAAAGTCAAATACACCCCTTTTTTTACAATTCTCGGGCCGGACTTTGTCGCACGAAAAGTACCCCTTTACCGGACATTTTGGCAACACGCATGCGGTCATTTCGAAACCTGAGTGGGGGGGGCCGGGAATTACACATGACGACGTACTATATACACTCTAAACGATGAAGTGCTAAACGACGGGTGCTGGGTACAAATTTGCACCACACGTGCCAAGTGTAGCCCTTGGCGTGCATGCATCGTTTGGGAAGCGATGACGAGCAGAAAAATGAGTGCTGGAAACACGTGCTATTCGAGAAATTGCACCCGAAGTGTGACCCTGCCTGTTTTAGCACTTAAATAAACACCAGTAGTGCTGGCGCTCCATGCGCAGGCGCACCAGCATTCCAGGTGCTAAGGCAGTGCTTCACACAAAAGAAATGTAAAGTAATTTAAAATTCAAATGAGATAGGTCGCCACTCGGCTATAAAAGAGCGGGGATCTGAGAAGGTATTCATCTTTTTGGAGAATGTAAGGTGGAAGGAGATTGTGTACCATGTACAAAGAAAGTGTAATGAATATGTGTGCAAATTCCAGGTGCTAGGGCAGTATTCTTTTCATTGCCTAATAATTTTGCTTGTGCATGATGATACCATTTCCAACATTCTACATGGCAGCAAGACTACCGCTTCGTGTAATCGACATAGAAATGTGCAATCTCAATGTAACAGTGACAACTTCAGACCATGGACGTACTACAAATGGACACTGATCGGTACTATAATATATTCATGCACCTGAATCTGTCAAAAGTATCATAATGACATTCCAAACATGCTTCCAGGCTTTGATCTCATCGCAACCGCCGCCATTCAGACATAAAAAAAACCCAAATTGTGCCTTGAAGAAATCAACAAAATGCCTGCGCAAAAGAAACTGAATCGCTTAAAATCACGGAAATGCATGTGCAGTTGTGGAGTACATATGAATATTGACGTATATGAAGTTTTTAATAGGAAATTAGAAGTAGTTAACAAGAGAAACCTGAAAATTTGGCTGTAACACATTGATTACATTTTAAAACTTATCCTATCCATTTCCAAGGAATAGAAGGTAATAGAACAGGAAGAAATATGTATTTTTCAAAGTTTGGCAGGTCCAGATGTATGTCCACCAGTGTTAATAATCAATCTAATATCACGCAAATTGTCATAATTTGGGGTTCACTGCTCCTCTCACTGGTCTTAAGTCACGATACTTTTCCTGAAACTACACTCTGCGCCCTGGCCCAGCGAAAAGAATCTAAAGAAATGTAAAGGTTCTTTTGTCTGTGATGATGCGTGATTACATAATAAACATTGTCGCGTCAAATAAATGTCCTCATCAACATACACATTATCAGGTGGCGGTGGTAATGATGTGATCAAAGAAAGACCCTCATTTATACTAGGGTCCATGGTTTAATAAAATCCTTTGTACGAATTCCATAAATGAGACGATCAAAGAAGTCCTATATGACAGCTGCCTGGGCAGGGTAATCCAGCTGTAGTACTTGAAACATCTTGTAGCAGTAGTCAACTGCTGCTGTCAATGAAGAGCATGAATAAGTGCTTATCTCGATGACTACATAACACTGTCCTGGCTTCTTTGGTGTTCCTCAAAGCACCAACAAAAACAGTTGGCTCCTTCCTCGATAGGATGATAACAACTAATTGGTTTTGATAAAAGAAGATTTCTTTTTTTCGGGAGGGAAGTTGTCCTACCCCGAGTCCTAGGGGGTAATTTTCTAGGGGGTAATTGTCTGGGGTGGTTGTCTTCAGGGGGTTATTTTCTGGGGGGGGGGGGGGGGGGGTAATTGTCCTGCTGGTAATTGGCCGATTTCCCAGGGGTAATTGTCCTAGAACCATTTGCATCTATAGACCTACCTCAGGCCAATACGTGTTTAATACAAATACAATAAAGTAGGCTAGCTATTACCGGTCACTAAATTAATGCATGCACGCTCGCCCTTAGAGAATTGCCCAAGTTCACAATCAAATTAATGACATCGACAGTGACAACAATAATTTCACAATCTGGATCAACACAGTATCATTGAGACTTGACTAAATATCACACGGTAGCTCTTTTAATATTATCATGAGAATTTCTTACCTTCTCTTATGTTTTTCTTTGTTTTTATCATTCTATCACTTTCTCTTCCTGTTTTTCTGGAGTCCGCCCCAACGTCAGCTCGTGAAAAGGCGACGTGAGGCCGGTGTGACCGCGTAGAATGTAACCCACACCTATCGTCCGACTATTAGAGATCGATCGAGAGCGGACGATCGGTGCGGATTTTATCCGCGCAGAATGTCTGTGTCGGACATTCCGTGAGCACCTCAAATGTCTGACGGACAATCCGTGCGGGAGAGGTCTCGCACCAATAGTCCGCCTGCCGCACCGAATGTCCGTACTCTAGTCCACACATATACATTGTCAATGTAGTGGAGGCTGTTAGGGCTAAATAGGGGTTGTTTGGTGCAGATTCTTCCAAAAGCACCAAATTTGGCCCAGAGGTAGATTATAAAATTACCATACTTTTACGATTTCTTCCGGACGCCAAGAAGGGTACCCTCTGGGTATGCAATATTGGGCAAATCCAAAATGGCCGCCATCTGAGTTAAAGGTCAAGCGTAGTCCCAAAAGGAAAAGCGGTTGTATGATAATAGTTTATATATTTATGGGGTTTTGGGGGTCAGAGAATCTGATATTGATATTCTTTCATCAATTTGAGATCTCATTGGGGCTGCCATACTGGTCATATTGGTCAAATCCAAAATGGCCGCCATCTGATAGTTACAGGTCAAGTGTAGTTACGAAAGAAAATTGGCTAGTATGAAAACAGTTTATATATTTATGGGGTTTTGGGAGTCAGAGAATCTGATTATGATATTCTTTCATCAATTTGAGATCTCCTTGGGGCTTCCATACTGGTCATATTGGTCAAATCCAAAATGGCCGCCATCTGATAGTTGCAGGTCAAGTGAAGTTACGAAAGAAAATGGGCTAGTATGATAAAAGTTTATATATTTATGGGGTTTTCGGGGTCAGAGAATCTGATTATGATATTCTTTCATCGATTTGAGATCTCCTCGGGTCATACTGGTAATATTGGTCAAATCCAAAATGCCCGCCATCTGATAGTTACATATCAATAGTAGTTCCAAAAGGAAAAGAGCTAAAATGATTTTAAAAAAAAAAATATATATATATATATATATATATATATAGTAAGGGGTTTTCTGGGTCAGAGAATCTGATTATGATGTTGCTTGTATCAATTGCAGGTCTCCTTGGGGCTGTCATGCTGGCCATATTGGCCTTACAAAAAATGGCCGCCATCCGGTTTAAAGGTCAAGCGTAGTTTCAAAAGGAAAAGGACCAGTATGATAAAAGTTGATGAATTCATGGGGTTTCCGGGGTCGGATAATCTGATTATGATGTTCTTGTATCAATTTTATTTCACCATCCTGTCATAAGGCTACAATGAAGTCCATTTCCTGGTTGAAGAAGATGAGGGAAGATGCGCCAAATTCACGCTTGAGTGGGTTTAAATCTTGGCCTGCGCCCATATGTTTCATCAATATGCAAATTTTCCTTTGTGAAATGCATAATAAATTCGTTTTCGAGGATTGGCAAGGAAAATAGATAAACAGTAGAAACAGACCATGAATAAAGAAATAAACAGCTTGTTCGATTTGTTTTGACGCATTATCTTTAAAAACCCGGACAGCTTTATCTTAATTATCCTTAAAAAAATAACTTCTATAATCACTCTGAGATGGAATGAAATACCAAAACGAATTGCATTATACAACGTCTAGACATAAAGGTAAAATCTCAACTTTATTTTTCTTATTCTTCTTTTAAATTTCGAAGCGTTCTTAATCCTGTTTTTTTCTACATACATTAATGCCCCCATTTAAGCATACTATGAATCTGGTCACGCTTCGAAAAGTTCGTGGCCTAGCATTTTGCTTCTGTTGATGATCAAATAAAGAAAGCATCCTTTATAGATCAGAGAGGGTGTGAACAAAGCACAAAGTAGGAGCAGTGCAATTTAAATATCAAGGGATGGATAAGAGTTTATTTCTAAAATAAAATGAAAGGGCTATTTTATTTTCATGAGTCCTTTCACTTCATTGAAGAAATAATCTCTCTTTATATCTTAGAGACACTTGCTCTTTAAAGTCAAATTAACTCGTGAGCATCCTATGGCTCCTCCCCGGAACCCCCGATGGGGGCTCTTCCAGGCCCCTAAAGCTCTTCCAGGCCCCT